AACAGACACCAGCTACCCAGCAGAACCAGCCTGTTCAGCAGACTCAGCAAACTCAACAGACACAAGCTACCCAGCAGAACCAGCCTGTTCAGCAGGCACAACAGACTCAGCAGACACAGGCTAACCAGCAGAAACAAAGCACGCAGACGCAACCCCAGATTGTTAGCACGCAAAATCAACAGACACAGCAAGCTAGGCAACAGAGCACCGCAAACCAACAGAGCACTGCTCAAAGTACTGGGAATGGACAGTATACTCAGGCCCAGCAAAGCAGCTCTGTTGCTCAACAATCCGCTCAAGTACTACATTACACCATTCCGCACCAGCAGACCACAACCCAGGCTGCCCGAACAACGCCCCGGCAAAGTACAGGAAATAACAACCAGCCGACGCAGTCAACGGGAAAGCAATCGACAGGAGCCACCACCAAAACGAACGGGGAAGACTGGCAAGACTGGCCGCCTAAGTCTACATCCTCCGCCATCAAATCATCTGGAATTCCCAGCTCGGCTTCTACGGCTCCCCAGGCGTCTACGGCCCCTTCAAGCAGGTTCACAACCATATCAACTACGAAGCTCGCGCCGTCGACCAGCACGGCTGCACTTCCGACAACGAAATCCACTTCTACCAATTCCCAAAAGGTATCAAGTACTGCAGCTACGAGCTCTCCGGTCATTCCCATTTCAAGCACCACGAAATCCAAGTGGCAGGACTGGACATCGAGTGAAGTATCCTCGATTTCGTCGGCTTCTTCCGGTTCTCCTTCTACAGGGACCACAAAGTCTAAGTGGCAAGATTGGACAACGACTAAGCAGACTTCAACACACCCCGCATCGTCCGAGGGTCCTTCTATCACAACCACGAAGTCTAAGTGGCAAGATTGGACGTCGAGCGAGCAGACTCCATCCCACTCCCCATCCTCCGAAGGTCACTCTGTAGCCACCACGAAATCCAAGTGGCAGGACTGGACGACATCGAGCAAGCAGACTTCAACGCACTCTGCCTCTGAAGGTCCCTCTGCAACCACCACAAAATCCAAGTGGCAGGACTGGACATCGACTAAGGTGTCATCCGTCGGCCCGTCATCTTCGGGAAGCCCGTCTGCCGCAACAACGAAGTCGCAGTGGCAGGACTGGACAACGTCGAGCAAGCACACTGAGACGCACTCACCTTCCTCAAAGGGCTCTTCAGCACCCACTACACGAACCAAGTGGCAGGACTGGACAACGTCAAGCGTACAGACTTCAACTCATCCGGCATCATCAGAGGGAAGTCCAGTGACGACCACTAACAGCAAGGGGCAACATTCGACATCAAGCGAGCACTCTTCGACAGGGCATTTGACCACCTCTACGAAGGAGAACTGGCATGACTGGACATCGAGCAAAGTGTCCTCCACTTATTCGTCGTCGTCAAAAATCCGTTCTACAACAACCACAAAGGCTAATTGGCATGATTGGACGTCGAGCAAGCAGTCTCAATCGCACTCCCCTACCGCTTCCTCGGCCGCAACTACGAAGAGTGACTGGCAAGATTGGACGTCTACCGGGCATTCTCCATCTCATGCTTCTACTCACAGTTCGAGCATGCCTTCCGCAGCAACCAGCAAAACCTCATCGCAGGCTTCAACATCAAGCGAACAATCTTCGGCCCACTCATCCACAAAGCCCTCGACCGCAACTACAAGAAGCAAGTGGCAGGACTGGACTTCCAGTAAACATTCTTCTGCTCAACATTCCACCCAGCCTTCGGCAACGACTCCTTTGGCAACGACAACAAATACTAAATGGCATGACTGGACTTCGAGCAAAAGGTCTTCAACTCCTTCCACCCAGTATAGCGAAACCACGACCCAACATTCATCTCATGCTAGCTCATTGTCTACTTCGGGAACGGTGACCACTACCTCACAGAGCGTGGGTCCGTCTTCCAGCCATTCGTCGAAGTCATCAACTACTGTCTCTACGGCAACTCTTTCGTCACAGACAACATCTGAGAGTTCGAGTACTGGGGTTACCAGCCGAACAACCGCTCCCCTTACTTCTTCGACGGAGACTTCCACCGCAGCAACTACTACCAGCTATACTGGCTCTAGCAGCGCTTCGCAAACTATGGAAACAACCCCACCAGCATCATCAAAGACCACTAGAACGAGGTGGCAGGATTGGACATCGAGCAAATCGTCTTCTGCCCACTCAAAATCGACATCTACCACCTCTGGATCGTCTCATCCGAGTACAACCTCTGCTGCACCCACGACGCATCAAAGCAGCTCAACCCCTGTTAGCTCATCGCCAACTACCAATGCACATTCCAGCAAGACTTCTTCTACCGCTGTCTCGTCCAGTTCGGGCCAACGTGGCTCGAGCACTGCAAGCACGACTCCGGAGGTGCCCACCACCTCTCCAACAGTTTCGAGTCGAAGCACCTCCGGGTCGGTAAGCACGACCTCTTCCATTGTTGAAACGACAAGTAGCAAAGCCTCGAGCACCGCCTTCTCCACCCAGCCGACTACGTCAAGCACCTGGAGTCAGCCTGCAAGTTCTTCGCAAAGCAAGAGCGGTTCAACAACCACGACCCTGGAGCACAGCAGTACCACTTACACCCCTCCCATCTTTGTCACGACCCCCACAACGTCGGCGACAACGCATCCGGCGGGGACAAGTGAGACTTCTACATCCTGGGCATTCTCGACCCCTTCATCCCCTACAAGTTCTGTCCCTAGCACTGGGATCACAACAAGCCCGCACGCTTCTTATTCTTCCATGACTACCTCGCACGAAGTTCACTCGACGACTGGCTGGACCACGACCTCTACCAAAGCTACCAGCTCTGGAACTAGCTTCAGCCCATCTAGCACGTCAGAATCACGACCGTCATCCAGCGGTTCGAGCAGTCGTAGCTCCACCGGTATCTCGACCTTTTCGACAAGAACAAGATCAACTTCGGCGTCCTGGACTGTCTCCACCCCCACACCTTCCACTACAGGCACAGTTCACTCGAGCCAGACGACCCACACGACTCGTGCCCACACCTCTTCAAGCCCTGGTTCGTCTTCGACATCGGTATCAACCCCAGCCAAGAGCACCAGCACGACAGCCTCAGCTTCGACAGCTACAGCTTCGTCCACGAGCTCATTCTCGACATGGAGCCCGACAACTTCCAACACGACTCCGTCTACGCCGGCCAGCTCCTCAACGGCCACGAGTGAGACCAGCTCTGCTTGGACAATCTCTACTTCGCAAACCACGCAGACAACTAGTGTAACAGCCTCGACGATTAGCTCTTCTCAATCTTCGAGCGAGTCTAGCACGTCAATCTCGTCGGCAACGCAGACGCCTTCGACTACTGCCACTCCAACTTTTTCGCATTCGTCCACACTTCACACGACAACGCAGTCGCACTCTAGCAGAAGCAGATCGACGCATTCTGTGTCGCATTCTACTGAAAGCACTGCTTCTACAACCCTGCGCTCGAGCACGGAGGTATCCAGTACTCCCTATACCACGACCGGTGGCTCTCAGACGACTTGGTCTACAACTGTAACACCGACCATTCCTGCAACAACGAGCCATTCAAGCAGCACTGGAACAAGCTCAACAGGAGCTGTGACTACTTCAAGTGCGGGATCAACAAAAGGAACCTCTACTGGCACTACGGCGACGCCAAGCACCTCCAACACAGGTAGCAGCAGCGTTCCTGGTGGCTCATCCACCTCGTCAACGAGACAACATCACAGTTCAACTACTCTCAGCAGCATTCCAGGCGGCTCATCCACCTCGTCAACGAGACACCATCAAAGTTCAACTTCTGTCAGCAGCCAGGGCGCTACAACCACCTCGCCGACGGCTTCCTCGTCAGGTGTCAGTTCGCGGTCGTCCAGCTTTTCAACCTCTGTGAGCAGCGCACAGTCTTCGTCCAGTACCCACCACAGAAGCTCCTCCACGCACTTTGTCCCAACTTCGAGTGGAACAACTAGCAGTGGAGTCCCCTCTTCAAGTGCAACAACCAGCTCGACGATGTCAGGTCCTGCAACTACACACTCATTCACGGCGTCTTCGGGGACGACCTCGGCTAGTACGTCCACTTCTCAAGGTACGACGTCGCTTCCTGCGTCGTCCGGATCAACAAGCTCGAGCACTCTTCCACCCTCGGTCACGACTTCAGGGACCATCAGTTCTTCGAGCACATGGTCAACTGGAACCAGCACCACATCAGAGTCCACTTTGAGCACGTCTTCGACCAGCGTAGGTGGCAGCACGAGCAAGTCTTTTGAATCCTCAACAAGTGTGGCAACATCGTCAACATCCAGCCCGACCACTACCATTTCTAGCACTCAGAAGTCGAGCTCCTCGTCTGCCAGCAGCACGTCAACCACACCATCCAGCACGTCTGGTCGGACCAGCCAATCGTCTCCGAACACATCCCCGTCAGCTTCGAGCAGCACAACTATCAAGTCTAGTACGGTCACCAGCCAGACCTCCCAGACCTCGACACATTCTTCCAGGTCGAGGACAACACCTGTGGTTCCCACGACATCCAGTCCCGGTGGTCACACCTCGACGACCAAGTCGAGCTCAATTCCTATCTTCGTTTCGAGTTCAGCAAGCAGCAGCTCAACCCGACCCTATACGTCGACCACGACTGGTGGCCCCTCTCGTTCCACCTCTCGTTCCAGCCGGACTTCAAGCGGCTCCACGCAGACCAGCACAAGCCACAGACAGAGCACGATAACGAGCAGTCATACTTTACCCTACACAAGCTCGTCCACTCCATTTACCACCAGTCCGTCGGTCACTACATCAGGGTCTACTGTGGCTACTACAGAGTCAAGCGCAACCAGTAGCTCTAGCAAGCCAGCCACTACCACTACGATTCTCACCACGGTCGTCTCAACAACAGCATCCGTGCCGACGAGCGCCACTTCTTCCCAGGTGACCACAACAGCTACGACACCGCTCTCTTCATCCACCAGCGCAACAAGCGAGACGACCACGCCGGCACTACCCTCGACAACGGGGCAGACAACGACTACTGGTGGCACAACAACACAGCCTACGACCGCTACCACAAGTGAGAGCACGAGCAGTTCTAGTATCTTGACTAGCCTTACCACGCAGTCCACAAGTACTAGCGAAGGGAGCACGACCCAGCCAAGCACTTCCGTGAGCTCTTCAACTACTTCTGTCGTAACAAGCAGCACAACAGCAGTCAGTACGACAGCTGCCTCAACGACCGAGACAACAACCTCGTCCCCGACCATCTCTAGCACGTCGGCAACGGGCGTAACCACTACCATCCCAACGACCACGAGCAGGCCGAGTACCACACAGGCCACGACCAGCACTGAAAGGAGCACTACTTCTGGCACGATAACAACATCCAAGTCCTCAAGCTCGGGCAGCACGAGTCATCGGACTAGCTCCAGTTCCATCGTCACGACAAGTCAGTCGACAGCCACAACGACTGCGGTTGGGTCAACTTCAAGATCTACGCTGTCTACCGGGGTCACCACCTCCCCAACGCTGCCAGCGACAAGCGGGACGTCTACTCAATCCACAAGCAGGACCACCGCGACTGGGTCCACAAGCAAGTCAAGTTTCACTCCATCTACTGGTCTGACTACTTCGCCAACCTCGCCGGTGACAACCACAGCAAGTACTCAATCCACGTCGACAAACACCCCGCGTGGGTCAACTCTTGGAACCAGTCAATCTACTACTGTCACTTCCCACACAACGCCAGTCACCAGCATTACTACTCAGTCCACTAGTAGATCTCCCACGACTGGGTCCACGAGTACATCAGGCTCCAGTTACTCTAGTATTACTACCACCCCTCATACGGCACCAACAACAGGCATCACGACTTCTCGGTCTACCGTTAGGACCAGCACGCCTGAGTCTACGAGAAGATCAACTTCATCACAATCCACGCTCTTGACTAGTTCCTCAACAGTGCCAGTGACTAGCGAAACAACCACGCAGACCACAAGCAAGCCAAGTTCTTCTCAGTCTACCCCGGTAACCACTTCGTCAACGCTGCCAGCTACGAGTGTTACGACTACCCAGTCCACCAGCAAGAGTACAGTGACCGGGTCCTCTACCAGCCCAGGCTCCACTCAGTCTACCGGAAGGTCAACAAGCACCCATTCAACTGGTGTGGTGACTTCAACGACTGTTCCTGCAACAAGTATCACCACGACTGTGTCTACGAGCCAGACTACTACTGAGATAACTACCCCTCCAGTGTTCATCAGCTCAACCTCCCAGTCCACGTCGGTGAGCACAACCAGCTCAACCACATTGCCAGTCACAACTAGCATGACCACTCAATCAACTGGCACCTCAACGACTACGGAATCTAGCAGTGGAACCACAACTACTCAGTTCACTAGCTCAGGCAGCACTACAGTTCCTGCCACCAGCGGTAGTACAACTACAACTCCTGTCAGCAGCAGCACCAGCAGCACGACAGCCCCGGCGATCAGTAGTAGCACGTCTACCACCCCAGCGACAAGCAGCACTACGTCTACCATCCCGGCAACTAGCAGTGGCAGCACAAGTACAATTCCGACAACGAGCACTACATCTACGGTGCCCACGACAACTAGCACCAGCAGCAGCTCGTCTACAATCCCGGCCACGAGTAGCACTACCCCCAATGTCCCGACGACGAGCCGCACTTCAATCACTACCCCAGGGACGACCGCTACCTCCAGTGTCCCAGCGACAACAGCAACAACGACCGGGAATGGCAGTACCTCTAGTACCCCGGCAACGAGCAGTACCACGCCCAATATTCCAACAAGCAGCAATACTTCACCTACGGTGCCGGCTTCAAGCACTACCAGCTCAACGGTCTCTGTGAGTACTTCAAGCAGCAGTGGCAGCACAACTACAGCTCCCGGAACGAGTACTGCATCTACTGTCCCGGCGACAACGTCTACAGCCAGCAGTAGCACGTCTACCTTCCCGCCGACGAGCAGCACTACACCTGCTTTCCCAGGAACGAGTCATACCACGCCTACTGTTCCAACGACGAGCAGCACATCAACCACTATCCCAGGGACGAGCGCTACCTCCAGTGTCACAGCGACGACAACAACAACGACCACTGGCAGTGGCAGTACGTCTACCTTCCCGGCATCGAGCAGTACTACACCCGTTGTCCCAACGACGAGCAATACTTCACCCACAGTGCCGGCTACCAGCTCTACCAGCTCAACAGTCTCGGTGTCCACTTCAGGTAGCAGCAGCACATCTACTCTTCCGGCAACCAGCACTACCAGCTCGACTGTCTCGGTAACTACTTCAGGAAGTACAGCACCGGCTATTAGCTCAACGAGCTCAACAGCCTCGGTGACTACTTCAAGCACCAGTGGTACACCTATTGTTCCGGCGACAAGCACTACGAGCTCAACTGCATCGGTCGCTACCTCAAGTACGAGTGGTACACCTACTGTTCCGGTAACAACTACTACCAGCTTAACCGTCCCGGCAACTACTTCAAGCAGCACCGGTACTTCTACAATCCCTGCAACCAGCTCTACCCGCTTAGTTACTACTTCGGGCAGTAGCAGTACATCTGGCGTTCCCTCAACAAGCAGCAGCACAACGGTTCCGGCAACCAGCAGTGGCAGCGTGCCTCCTGTTCCCCCAACAAGTAGCACTACGTCCACGAGCCCAGCCACGAGCAGCAGAAGCAGTACAACAGCTACCGTTCCTGTGACCAGCAGCACGACCGTAGGCTCATCAAGCACTACGCAGAGCATCACGGTCACAACCTCCACGCCATCTACGTCCTCGACATCTGTAACGACTGGCACAACTGAGACTACCACTGAGACTACCAGCTCAGCCAGCAGTACTACTGCTTCGACCAGTGTGCCGACCACTTCCACTGTGCCGACTACCAGTACGCCCAGTGTCCCGACCACTGCAATTACCAGCAGTGTCAGTACGCCGACCACTCAACCAACAACGTCGGCGTCGGCATCTGTCAAGACGACAGGCACCACGAAGGTCACAAGCACAACGGCCACTCCATCATCCGGCACATTTACTCCTCCAGTGCCCAACAAGTCGACGACATTCCAGACAGTCACCAAGTCCAAACCACCACCGAACCACCATAAGACAACTCAGACTGCACCACCGTCTCCATCTACGTCTACAAAAACCCAGCCTTGGGAGGAATGGTGGTCAGAGACGACGAGCACGGCAACTGCCACCAACATACCAAGCCAAAGCCAACCCTGGGAAGAATGGTGGTCAGAGACAACCACAGTCCCCGCAGCAACTGTAACCAAAACACCCGGCCAACCTTGGGAAGACTGGCACCACACCGAGGAGACCACGACTGTCACTGTCACACCGACCGCGCCCGCTGAATCCACGGCGACCACAACTCCAGCCCCCGGTAAAAGCAAAGGCAAAAGCAAGCCATGGGGCGATTGGCAATTCCATAACAGTACCATGGCGACGACTACGACTCTGAAGCCCCATCCCACCGGCGGCTGGTGGAAACATAAGTCATCCACTACCGGTACAACCACCACGAGCACAAGCACAAGCACAACTGTGACTACTGTTGTCTCAACTCCAACTCTAAGCCACGAGGGCAAAGGCGGAAAGGGAAAGGAAAAAGGTCACGGCGGTGCCGGCTGGAAAGACTGGGACAAGACCAACGAGAAGGAACATGGCCATCAAGGCAATAAAAGTGGCGAAGAACAAGAACAAAACGGAACCAAGTGGGGTGATTGGGAAAAGACCAAATCTCAGCAGAAAGGGAAGGAAGGAGAAAAAAGCAGCAGTGGTAATGATGACAAGTCTGGCTCCGGCTCTGGCTCCGGCTCTGGCTCCGGCTCTGGCTCCGGCTCTGGCTCCGGCTCTGGCTCTGGTTGGAAAGATTGGGCAGGCCAGAGGAAGGGACGGTACGTAAGGAAGTAAAAGGCGGAAAGACATACGCGAACAAGCAGGAAAGGGGGGAAATGGAGTTTCAGGGAGGACTTTTTTGCCTTCTCACTTTCCTTCAGGCAAATTGGTGATATACTAGTAGGCTCACTTGGTTTACTTTCTTGTTTATTACTTCAACCTACAGATAGTTGGAACAATGAACCCATTCATTCTGTTTTCATCATTTTTTTTTGGTTCCATCCTCTATCATATCCTAGGTACCTAAGGTATGCTAAGCAAATACCAACCTGGAAAGGAGCTATCACGACATGAGTTTGAGGACCATCACCAATCCTTTCCAAAGCCGATGTGAGACATGACAACTCTTGCATTCCCCCATTCGGTGCTGCACTCCCCCGTATGCTAGAAAAAGGAAACTCGCGATATCTGGTCATACAATACACTCTATGTAGAGAGGGAAGAAAAGGTAAAGAAAATGCTTGCACGCTGCGTCAAAGCCAGGCCCGGTCAACCACTAGAACTGGCGCCATGCATCGAGTCAACGATCAACAGACGGCGCCAGGCAGGTAAGTCGAGTCCATTATGCAATGAAGTCGCGTGCAGCAAATCTTCCTCTTCCTCGTCCGAATCTGCCACCGGCACCACCGGCACCACCAGCTCCTCCTCGGCCACCTTGACCACCTTGTCCGCCTTGTCCACCGCGACCAGCACCGGTGTTGCCAGTGTTGCCACCGGTGTTGCCTGCTCCTGCACCAGTTCCAGCACCAGTAGTTGCCTTTCCAGTACCGGTCTTTCCAGTGGCATTTGTAGCAGTTGATCCGGTGGCGGAGGTGGTGGCAGAAGCGGCAGCAGAAGAGGAGGCGGCGGCGGCACCAGTACCTTTGTTGCCATTGCCAGCATTTCCAGTGTTGCCCGTGTTACCCGTATTGCCGCCCTTGCCTGCGGTGTTGCCAGCGGCATTTCCGGTATTGCCTGCATTGCCGGTGCCTTGGCCGACGGTAAACTTCGTGCAATCATCTTGAGCACCACGTTGAGCAACCTGAACAGTAATTAGCACGGAGGAACACAAGATCGGGCGGCTAAACACCTACAGGCATGAGCACAGGTTGATGGTTAGAAGCACTGTTCATAGTGCAGACGCGGTAAACACCAGCCGGGAGACCATTGGTGACGGTAGCCTGGAGGAGACCGTTACCATTGCCGTCGTCGTTGATACCCTTGAAGAAGGCAAACTTCTTTGGGTCAGGAGGGGTCTTGGTGGCAATGTTGCCGCCCAAATCCTGGATAGTAACGTGGCAATGACCAACGACGTTGCCGTTTTTCAGTGCTTGGGGTGCCGCATAATAGGTGGCGGTTGGATCAGTAAATGAACCGGCTTCAAGGTTGCTGATCTGTACTTGGACGTTGAAGGATTGGTTGGGGGTTATATCATCTCCCGGGCCAGGGAACAGGATTATGGATGAAACCATGTTGTTGTTTGACGGGATGTCACCCATAACGATACCATTGCAGGATCCCTGCGTGACTTGAGCACCGTTGGTAAGAGTCTTGCCAGTACAGAAATTGATGAAGTTCGCCGGGTCACTATCAGATGTCAGTACTTGGGAGAGCTTTTCCTTGGATCAAGTAACATACGTGTCCGAAGGCGCTTGACCAGCGTCACCCGAGCCACCAGGGGAGTTGCTGGCTTTCTGAACATTGGCAGCCAGCAGGGCAAGACCGTTGTTTCCACCGGCACCGCCGGTGTTGGTGTTGCTAGTGCCGCCATTGTTGTTGTTCCCGGTGGCCGCACCCTTTGATGCGGTGGCAGCAGCGGCAGTGGTAGCTGATGCAGCGGCAGCGCCACCTTTGTTGTTGTTGTTCCCACCGCCTCGATTACCACCGCGCTGGGCAACAGTTGACGAGGCAAACCCCAAGGCAGCAACGGCTACCGTCAAAAGTTGAGTTGTCTTCATTTTTCTGGGCACTGTATTGGAACAAGGCTTAAGGTGAGAGGGAAGCAATTGGTAGATCTGGACTTGGTGATGCGAACAGGGGCTTTTCTTTTGCACAAGCAACAAATAACGAAAGAACTCGCGATCAACGCGGTTGAAAATAAGCACACAAAGGAGCGGCGAAGGAAAATATGCAGAGATGCGTCGAAGACACCCGGAGCTGAAAGGAATGGAGAGGCACTGCCACGATGATGATACGAGAACCAAGAAACCAGACGGAAGAATGCGATCTCTTATGCTTTGCACTTGGCAGCCTTTCAGTCCCACCCACCGGAAAGGGAACGGATGCACCGTTCATGGTGATTTCCCTTGAGGCTGGAAACGTTTCCAACAGCCATTGATGACACAAACGACCTCCAGGTGCGTCAGGTCGGGTAAGGAGAGGGAGCAAGGTTCGCAGGTTACAGGTCGGTCACAGCATGGCGCCGCACGGCTGCCGGCGAGGCAAACAAGCATTGCCAATGTTTTGGAAACAGAACAAAGTGACCTAGAATCGAGACGCCCAGCAGAGGCAGAGACGAGGATGAAGCTGACAGGGTTTCGAAGCGTGTCGGAGAAGGGAGAAGGCACTTTGTCTGAAACGGGCGGTTGTAGCGAGTGCAGCCTAACGGTGGACTAGACGTTGCAACAGAGTATGGCGGCTAGCGACAAGAGGACTAGTGCTGTGGTTAGAAGGCCCGTAGTGGTGCTTGGCGCCCTCTACGTCTCCCCTGGCGCCAGCCTTGTCTGAGCTCCTATCGACGTCATTGGTCTCCCCATTCGAGCCTTCGCAGCCTGTCCATTCTCTCACCATCAACATCCTGCTACAACTTCCTGCACCAATGCCTCCGTCTCCCTTCCTCAATGCCACGATTCGCCTGTGTATCCACTGCATCTGATGTCCCAGCCTTATATTTTCTTTTACTCCGTGCCGGAGCGAGATACTCCGCTTCAGTCGATGATTGAGGTGCTACCAAAAATAGTCCTCAAGACACGCCCTTGACTTTTCCCGCCTACACTGCATGCACTCCGTGCAACCCTGCATTCGCTTGCACTGTATCCGTGCAACAGATCTCTCCTAGTCCAGGCCAAGCTTTGGCCAAGCTTCGTCTATGCCGATTGCCGAATAAACGATCCCTGGTCTCAACATGAGGCGAAACATGTTCGGGAGTTTAGACGAACCAGGGAGGAGAGGAGGTCAAATTCATCCTACTCCCTATTTTCCGGTGTCTCTTTTGCTTAGTCTTGTTCTGATGCTAAACTATGTCTCCTACATTGCACGCCGCGGGGTTTGATCTGTCATCATAATGGCGCACCATTAAAGATGCCGTTGATCTTCACCCTCTCCGAGCTGGGGCTAGAAATCCTTCCTGCACCAGGCAGGTTCGACACCAAACCACCCGCTCCTACCTACCGGCTGGTCCAGTTCCGGGCGCGTCTCCTTCGAATTTTGGACGCCCATAGCTGAAATCAACGGCTGCAGGCTACTACCCAAAATGTTTGCCTTCGGTCACCATGGTAGCCCTGCCAGACAGAATCACATTTGCGATGCTGGTCGACCCGTCTGTGTCTGTCTTGACGTCCACTTCCACGGCAATTGTGCATACACGTCCCATCTCCACGCCTTGTTGAATGCCGAATACCTTCCGCTCCGTTTTAGGCTCAAGCTTCAGCTCCTCGGCCTTCTTCGCCAGGTCCTCCTCTGTTTTGGGTTGGGTCGTTTGATCAGGAGCCGCCGCTACTCCATGCAGTGCCAGATAGCATGACAAGGCGGAAACGGCGCTTCCAGTGCCGGGGTCTTCAATGCCGTGGGAGATCATTCGAGCTTGCACATTGTGTATAGGCGGCTCGCCAGCTTGTTCCAGGTTGGGCAGAAGCTTGTAGTACATGCAGCCAACGAAGCTGGGCGACCACTCCTCATCAAGCTCCACCTCAGGTGATTTGCCAGCTTGAACCGCTGCAAAGAATGGGGGATTGTCGGTCAGGTCGACGAGGACGAAGCTCATTCCTTTCACAATCGAAACGAGAGGATACGTCTTGCCCTTCTCCTTGTCAATGGTAGGAATGATTTGAACATGTGGTTGGGTTGCTATGATCTTGTCAACAGGGACCCGTTGTGAATGGACGTGGAAGTTATGAGGCACAGCGCAGGCTGCCACCTGGCGATAAGGGTTGAAGAAAATTGGGATCCTTCCGGCCTTGGTCAATAGGACAGCGGTCTGGCGTTGGTTGTCACGGTCGGCCGGTCCACCATACTGCATCTTCTCAAGGTACTGGAAGATCTAAGGGCCTATCGTTAGAGATCTACACTCCTCGACGGCAGCGATGTCTCACATAATGTGCTGTCCCAATAACCTGTCTGCATTAGTGCCCTTTTCGCATGTATAATAGCCACGTCGCGAACTTACAGGATGCCCAGCGAAGGGCAATTCCTCGCCTATTTCGGTAAATATCTCGAGAGTCCGAGGCTGGCCCGGTGCTGGAGCATCATGTAAAAAGCAAGTCTCCGAGTATTTGAACTCCTTTGCAATCAGAGCCTTGCGCTCCTGGGAAAGCGAGTTTCCGTGGACCGACACAATTGCCAGCGGGTTGCCTTGGAATTTCTCGGCTGTGAAGACCTATGTCTTTCAGATCATGTCCAGCAGGGCCAACAATAAGCTGCCCAGTAGTCAAACTCACCCCCATGGTCACGAATGTATTCGGACCGGAAGCCATAGTGTGGTATGTCGATGAGGCTGGGATTAAAAACACGCGCAGCGCCGTGCAACGGGAAATGCGACTGGAAGAAGCAGCGGTTCAAGGCGCGATACCTTGTCGAATGTTGGTCTGGAGGCCCGATACGTATATGTATATGTATATATACAGGATGGGTGGTTGGAAGTTGAGCGAGAAGTCCTCGACTTTAGTTGAAGTTAGACTCGAGATATATTCTGGATATCAGGTACTTCTGGTTCTTGGCACGATAAACACCGAAGACTCAACGCCCTTCGACCCTACTATATAATCAGGTTCGGCAACTAGCTCGACGATCCAATTCGCGCTTGGACTTTTGGTACATGTCTGAATATGTCTCATACAACAATACCAAATTTAAATACGCTGCGTCGCGGTCAACGCGGCAGAGGCAGGGGCCGTGGCCACCCAGCGGCACACTCGGGCGGAGAGGGGCATTCGGGACGCCAGCGACAAGACGATATCGTCCAAAGCACCGACAACGACGCGGCTACCTCTCGTTTGAGCGCCGTGGAAGCTGGATATCTTGAAGACCCCTTTGCCAGACTGTTGCATTCGGACGAACAGGTCCCCAGGCGGCTGCCTCTGATGAATCGAGGTAGGCCAAGGATGTGAGAGAGAGCGCCGCTCCAACGTTCTCACATGTTCGTTCTAGGCACATATCTACGCACCGCATCCATTGATCGCATTGTGGACACGTTTTTATCATCTACAGGCCGCGAACGCAAGCAGATCCTCTCGCTAGGTGCCGGCAGTGATACCAGATACTTCCGCTTGAAGCAGAAACGGAAGATGCCGGGCAGCATTGTCTACCATGAAATTGATTTCGCACCCAACACTCAAAGAAAGATCGCTCAACTACGCAGTCCTCCTTTTGCAGAGGCCGCTAAGGCCCTGGCAGGTGTCGACTTGCATTCGCCCGATGTGCAGCTCTCAGAGGACGGCGCAAGATTAAAGTCCTCGGAATACACCATCCATGCCCTAGACCTCCGGCAACTTCCTCGAGCCGACGTTGATTTGCCAGGAGTGGATAAAGACCTACCGACTCTCATCATATCAGAATGCTGTCTCATTTACCTTTCGCCCGAGGAGGCCGACGCTGTATTGCGACATTTGAGCCAACTTTTCCCATCCACCACGCCTCTGGCAATTGTCATATATGAGCCCATTCGCCCACATGACTCGTTCGGCAGGACCATGGTCAGCAATCTCATGAGCAGGGGCATACAGCTACAAACCCTTGAAAAGTACTCGGGACTCGAGGAACAGAGGGAACGATTGAGGGCCCACGGGTTTAATGGAGATGACAAAGTCGGCTCAGGGGCCGAAGCGGTGGATATCGACTTCATCTGGCAACATTGGACCACGACGGAGGAGAAGGAACGGGTGGATGGACTGGAATGGATGGATGAGGTTGAAGAGTTCGTCCTCCTCGCGAAGCATTACTGTGTAAGCTGGGGCTGGCGCGGGTATGGCGAAGGTTCATGCTGGAGGGAGCTGCCCACCTCGAGTGAGAAGCAATAAAAACAGTGTATACAGTGGTACTGTTTCAGCCGTGCCTGCAATCAAAGCTGGTGAGCAACACGCTCAAGCCGGCACGATTCCGGCAGTTTTTCGGGACTGCAGTCCTATGCATTAGCATTGACACCCCGTTCACGAGTCAACTTCTATGCCACCCGCATTATACAGGAGTAGTACCGTACTCCCCCTTCCACTTCCTCTCAAAGGGATATTTGGTCACGTGAGTGCCGGAAGACGGATGCAGTTTTTCCGAACATCACGTGCCTCGGCCTTTGCTGTTGTGAGCTTTTGCTTGCCGTCGCCTGCCATCCTGTCAATATCGCGATGATGCCTGTCGTCCTCATGATCAAGATACACGATATCAGTATTGCTGCAATGACGAGATGCCTCTACTAAATCATCCACCTGTTGCTACGCAGCAACACTCTTCTGTTGCTGGTTCGTTTCTGGAGTTTGCAAGTTTCGCGCTTGGGAGCTGTGGCGCAACCCCAAACCAGCCCAAAAGCGCCATTCGTCAACGGCGCCCCCAGGGAAATTCATCAAGGACACGTTGAAACCTCGGGTGAATTCACGGTTGTGTGCCTCTTTCTCTGCCTTCCGCTCACAAGCAGCTGAATCGCCGTCGAACAGGTGAGGATGTTTCTACAACTGAGAAACAGCATTATCGACCGGTCTCGTCCAGAGCAAAGACCACCCGTACCCTGTTCTCGAAGCGTTGGGCCCGTTAGGAATGTCCAAGACTAGGTATTCCAGCTTCCAAATCCAACACCGAGATTGCGGGTGACATTCCACACAGCAGGAAATGGCACCCCACAGCAACCAGCGGTTGGCAAAATGTGCAATGTCGAGCAAGAGATGAATTGCCTATGTGATTTGCTTATCCCTGGTATCGGCCATTTAGCCTCGAGTGCTAACTTCAGTCGGAGTATTCCTGATTTGCTGCACGAAATTTGACAGCGCTCAAGCGGGCCGGGGCCCGACACGATCAAGGCCAACATCCCTGACCTTCCCCGATTCTGCAACATAAACAGTGGACCGCGTGTGGAGCGGCAATGTACCAGCCTTGCATGGCTCCAAGACGGCCTGCCATGGTCGACTCTCCGTCACAGGCAATTTGCTGCTCGGGCTTGATCTGCGTCTCCTTTACTGTTCACCGTTGCTAGCACGTCGACGACCTGTCCTGTTTTTTTTGCGCCGTTCTTTTTTATTTTCGCTCCTTCGTCGTCGCCAGGTTGCTGTCGTTGGATTTCTGCTGTCGCGCGCGCTCCGCGAGCTCTCACATTCCCTCAGGAGGACTGACCCTAGTCGCTCATTTCGAGTTTTTTATCGTCACGCGCCGCGACAGAAGCATATCGCGGTGTCGCAAGTCGACTGTCATGCAACAGCAACAATAACAGCAACAACCGTCACGCGAGATCGTACGAACCGCCTGCGCAAATGCGGCAACGAACACTTACCTCGAGCGCGAGCGCTCTGTTATTACTGGCAGCTTCTGTTATTGGCGCAAAGCATGGAGGAGTCCACGACCATCTTGAAGTCCTTCACAAGCGCCATCGCGCCCACCGCGGACTGCACTCCCGCTCCACAGCGGAGGATGGCGACCATGGCATTGAAATCAGGACAGTTCCCGAAACTGTAACACCAACATTGGAAAAGCGAGGGGGACAATGCGCGTTTCCGACCGATGCTGGTCTCGTTGCAGTTACTCCAAATGAGCAGAATGCTGGATGGGCCATGAGTCCTGATCAGCCTTGCAAACCAGGAAACTACTGTCCATACGCGTGTCCGCCAGGTCAAGTGTCAATGCAGTGGGACCCCAGCGCGACGTCCTACTCATACCCAAAGTCAATGGTTAGTCGCTTTCTAACGATAATCAGTGGAGCAATGCACTGACTCTGAACAGAACGGCGGACTGTATTGCGACGAGGATGGCAACATTCAGAAGCCGTTTCCGGATAGACCTTATTGTGAAGAAACGCCGAACAACATCGGGGTCGTGAACAATGCGGGCTCCCATGTTTCGTTTTGCCAGACGGTGCTCCCAGGAAACGAGGCTATGTTGATCCCCACCTTGGTGGGTGAATCCGCCAATCTTGCCGTACCTGATACAAAGTACTGGTGTGGCACAGCGGCACATTATTACATCAATCCTCCTGGCGTCGGCCCAGATGAGGCATGTGTGTGGGGTGATAAGTCGAAGCCGGTGGGCAACTGGTCACCGTACGTCGCCGGAGCCAACATCGATGCTTCTGGCGAAACGTTCATCAAGCTGGGATGGAACCCTATCTACCTGGAACCTGCAACGCCATTCCGTACCGAGATGCCCGACTGGGGTGTCAAGATTGACTGTCCTGATGGCAATTGCAACGGTCTTCCTTGTGCTATTGACCCAACCAAAAACAATGTCAACGAGATGGTCGGCTCAGCTAGTGACGGAGCTGGCGGTGGTGCCTTCTGCGTCGTAACAGTGCCGAAGGGGTCGGCCGCAAACTTTGTCGTCTTCACGGCTGGCGGTGATAGCAGCAGTGGCAGCGGCAGCGGAAGTAGCACCAGCAGCACCAGCAATGGTGGTGGTGCGGGCACAAGCTCATCGGCCCAAGGGTGGAAAGGTGGACAATTCTTCCAGACAAGCAGCGCAGCACCAGCCTCGTCGACAGAGTCCTCGACCACATCGACCACAACCTCCAGCGAATCATCTTCATCCCCCTCGTCGACCACTAGCGCTTGGACATCATCGTGGTCGGCTACCAGCTCGTCTTCCGTATCGACAACATCTTCGGCGGCAGCGCACACATCATCCCATTGGTCTCACGCGCCCAGTCCATCGGCGTACTTCTCATTGTTCAACAACTCGACGACTACTAGCACAGAGATCTCTTCTGAAGGGAGCTCAATCGAAGCCACAGCAACTCCAACGGCGCCCTCGAAGCAGCCTTCGATCCAACCCGCCACAGGGGCGGCATCTACCAATGGGTTCTCTTTCGCGAGCATCCTGTCAGGGCTAGGCCTATACATCCTGTTCACTCTCTGATGCTCGAAAACGTCCTGGCCTTATGGGTCTCAAAGTGGCATTCACACTGGGCTTTTAAACAGTGATGCCATGCCTGGTGGGCATCTCAGCGCAACTGGTCTTGCAGACGACCGTCGAAATCCCCTCGACACATCGGCTGGATATATTCCGAGGAACACCTTTTATTCCATTTACGCCATTTTCGATGAAACACTTTGTTCCTTATATGATCGAGGACACCCTTTTTCTTTTCTTCTTTCTGTCCGTCTCATTCTGGAAATGCCGGTATAGCGACACCAACAACGCATGGATTGGACTTGCTTACAGCTGGGAATATTTTTTTACTCTGGTTCAGCACCGATATTTACCCCATATACTTGTTGATTGTGTTTGTATGTATACCTTGGAAGGGTTCAAGTGGTGGTTTGAGGTCTCTTTCATGACGATACCATATGGCAGTACATTCTTGATCTTGCTCAAGACTTGGGGCGAGTCCCCCCGGCGGGTTGCTCTGAGAAGACGAACTTTACGGGTCTTGAGGTTTGGGGTAAATAGTTGAGTGAGCGCAATCTGTTGATATACAATGTAAATGACGAGGAGTCTCTTTGCGACGGTTCGAGATTGGGAAATCATTCAAGTTGCGAAGCATAGAGGACAACTTCAAGCTGCCACATGGACGACGTACCTTATGTCCGCTGTGTTTGTGACGGTACCGCCCAATTGCCTAAAGCAAGGTACCCGGTACCTAGTAAGGTAGTCGTATACACGGCACACTCCATGTTTGATGCACAGAACCGGTACAAGTGGTAGCACGCAGGTCTGATGAGAGGATCGTCAAAGCAAGTGCTTAGCAGTGTACTGTGTACTACCTATGCATCACTGTGAACATTGAGATGCCTATGATGACTAAGCCGACGAGGCTCGGTTTCGCCCACCTTGTAACTCTCCGCCTTGTGTCGCGACAACTGGAATTTGGACAATCACCGCAGCCTGCTTTGTCCACCACAACTTGAACTTCAAGTCCTCCGAGTCCACAACGCCGCCATTCCTTGATATATACTCCTCCTTCGAATCCCGCCTCGTTCCTAACGTCTCGATCCCCAGTCGCGCGACACTCCTCAAGGGCGAGGTCCATTGCACGAGAATAGCATCTTATCGAAGAACGCCTACACAGCAGCAACCGCAACTCCACGCCGGAATCCCCCCACCGCACCGCGTTTCTCAAAGATGCCAGCGGCATCACCCCAAACAGTATGCCTTCTCTGTCCCTGCTCTGCTCCTCGTCCTCCATCAGTACTGGCTCCCTGGGTACTCCATACCGTGGTCAAGGTCAACATTGAGCTACACGCAATCCAACCCACCCCATCCCGTCTGTGTTGATCATGTCCAGACATGCATGGCACCAACAAGATAGGACAATATCCCAGGGGTTCTTAGTCAATCTCAACCCTCCGCCTTCATTTCAGAACACCGTTTGACCATACCTATACATCCTGGTTCCAATATACATACCTCACGAGAAAATGGCCCTCATATCTTTGAACCTCATTTCATTGTCTCTTCCCGAACCATCCAGTCCTTCTATTCTAAATAGTCATCCTACATTCTGTTTTCCCTTGCATTCGCGAAACCATCCAGACTGATTATCCCTCACTCTCAGATCAAATTAAAATCGACTTTGCGCCTCCTAATCCCACGGCTTCGCAATGCCCAAAAAAAGGACACAGCCCTGTCAATCGCCGCGCGCCGCGAAATGGCCGAACTACTCTCGCAGGCCCGCGAAACATCAGCACGGATCCGCGTTGAGAACATCATCCACACCGACATCACCGTCGAACTGATGGAAATCCTAGAACTCTACGCCGAACTCCTACTTGCGCGGGCAGGACTTTTGGACATGCGGGACAAGAACATTAAAGAAGGCAACCACTCCAACACCACCGACCCGTCCTTGGACGGAACATCCTCTTCCTCTACAGGCCTCGAAGAAGCCGCCGCGAGCATCATCTACGCCGCGCCCCGACTGCCACGCGATGTGCGCGAACTGGGAATCGTGCGCAACATGTTAATTGAGCGGTTTGGAAAGGACTTTGCGGTACGGGCGAATGACAACATTGACAACATTGTCCCCGCGAGGGTCGTTGATAAGCTTAAAGTCGATCCGCCCAGTCCGAAACTGGTGCAGGCTTATCTTGAGGAAATTGCCAGGACGTATGGTGTTGATTGGCCGCCTGTGAAACAAACGAATGATTTGGATGAGTTGGCGAGGGAAATCAACGACGAAAATGACGATGATGATGATAATGGTGGGATGAAGGAACAACCGATCCTTGCAGATACAGAAACCGCTGTGACGCCTTCGACACCAGGAGGGGTCAAGAAACCGAATAAAATCGATATAGATGGCATAGGAACGCTACAGAATGCCACGCCGCCGAAAAGTTTCGCTCCAGGCGGTGGTGTCAGAAGTCCCGTGTCTGTCGCTCCGCCGGCTGCCAGGTCTGACAATCCCAGTCCCAAAGTCAGGTTGCCTGGTGGTGGTGAGATAGAAGACAGAAAACCGAAGCAACAGCCGACGACGACGTCTACTTCTACTTCTTCAATAACGGCTAAAGCAAATCATGCGCCTGCAGCGGGATCAGGAGGTGGTGCTGGAGGTGGCGTGCCCGGCAAGGTGCCCACCGTGGATGATTTGGCAAAGAGGTTCTCGGCATTAAAGAGATGAGAAACAACTTGAAGAGAATTTTCACGAAAAGGGGTGGATTGGCTCTGCGCATATCAGGAAAAAGGGAAGAGTACATTCAAGGGGATAGGGTCAGAAACCCCCAACCCACTGATGCCCATGCTGCTTCGATCATGGTACCCGGCATATTAGTACATGTGCCAATGGCAATATTGCTATCATGTCATCTCCATGCTGAGAGGAGAACATGATGCTCTTCAATGCAGTGGCCGACATATGACCGCCGAGGCAGAGCTCTGAACGACTGCTGCCAGGTGGAGGATTAAGTCTGTGGCCAGCCTGAATGAGAGACAGCCTAGGGTATACCTCCGATGGAGCGCCTCGACTTGGTCGGCCCTGAATAGGACAAGATGAAAACCCTCGCTCCCTTCCCCATCCGATCTCTTTTTAGAGCGTAGATGATGCCTCAGCAGTGATGCCACCGATTGAAGCCATTCGACGAGCCGTGGCTCCCTGTTTTGCGTCGAGTCGTCGTCTTTACAGGGGGCGAGATATATACTGCAACTGCCATCACATATCGTAGACTTCGCTGTCCATCTGCAGTTTTGTCGAATCCCTCCAGTCGTGTGCCTAGCCTTTCCACGCTTCAAGTTTGTGATGACGCATTCTGCATTGCTTTCCCTGTCTTCTCTCACAGGCAGCTGTAGCTTGGGCTATCTTGCGTGAGGTAGCGACTGGTCTTGACGGCGAGGCATGGCATGGCATCTGAGCCGCTCTCTCATCGACACCACTATTTCGTGGGAGGCACTGGTTAGCGACCATATGCTTGACCAGCTGGCTGATTGTGTGCTGTATGTAGGCGGCCGGGCCAGGCATTGTGCGCGAGTCTCAATAGATAATGTGGTGCGGAGATTTGACAGTTGGTCCAGCCGCTCCAAACTCTCCCTCAGCACCGTGCATGTTGTACGTTCGTAGGCCATGGACTGTTGTAAATGTTGATAAAGCATCCCTACAGCCCATATCGAGAGTGCCGCTTGCTCTCCGCTGCGGACCGGGAAGGTAGGAGCCATTTATATGGCAAGCAACCACACTCGGCCGTCGGCTCGTCGTCTGTATCTTTGTCCTTGTCCTCAGATATTGTTATACTGTTGGAGGAGGTAAGTAGATATCCGTCTCAATCATAGACCACTTTTTGTTTTGTTTTGATCAACGGTACGGCATGTCCTCGCGACCAACCACAGCGGCCTCCCTTTGTCGCCTCAAGGAAGAAAGACAGACAAGCCAAACTGGCTGATAATGTCTCTCTTTTTCTTTCTTATCACTCCAGTTTATCCAAATGTTCCAACCTCGTCAAAACAACCTGTTTACTCGTCTCCTCGATCTCACCGGCAAGAAACACCTCGTCGAGAATCGCATAGACCTTGTAGAAATTGAAAACAAGGTCCAATTCGCAGACATTCCCGAAAAACTGGTCGAGGACCTCCACGAAGAAATGGATGGCTTCGAGGTAAGCGAGTTCGTTGTCGTTGGCGTCGACGCAGACGCAGAAGAACAAACCTGCGTACCGTCTGTACACGATTTTGGTGGATGATAGGTTCTGGCGGACGAGATGGTGGCCACCGGTGCCCGAGGTGCCGCTGCCGCTACTGCTGTTGCTGATGCTGGGGGCGGAGCGGAACTCGACGAAATTGGATTGGTATTTTTGGTCGCGGGGCGCGATTAGGCGGTGGACCTGGACGAATATCAGTCAATAATTGTACGTATTTGTACGGGCGTCTCATTCTCGAGTGTCAATAGGACAAGGTATGTGTTGTCAAGACACGCCCCCGGGGGTGCAGGATGTGTAGTCAGTGTGGGTGTAGGAGTTCTAGAAAGATGCAGTGGTTGAAGTGTACGACATACCTCGCCCTTCAACTTGACCTTCTCTTCATCCGTGTACGGAGCGTACCATTTGGCCAGACGCGTCTTGCCCTGACGATTCTGGACGAGGATGAATGAGAGGACCATTGTGGAGAGAGTGTCTTGTCTGTAGGATATGGACGGGTCGTGTTCGTTGTTACAGTGGTTGGCTTAACAGCCGGGAGAAGGGAGAATCGGTCAAGCGATCCGAGTCATCGGCTGGAACTTGGAGCACAGTTGACACAAGAGGTAGCAAGGCATTCGCAAGCCAAAGAGACGGTGTGAGAGACAAATGAGTTACTCGACGTTGGTGTCTTTTGTCTTCCCCTAGTAGGAGGATGAATAATAAGGCACCCAACCCGGTGTAGTAGCGTTATGGCCGCGGTGTCTGCACGTGTATTGACACCGCCCGGACCAAGAGTCGATTAACTCCGGCCCTTTGTGTTTTAACAGAGAGTACAACGCCCAACCTGAAAACATCTGCATCTATCTGCTGCCGCTGTGCTGACAGGGCGCTGAGTACTGTATGCTTGAGCTACGCGAACATCGATCTGCACAAGTCGAATTCTTTTGATTCGATATGCTAAGCAGATTCAGACGTAGGCCGTCAAATTGCGGTAAGAATTGATCTACTGTACACCTCCCACGGCATGGCATCATACCTTATGTACCATCTCCATTGGGTTGTATATCAAAGCTGGATTCCAGCGCCATCGCTTGCCTTCCACAGCCGATCTGACGTGCTAAAGAACCATGTTCCTCCGATAAATTCTCATAAGCTCCGGCATACGCCAATGGAACGGACGAAACAAAAATCGCTTTGTTTTTCAATTTTGCTTTTTGCTTTTCACCCAAACATCTTGTTCATAGCCTTGTGGGCCAATTCCACTCCAACAAACGTGGCCGCATTGGCCGGGACAGCTCTGGCCAGTGCAGGGCCGAAACCCGGAAAGAAGGCTTTGATACCTCCACTCCGGTAGACACTACTGATAGTGCCACTGATGGTGGGCCGGCCTTCAGCCGACTGGAGTCTGGACTTGATAGTATCGACGGGGAAGACGGGAATCCACATGGCGACACCAGCCGCACCACCAGCCGTCATGACAGCAGGAAGACTGAGCTCGCCTGTGGCATTTCCATCTTTGTCCTTGGGACTCAGACTGCGCTTGACATACTCGTAGACGGCAAAGTAAGCGGCGGAGCCAGGCCCGTCGCGAGCCAGAGTCATTGCGCTTCCGCGAAAGACGGACCGGATCCCGCCCTCCTTGTATAATTGGCGCACGACATCGATGCCACCGCTGTATTTCGGTTTCTCGCCGGGGGCCAGCTGTTTCTGACCCTGGATCTGAAGGAGGACCTTGACGCGTTCAAAGGGGGCAGTGATGAGGGTCATGGGAATAGCGGAGAAGAACCCCGCCGCGGATATCTGTCCGATGCTATACTGCGGCGTGTTGTTGACCACGGGGACCGTCGTAAACGTGTCGACCAGTCGCTTGCCCATGTCGTATCCCCAGAAGCTGACGGCAAACATGGGAGTCACGCCCACCAGCGGCGCCGACACACCCGCATACAGACCCCGAGCCAGTCCTTCCCGTGCAATCGTCTTCTTCACCACGTCAATCGCACCCGTATACACCCCCTTGTCGGCCGTCTGTAACCGCACCTTGACCAGGTCGAAGGGATGTCCGACAATCACGGCGCAAACACCGCCCACACCGCCCGCTGCTAGTGATCTCAGCCCGGACACGGCGCCCTTTGCTGTCTCCTTGACTTGCTCCTTGACCTCTTCTTTGGAGGGAAGCTCCTCCACCGACGTGGGCACGGCTGTAGGAGCCATTGTAGGGGGATGTATTGGGAAAACAGAGTGTTGAACGGGAGGATGATGATCGCTCAGAATATGTGTTTCCTTGTTCTACCCGCCTCCTTTCTTGTTGGTTGGATCTTGTTCGTTCGGGGGGACGGAGCTGAGAGGAGAGATCAACAGCCCAGAGGCTTGTACGAGGGGCTGAAGCGAGTTGCGCGCGATAGAGAAAAAGCCTCGATTATCAGGGTGTTATCATGGCTCTGTCACGGCGCTCTTCTTGTCAACAACCTGTAGAATTCGGAGAACTTCCTGAAGACCAGATGCAATGCAGGAGAAACGAAATAGATCGTGGGCCAGGTCTCTCCATAAAAAAAGCTGTGCTGGCATCTCGTGCCCTTGATCTTGTTTGGCTCAGGCTCCGGACACGAAATGCCGAGGCTCGGGCGCCAGGCACCAAACATCGAAATTCCTCCGTGACTCCGTGGGGTCCAGTTTGGGTCTTTGCCCGCGCAGTCTGCCTCCCTAGCCTTCTCCAGCCTTCCCCGTCCTGTTTTCGTCTACCAGAAATACTCATAATTCATGCTGACCAACATCATGCCAGAAAACAAGGCGTATCTTCGGCAATCTATTGCACCCTGAGTCGGCCCGAGATCTCTTGAATGTGACACGTCAGTCTAGCATCTAGCGTTCTTCCCCCATCCTTGTATATTGATGCATCGTTGATACAAAGGCATAGTGGCATGAGATAATATAATTGTACATAAAATCCTAGAAAAGCCCCAACTCCTAGGATAGTGAAAAGCGCTATTCTCTCTGTGTAGTGTCGTCAATCTTGTTCGCCAACAAGGGTGGCGTCGGGCAGAACCGACTCGCATCTTTTCAATCTGGTCTCAACGAGGGCCGGCAATTCCGTGCATGGTCTTCATCAAGTCACCGAGCTGATCTCCAAACAAGATGTGAGCCTCAGCAACCATAACGACCGTGAACCCAATCCAGCAACCCATCAAAATGAGCGACACCTTAACCATGAGCTTGACCAACCGGATCCTGCTCGCCCATGGGAAACTCTTCCACGCCTCGACCAAACCAATCTTTCCTTGACCGCCCACGATTTCCGGAGTGGTTCTTCCGCCGAAGGTGCGGTCAAACGGAACGATCGCCTCGTCTTCTTCTGGCAGCATTGATGCAGCCACTCTGACGAAGGTCACAGTCGCCGGGATTTGCAACAGCACAAACAAGGCCAGCATAAGGAACATGCCCATGAAGCCTTGCCCGCCGATGGCATAAAGATCCTTGGTTCCAGGATCGTACTCCGGATTTTTCATATGCTTGAGGGAGCCGAACGACCCGGAAACCAAAACAGGAAGTACAGACACGAGCTGGGCCGACGTCGCCCACAAAGCCACAGCGGGTGCAATTTTTGGCCATGTCCTGAGCGGGGGAATGCGCTGGTACCATCTCTTCGTGCTAGGCTCGGAAATGACAATGTGCACCCAGGCCATGTGGAGGTTGGCGACCAAGGTTTCAACGACAATGGCAGCAAGCGCAACTCCAATCCGGCTGCCAGTGGCACCACCAATAATTCCAACCAGAGAGCCACTGGTGAAAGTCCATACGATATACATGCCCAGACCGCGTAGTCTAGACCAGTATCCCGCCCGAGCTCTGAGGTGGGCTAGAATCTCACGAATCGAAGCGGTATAAGGCTTGTTGCGGACGAGAAGCACTTCGGGATCGGCGCGGGCTCCCAGGTCCAGGTCTTCAGGTTCGTCATCGGAAGGCTTCGACGGAGGCTCTGGAGAGTAGGCCGGTGGCTCACTGGAGTCGAGGACGTCGACTGGGACGTAGGCTTGGGTTTCTGGGGATTCGATCATGCACAGAGTAGGAAGCACGTTGCCATAGGTGTAGGCAATCTGGGGAAACATTAGCCCACGCCAATGGAAGGAGACGGTGAAGCATCATCGACTTACGCAGCCAAGAAGGATGGAGAGAGATACCGCCGTCAGGAAGAAGACCATGGTAGACCATGGCGAAAGGTGCACCTCGCCTGAGGGACCATCGCTTCCATCGTCAGCAGCAGCAATCACACCGGACACATCATGGGCGGCCTCGAGGCCGCGGCGGAATAAGTGGCCAGAGAGCGTCATTGTCTGTAATGATAATTACAATGGACGATTGACGAGGTATTGGATGGGGAAGGATGAAAGATAGAGACTAAAGGATAGAAGAGAGGAGGGATACACCTCGTCTTTATCCGTTTACCCTGAAGGGCGGCGGCGATGTTTCACTACGTACTACTAGTCGCAGCAGGATCCGGGCTTCCCACTTCCACTGCAGGCTGCCATCATTGATGGTCTCGCCGACTGCGCCACACCCGCTCCATCTCCGTTATGCCAGCCTCGCCCCCAACCAGCATCAGTCCCAAAGCAACACTCGCCAGTCGGTAAGGCTGGATCGACTATCCATTCGTAGTATCTGACAAAGCATTATCTGAAACCAATACTGCTAGTAGTTTCTCATTCATTGTCTACAATTGACCCTCCTAATGGGCTTGCAGGAACGGTTCTCCGGTGTTAACTACAATGTCTAGGATTCACCCTTTGACCTGACAATGTGAGTTACCTACTGAATCAGAAGCAGCAATGCCATGGTACAAAATCAGTGGAGAGGCAAAGACGAGAAGACTTGCAAGTCTGTCTGGCATCGATTGAACTCGTCGTTGCTTCACTTCCATAACGTAGACACAGACGGCGAAGCTCCACATCATCCTTCTAAACACAAACTGACCACCTTTGACATGTAAATCCGACAACGCCCGCCAACTCCATGCTCACACAATGCACTTCAGTAGGCAGCTCACTGCAGGACGACCGTTCTGCCGAAATCGAGATTCCTTATGACGGTCCATGAATTTTGAGTAGCGATGCTCAGCTTGTTGCCACCAAAATTGACTTCGTTATATGCCAACGCCGCCCAAACTCACAGTAGCATACACCATCCGTCATTCCTCGCCAATACTTTCTCGTACAATCTTCTGACATTTCCGTCTGAACGCCTTGGGATCTTCCCTCCACATCTTTGCGGCGTCGACATTCGCGGGACTTTCATCGTTGGGGCTGCTCAGCATGCTGATGACCGAAATCAAGATCGATTCGGGTGACTGGACCGGTGACCACCTTTCTGCAGCCGACTCGTATCCATATTTGTCTTCTTCCGGCGGATGGAGGATGGAGATGCACACCTCGCCTGACGGGTAGACGTTTGGGTGGAAAATGGGACTTTCAAACTTCATCTTGGGCGGCATCAGAGGGTATTCTTCGGGAAATGACAGTCGTGCGCGGAAGAAGCCACCTGTGGGAAATCACGTTAGTTTCGTTCAAGATCAATCGCCATCACACTGCATCACAGCGTGAGGACGGGTGGTGGAGAGATGCCGTAGACATACCGCCATAGTACTTGCAGTCCTCGTTGGGGATCAGCATCACTTCCCATTCGAATATGTTGTTATCCACGAGACCACAGCTGATCCCCGGTATGTCTTTGTCTGATTGCATTTGTTTTAGTTGTCGGCTGAGTAGCACTGCTGCCGGTGATGTGGATGCCATTCTGTCGTGTGATGCTGCGCAGGTTCGGATTTCAGGGAGAAGCGTGGTATGGTAGATGAGTCTGGGTGAGTCTGGGTAATCGTCCTTGATGAAAGGTTTGGTTCAACTTGCAGAGGAAACTCAGGATTGGTTAGGTATAACTAGGTAGTGACAGGAATGCGGTGGGCAGTGGCAGAGACTCGGAAGTGTTGAAGTCGCTGGAATCGTGACATGGCATTCGCCGCCGCCGCCGCCGCCGCCTCCGCAAATCGATTCGATAGTCCTCAATCCGAATATGGCACTTTGTCCCAATTCGACGATTTCCAAGTGGCACTTTCTAGGTCCCCGAAACTCGGCATTCAATGGATGTTGGTTGGCACAATCAATATGATTCTAAGGCGTAGGTATAATTCTTTATATATTTAAGTTAATTTACAGTCCTCACGTAGATTCTATCATTCTTTCTCGCCGCACCCGGATAGATGTTGCAGTGGATGTCTACATGACCAAGCTCACTTCGTGTTTCCGCTAGTGAACCGAAGGTATGGCCGGACCTCTTTGACATCGGTGAACTTCTTCTTCGCATCTTCCGTGGAAAGTGTAGGCGGCACAATCACATCCTGGCCAGGCGTCCAATCCACGGGTGTGGTAATTCCCTTCTTGTCGCCCGTTTGCAAGCTATCAATGACTCGCAAAACCTCAGCAGTGTTCCGGCCAACCGATGCCGGGTAAAGCATGATCAATCTAATCTTCTTGGCCGGGTCGATGATAAAGACACTGCGGATCGTAAAAGCAATGCCTTTCTCATCGACATTGGTCAAGTCCTGTTCATCGACCATATCGTACAGGTAGGCAACCTTTCGCTCGGGGTCCGCGATGATGGGGAACTCCAATTGTGTCTGCGAGATGTCGTTGATATCTTGAATCCACTTGTCATGGCTCTTGAGGTCGTTGGCGCTCAAGCCGATCATCTTTACCCCTCTTTTCTCGAACTCGGGCTTCAGTTTGGCGAAGGCCCCCAACTCCGTCGTACAAACGGGCGTGAAGTCGGCCGGGTGGCTGAAGAGAATGGTCCACGAGTTGCCAATGAATTTGTGAAAGTCGATGTCGCCATGGGTGGTTTTGGCTTGAAAGTTCGGTGCCGTCACTCCGAGACGCAAACGAGGCTGTTCTCCGGCATATCCACGACAGACTTGCGCGAATGGCGAACGGAGTGGTCTGGAAGCGGTACAAGGCCGGATTCTCACGGCCGGCGTGAAGGAACGCAGAAAGGACCGAGAAACCGAGGCAGCCATATTGTGGTAGAGACGCTGCGTGGGTGAAACTGTGCACAGGACAATATGATCAAGACAACCGGGAGTGAATCGCTTAGAATCAAAACTTCGAGCTTCTACGAGCCTGATGTGTCTGTACAGCAGGAGCCTTGAGACTGCAGATCTGCTCTTGTACCGAGCCGTGGATTTCCACCAGCTCCGAGTCTCGCAGCCTTACGACTTTGGGCCCCGGCACGATGGCGTCATCGATCGCACTAGTCTCAAAGTGGACGTATACAAATCCCTAGCACCTTCTACTACTGTGTACACGTGGTTGTACTGCGGTACCAGGCACCACTCAAGTGGCTACCCTACATACCTTCAGTAGGCGTTGCACACAGTGAGTATGAGCAGTACACTGCATTGAAGCAAGCAAGTCCAGATCGTTATTCAAAGAGAAGCCGCCCACTATCGCGAACATTTCGTAGCACCCATCGGAGTCTGTGTTCAATTAAGGTGGGCGAGTCTGTAACTTCTAGCATGATCATTGTGCTCTCAAAGACATCAAACATGATCCGTACACAGCATACGCTCAATCACTCCAAAATGACCCGTGCATTAAGGACAAGAGTAAAGAGGTCGAGATATAGGCGAGCCTCACCAGCAACCAAGCCAGTCAATGCCCGAACCTCCACCCGCCCTCCAACCTCAACCGTTGTCGTTGCTCGCGGTCTGCTCGAACCTCTTCAAGAGTCAATCCATCACCGCTTAAAGCCCAATTGGCGCTGCTGGTACGGTCTCGTAGCCGCTTTAACCGATCCTTATTGCCCTTGGCGAATATCTCTTCCATCTTGAGTGGCGCAATTGGTCCGAACACAGCATCTCCATCAATTTCTTCTTGCCGAATGAGCTGTTCTGTAAGGTGGCCTGGTGTTGCCCAATCCGGGATAGGGAACGCGTTGCCGTCCTCATCTGAATCCTCATCTTCCGAATCGGTCGGGATTTCAGGTAAGTTGATGGCTTCCCCGTTGACATACTGAGGTGATGACTTGACCGTTTGGACTGTCTTTTGCTGCATCATTGACACTGGGGTCTTTGCATGTGTTGGAGGATTGGGGGCATCGGCAAAAGGAATCTTGGCACCATTGGCATATTGCTGCATCTGAGGAGGCGCCGCACGACTCGGGGGTGGTGGAAGATGTCCAAGGCTGGCAGGTGGCGGGGCTTGCGCGTACGAACTATGGTTGAAGATGGACGGCTTCTTACCCAGGTGCGATTGACGAATAGGGGCTCCCGAGACTACAGGCCGGAACGCGGGCTCCGCCGTACCTTCATCTTCTCCTGTCTTACGTCGCTTGGCGTCACCTTGAGGAGGGCCCATGCCGTATTTAGCAGCTTGGGATCGGGAGCCAATGTCTTCTTCCAACGGTCTTTTGGCCGGTTTGGCCGGGTTTGTAGGCAGTGGGTGGTTGATCAAGGAACGGCCAGCAGGTTGTCCAGTAAGGCGTGAAGACGGACGAGCCTATATTGTCATTGTCAGCAGAAACCCCCAGGGAAATCGAGATGGACTTACAGCTTCGTTGGCGGCACGGTCCAGGCGCTGCTGCTCAGCCTTTCTGGCCGCCTCCTGGCGTTTCCGTTCAATGGCTTGTTGTTGAGCCTGTCTTCTAGCTTGCTCTGCTGCCACGCGTTCTCGTTCTCGCTTTTCCGCCCCCGCACGTTGCTTTTGCTCTTGCTTGCGCGCCTCTTCTTGCTGTGCAGCTCGCTTGCGTTCGATTTCCCGCTTCTGTTCGAGCTTCCGTTGGGCCTCACGTTCATCTTGCTCCTTCTTACGTTCTGCGGCGAGTAGGGCCCGTGGTTTGGGCGGCTGACCATGCACCGATGCTTTAAGGCCGGTGCTTGACTGTAGGGATGCTGTGCTGGTCTTTTTCGTTAGCCCTGGGCGTTTTGGATCGGCGGGCAGCATCTCTTGGGCATTTGAGGCAGTGTGTGAAGGGTTGGCCGGCATTCGTTGGGAGTTTGTTGGCACTCGAATGGACACAGGCGCTGGCTTCGCTTTGTTGACTGGGGGCTCTCTTGTCGGCCGGCCCGGTCGTGCTGGTTTCGCAGCTAAAGCGTTGTACGCTGGCGGCTCTTGTTGCATTGACTCGTCAGGCACGCGTTTGGGACTCGGGTGGGTCGGCTGTTCCATACTGTTCGAGACAGGCGGCTGCTCCTGCAACCTCCGGTGTTCGCCCATCTTCCGGCGTTCCTTTTCCCGTGCTTTCTCGAGTTGCTCATCCATCTTATGCATGATCTGGGCCTCTTTCTCCTTTCGTTTCTCCCTCTCTGTGGAGCTGCGCGTTCTCCTCACTTCTTTCGCGGGACTGGCAGGAAGGGGTTTGTCCTGAGCCAATGCACCCAAATTGGGATACATCCCCGGCATGAGATTGGCCGCGGCATTTACAGCGTTGGGGGAAAGAGTTTCCAGCTTTGCTGCCGCAGACGCGCTTGCGCTCGTTGTGAATAGACCTTTTGCGGTCTTCATGATCGATTGTAACTTCGATTTTGAAGCGCTAAGATCGAGATGGCGCTTTGGAGACCCCTGAGGCGTCGTCGTTGCGTGCGGGTTAGACACTGATATCGATTTAGCGGGGCTTGCGGGCGGTGCCATTGCTGCCTTTGCAGGTGAGGCCAGAGTTGCTGTCGAGGCTGATTTCGCATGTCCATACCCGGGCCTCATTTTGGCCGGGCTCGGAGACATCCGAACAGGCGTTTTCATTCTTGCTTCATGTGCTATAAGTTCGGGAGCGCGGATATCAAATTCATCTTCCTCGTCAGAATCATCCTCGTTATTCGCAGCGCCGCTCGGTGGCGGCGATGACATGGTAGACTTCGGAGAGTTCAACGGCATGATCCAGTCATCTTCATCATCGTGGACCAAGGGGCCCTGGTTACCCGGTCGTTCAATTGTTCCTTGAACGTCTCTCTGGTCATTTGTAAATAGCATCGCGGCAGACGGTATCGATTTAGATGGGCGTGGTTGGGGAGCCTTTCCAAGCATATCTATCTTCTCGTGCAAGCGTTGTGTCGACGACTTCGAATGCATTGCAGATGCCTGTCTGTCCTCAGGAGATGCAGTATCTTGGTGTATCTTGATATTCTCGTCATCGTCATCATCGCTCATAATGGTATCCTTGGCAACATTTGGGCCATTGCTCGGCCCCGGCTGGGTCAATGCTAACGCCTGCCGCGCGCCGTAGGAGCCAAGCTGCTGCTGCATATCAACGTGACTTGTTCGTGATGGTCGGGCGCCAATGCTGGGCTTCATTGGTGCGCGCGCAGGAAGTGCAGCAAAGGTCAGACTACTCTTCCTTACCAGGGGTCTCTCCGGGCTTGAGTCGCCTGATGGAGAGCTCATGTCCTGGTCGAAGTCGTTCTGAGCGACAGCTTGTCCCTGAGCCAGGGTACCGGTTTGGGCACTGCGCTGGCTGTTCGGGGCACTCTCCTGGGCCATGGATTGGGCAGCTGCGGCGTCAGGAAATGTATCGACAACCTTGGTAGCATGGTCCTCTTCGGCAGAATGGAACGAGCCCTCCGTCGTCCTATGCTCTATGTCTTGCGCCCCGTCTAAACCTTCATCATGTGTTGTAGATATCGAAGCCGAATGCTGTTTCTGTGCCACTTCGAAGTCCTGTGAGCCTTGCATTTGCACAGCGGAATCTGTTTCATTCTCGATCGAATCATGGTACCCCGAATCAACTTGAGATTTATGGGTTTGCCGAACATCTTCGTCACGGGCGATCTCAAAGAGCGGTTTGCTTGTGTCTGCTTGCTTCTGAGGGCCCTGCCGCATAGGCGGCTTCGACGAAAAAACATCACTCAACGGCTATATCGGCATTAGTAAGAGGTAACCGTGATCATAAAGCAACATACTATTCGTGCATCTTGAGCATTTCGTTTCCTGCCGGTCCGGGGTGTCTTGCCCCGCAGCTTGCCAGGGGTTTTGAAGACATTCGACACATCACTGTATACATCAGCTGTTGTCTGCACATAGGACATGGGTACAATCCTAGCTTACACATTGCTCTTGCTGAAGATCTCCGCCATATGTTCATTGAGCCATTCAAGCTGATGTTGTGCTGGGAACACCACCTCTTCCTTCTCATTCTGCAGTAACTGTAGAGCGTTCTCCTTCTCGGCGGATATCCATGATGCGGATCCGATCGCGGTAGCTTTGGCAGCCATGGCGCCGGTTGACGATGTCGACGCGTCGAGCTAGACAGATGGAAGGGTAATGTAGTCGATGTCTGCCTCGTTGGGACTTCGTCGCGACACTTCTTTTACGTTGAAGGCGGCATCACCAGGGTTGTAGATAACGACGATAATGTTGACAGTTTGAAACATGAAAGTCACAACTGCGCAATCCAGTGTTATTGATACTGCCCAAAACGTCTTAGTTGCTTCAAACAACAATTCACGTGATCCTGAGGTTGCTTAATAAGCTGTGTCTCTTTTGATTCTGTCCTCACAACCGGTCACGTGAAGTGGTCCTTGGCCGTGCCTCCGCATCCAGCGCCAATTCGGCGAATGGATGTCCCGCGATGCGGTCTTTCCGAGAAATGATCCTCAGCGTCGGAGCGGCATTCTCTCTTCCCATTGGATCATGCTCGCTCTCGAGACCCGAGATGCTCCGCTCAAACGTCTCGAAACATGATGCTGCATCTCGGAGCCCGAGCGACCTCGGAGCTTCCCCAATGGCGGAGCGAACCATACATACTTTATAACACAACCGACACAACAAGAGCCTCGTCCTCACTCTTCGTCTTTCCTTGCCCCATAATCATTGTCCAGTGCCGTCTTGAGAATCTGATTTTTCAGCTATAACAATCTCAATTCATCATGGCCTCCACCGGCAGTTCAGCCACTCGACTTTCGTTACGCTTGCTTTGCAAGTCGCAGAGAGGCGTTGCCTCCCAACCTCGGCTATGGGCACAAGCTCCCGTCAAGGGCGGACGAAGACATTTCTCCAGCAGCAGACGGCACAAGATGATGGACATGGGCGTCTTCACGGAAGAGCAGCTCACAGTCCGAGACGCTATCCAGAAGATTTGTGCTCGATTTCCAAACGAGTATTGGCAGCAACACGACCAAACTGAAACCGACCCCAAGGAACTGCATGCCGCCTTAGCTGCCGATGGCTGGCTGGGAATCGCACTCCCTGAGGAGTTTGGAGGTGCCGGATTAGGTATCTCCGAGGCGACAATAATGTTACAGACTATATCACAGTCAGGTGCCGGGATGGCGGGTGCCCAGTCTATTCATGCCAACGTCTATGCCACCCAACCTCTGGCCAAATTCGGCAACAAGGAGCAACTGCAGTCGACCATTCCAAACATTATAAGCGGTAAATGGAGAGTGTGCTTCGGTGTCACCGAGCCTAACACGGGGCTGGATACACTGCGGTTGAAAACGACAGCAACCCGCAAAGGTGACAAATATGTGATTACAGGCAAGTCCGCCCTTACTGTCCCAGCAACCAAGGAGAGGTCTGGTTCATGATGTCCGACCGGAGGGAGCTTGGAAAGCCAGATATATTCGTGGCTGAAATCAGTTCCCAAACCGTCTCCTTGGGCAGAATTGGAGTCTGTAGGTACTAACTGGAGTATACAGGTCAGAAGATCTGGATCACTTGTGCACAGGTCGCTTCCAAGATGATCCTGCTCGCCCGAACCACACCAGTAGAGGAGGTCAAGAAGCCTAGTGAAGGGCTGTCGCTCTTTTGCATTGATATCGATAAATCCAATCCCGCACTGGAGCTCAAGAAGATCAAAAAGATGGGCGGCCGGGCAGTAGATGCAAATGAGGTCTTCTTCGACCATTATGAAGTTCCCGCGGGCACCCTGATTGGAGAGGAAGGCCAGGGATTCAAGATCATTCTCCACGGCATGAACGCCGAGCGGTGTCTCCTGGCGGGAGAAGCACTGGGCCTGGGATATGCGGCAGTGGAAAAGGCTGCAAAATATGCACGAGAAAGAGTTGTTTTTGGCAGGCCAATTGGAAAGAACCAGGCGATCGCGCATCCCTTGGCTGATGCATTTGTGAATCTCGAAGCGGCCAAGTTGGCTACTTACCACGCTGCACGACTATACGACCGAAGCAGGACTGACAAGTCTATCACTCCACATGCGGTGGGAGTTGCATGCAACAGTGCCAAGTATCTGGCGGCTGAGGCGGCCTTCAGAGCGTGTGAAAGGGCGGTCATGACCCATGGTGGCATGGGTTATGCTATGGAGTACGATGTGGAGAGATATCTCAGGGAAATCCTGGTCCCACGGATCGCCCCCGTCAGCCGTGAGATGATATTGAACTTTGTCAGTGAGAAGGTCTTGGAGCTGCCACGGAGTTATTAAATCATCAGTGTATAGAGTATGCACACAGTCTAATGGGCGAAATCAACCCGATTTGAGCGGAACCGGCTTCCGGGTCAACAAGGTCGATCCAAGCATGGCCCATGATACTTTAATAGACAGACAGCGTGGTTGACTTTGTACTTGAATTGATATCGATTGAGAGAACATTGAGAGACTGGGAGTGATCTTCTTTCGCTGGTCGCCCCAGGGCCAAATACTTATCAGAAAGGATGACGATGTATGATTTTCAATTTTATACTCCGATTTTTATTTCCTCCCCGCATATAACCGGCCATCGATGCTCGGCCACGGCCAACAACTGCAATATATTGCATATTCTCTACTTGCTCCTGAACTCCTGCATGCTAGTCAATTCAGCGGCGAAATCGCATCATGGTACGCCTTGAAGAACTTCCCGACGATTTCGACGAGAATGTCAACCTCAATGAGGCGCCCAGTGCGCCCTCCATCGAGGAGCTGTACAATCAACACATCAATGCGCCTGAACGGCAGGCAATCTCGGATAAGAGCTTTGAGGAAATAGTGCAAGAGATGAGCAAAACGCCTCTGTTCATGAACAGTTTGGACGAGGCAACTGATGATGGTACGCCGGATTCCATCCCGGCGTCGCAACCTGGCTGAGCGAAGTGGTGCGCAGATGGACAAAACACCCTAATCGAGGCCATCAAGGCTTTACAGTACGAGGGCACCAAAGCGGAGATTGCCCAAGGGTTCAAAGAGCGCGGAAATGAAATGGTCGCCGAGAAGAAGTGGAGCGACGCCAAAGAGTTCTACTCCAAGGGCATTGCGGTCTTGGTTGACAAGTCCGAGGACAAATGGGACAAGCCTGCAGACATGGAAGCTGAGATGAAGCAACGCAAGGCCCTGGAAGAACAGCTCTATACAAACCGAGCCTTGTGCAACTTGGAGTTGAGTACGTTGCTCCCGATGGGATATACACGGGAGACCTGCTGACAACCCACTGCAGAAAACTACCGGTCTACGATACTGGACTGCGCCGCTGCCATCCGCATCAATCCTTCCAACGTCAAAGCCCATTACAGGTCCGCTTCCGCCTTGCTCGCGCTCGACAAGGTCCTCGAAGCTCTAGATGTGGCTTCCCGTGGCGCAAAGATTGATCCAGACAATACTCCGTTGAAGAATCTGTTGGAGCGGATACGGACAAGGGCCAAGGCAAAAGAAGAACAGGATCGACGGCGGCAAGCTGAGCTCCGCAGGAAACAAGAAGAGAAGGCAGCATTAGAAGCCGCCCTCAAGGCCCGAAAAATAAGCGTCCGGGGCTCGAAACACCCTCCGAACTTGGAAGATGCAGTGATCCATCTGTCCCCAGACCCTGCATCACCCACGAGTACGCTCGAGTTTCCAGTGATGTTGCTCTACCCCATGCACAACCAGTCCGACTTCATCAAGGCGTGGTCGGAGAAGGACACGATCAATCAGCATCTCGACTATATCCTGCCACTGCCTTGGGACAGCAAAAACGAGTACAAACCCGACACGGTCGAATGCTACATGGACACAATCAGCGGAGGGTTGGTGAAGATCGGGAAGAAGCTGACGCTGCTGGAGGCCCTTTCCAATGGAAAGACCGAAATCGTCGATGGCCTGGTGAGGATCTACGTCGTGCCAACGTCAATGGCAGCGCAGTGGATCGAGGAGGTGAAGCGGAAAAAGGGCCGATGAGGAAACAATAGTAGAATACAAGCAACAGTGTACCTGGTATGCGACTGGTATTTCATTTTCAAGGCCACCATCTCTCTGTCCTGCGCGGTGAGCCTGTATGCCAATGATTGATCACTTGATCAAACAAGCAGACCATGGTTTGTAGCAGAGTGGTCCCCTGTTCGCAGCCGATTCAGTTGGTTCCCTGTCATGGCGTTGCATGGAAGAATCCACCCGCCCGCCGAACACCAAAACTGAATGGGCGCATTGGCCCTATAACGGTACTACTACTGTATCTCCACTGGCATCTCGCTGGTCCACCACACGAATCCTCAATCTCTCTTCGCTTCCCCTGTTCTCATCTGCATTGTCGCTCGCCATTCATTCCGCCATCCCAGGTCAGGTAGTTCGCCTGCTAGCCCCTGTCCGCCCGCGGGCCCCAGTCTCTCTGGCGTGTCGTTAGCCTCCCTAGCCTCCTCCCGCCTCTGGCATCTGCGCCACTGATCCCCGTCAAACCGTAACACACACCTGCTTCAAGGCTCCTTTTGCTGAGTACCTTTGCCAGCCTCGACGCCAATCAAGCACCAGAACCCGCTCGAGTTCCGATCATGAACAACCCCGCCGGCGTGCCCATGTATGCCTTTAGCAATCCCCAGGCGGGAAACATGAACCCGTTTGCCATGTCCCCCGGGCCGCCCTTCGATACCGCCGCCCAGACACCATTCCAACCAGGCACTCAGCCTGGCGTTGGACCAAACTTGAACCACATGCAACGGCCAGCCCACCCTCAGCAGATCCCACCGCACGCTTCACAACAGCACCTCTATCGACAACAGCCAGGACAAGGCGTGCCCCCACGACCGGGTAGCGCCGTCCTGCAGGGGACACCAAACGAAGGTTGGTTTGACACACAGAGCAACCGGTTCCTCGAGCCGTGGCCGGTTTGCCTGCAGAACACGATGCTAACCCAAATCAACAGGTCATTATCCGAATGGACAGACAACCCTTCCAATGACCCAAGCCCCGAATCAGCCATTCCATCATCCCCAGCTACAGATGCCTACAAACGTTCCTCAGTCGCAGCCAACCACCTCCGCACCGCTGGATATGAATACTGCTCCTAATATGGCGGTCCAGAATCAACAAAACGCGAGTCTGGCGCAACAGGCGCAAATGCAACATGCAGCACAAATGACGCGTCCTGTCGCTGCTCAGCATCATCCTCAACAGGCGGCCGGGCCGTCATTGTCACCACAGTCGGCCGCCCGGGAGCGTGCGAGGGTCTCAGTTCTTCTGGAAATCAATACCCATCTGTTGCAAGAGGTGATCTCTCTACAAAGCCAGGGAAAGGCAGGGACTGCGCCCAGTTCGGGTCAGCAGTCACCCACGTCGCCCACATCGGCCGACCCGGGCAACACCTTGACGAATAGCCCCGGTGAACCGCCAAAGAGTGCCGGCGGAGGCGGCGCAACTGCGAATAAGCCGCCCTCCCAGGAGTACGCGGATTGCATGCGCCGCTTGCAAGCCAACCTGGCGTACCTGGCTGCAATTGCAGATGCAAAGAAGAAAGTGGGAGCACTGCCAACCGGCCCAGCAATCATGGTTCCGCCGCCTCATCTACCACAAGTTCATGACCTGTATAAAAAGTTGAACGCTCTATTCCCTGAAGCAGGACAATCTGCCGCGAGCAAGGCGGCGGCATTTGGGGCAGCTCAGAACCAGAACCCACATGCTGGTGCCAAACCTGCCCAAGCAGCCTCAGTCTCGGCCCATGGCTGAACATGCGGGCTTTTGTGCAAGAGCAGCTATAGCAAATGCTCCCATCTACTGCTGGTCCAAGCGGATGGACGAGCACTCGCATAATGTTGAAGCACAATTCTATTGAACAGGCCCTCGTGGATACCGCATGCGTGTCATGATCTATATTGCATGCAATAACCACAAGGCTGGGCAGGCTCTCTTGATTGCCTTGTCGAACTGTATGAGGCCCAACGCCCAAAGGGAGGTCTCCTTGTGTCACTTCCATCAATCCTGACTTAGCATGACGAGGCTGCTGCGCTGCAGATAATTGCGATGGCTTGTCCGGCCACTGGACTGTCCTCGCAGGGACAGATCAGCTGAAACAAAAAATCATCACATGGACTATGGAGTGTTCAGTGACGAAGTGTTTGCACATTCAGGCGAAGCGTCCTTTCCAGCACCCGGATCACAACTCGCTACCCAATAGGTGGCAGTGGATTCCATATATCATCAAGTCTGCCACTGATGGGACTATGAGATGAACCTATTATCTAGCATGCTCCGGTGCAGGCTATATGACCGCAAAGGACGGACAACGATAATGACAGCCGGCCCGGTGTTCACTGTGAAGCAGCGGGAGCGGATTTGCGAATACTATATTTGTCCATGAGACCCTCCCACTATCCGGCACTCGCTTGTCTCCAGCTGTGCTTGCTATAGTCTGCTGCTGATGCGGCCCTCGACCACAGCGGGCCAGCAGGACATTACTGTTTGGTCAGGATGAAAAGTATGATATGGGAGCCCTGCAAGTACAATATATGTAGAATACATTGAGAAATGTCTGTACTTGTCTGTGTACGACTCACGATGTGCTAATTCCCATGCCTGGTACCTTGGTTATAAGTATCTACATTGTTGTTTGTGGCCTCACTGGCAGGCTGACTTGCTGAGCCGGAACTCGGACGTCAGGGCAAAATTTGAGTCGAGGCTGCAGGTGAAGAGTGGGTCATTTACGGTACTCAATCCCTTTCAATGTGACTCGCTGGCGCTGGTCGCGAGGAACTGGCAGCCTCATTCTCAGTGGTTGCAGGGTCGCAGGGTGCAGGGCCGCCTTACCCAAAACTTTTGCATACTATTATACCTGATGCAGTAGTGCTTCACATTCCCTGCCAGAGTGTCACTCGACTGTAGCCTTGCGTTATTGCGTCCTCACTACGCCTGGTAGAGCGTGCTGTCCGAGTCGTTGCCTGCAGTGCCAGTCACGGCGTGTCAAGTATCGCATCGACTGAGGTTCTCTCCATAGGGCTTCACCTCGTGTGTTCTTCTTTACCTGGCATCTGACTCTGGATGATATCAAGCGTCAGCCCGATCCTCAGCAGGGCGTCTTTTGTATCGTCTTGTAATACCTCCGCCACGTTTCTTGCTTCGATAACCGCCCGGCGACATTTCGCAAAACCCTTCGCCGCTGTCGTCCTTGCCAACTCGAAGTACCCTCGACCGTCTTCGGCCATTCTTGCTGCACCGTTTGCACGCCCGGCGACATTGACATTTTCGACTCGACTCCCTTCCCAACCTGTCCTAGTTCGTCGCTTCTCCTTTGCCATGTCATCGCACGCTGAAGCTCGACCCAAACGACGAACCAGCCCTATTTCCGCCATAGAGAGGCCGAAGAAACAGCTCAAGCAAGAGAATGGCGTGCCGACGCCCGGGGATGTCACTCCGCAGAATGGTTCGGTCTATGATATTGAGGCCAACTCGAATTCGCTGCCCATCATAAACACTGTTTCGGGCGCAGGCGACTCCCCCGAGTGGCAGGCTACAATAGAAAGAGTGATCAAGAGTGTGGTGTCGATACATTTCTGCCAGACGTGCTCCTTTGACACCGATCTTTCTACGTCGAGTCAAGCCACGGGCTTTGTGGTGGATGCCGAAAATGGCTACATCTTAACAAATCGTCACGTCGTCTGTGCGGGACCGTTCTGGGGGTATTGTGTGTTTGACAATCACGAAGAAGTAGGTTCCCGTTCTATTGTGCCATCCCAGGCCGTTTGCTGACGGCTTTAGTGCGACGTGCGACCTGTCTATCGCGATCCTGTCCATGATTTTGGCATCCTCAAGTTTGATCCCAAGGCCATCAAGTACATGCAAGTGCAAGCCTTGAAACTCCAGCCCGAGTCCGCCCGTGTTGGTGTGGAGGTTAGGGTTGTGGGAAATGATGCTGGCGAGAAACTCAGCATCTTGTCTGGTGTCATCAGTCGACTGGACCGCAACGCTCCAGAGTATGGCGAAGGTTATAGCGACTTCAATACGAATTACATCCAAGCCGCTGCCGCAGCCACGGGTGGAAGTTCTGGCAGTCCCGTGGTCAATCTGAGTGGTAACGCGGTTGCTCTGCAGGCAGGCGGCCGTGTGGATGGCGCTGCCACCGACTACTTTCTGCCGCTCGACCGGCCCTTGCGGGCCTTGCAGTGTCTCCAAGAGGGGCAACCTATTACCCGGGGCACGATTCAGACCCAGTGGGTGCTGAAACCCTTTGACGACTGCAGGAGACTGGGGTTGACACCCAACTGGGAATCCGCGGTACGGAAGCACTTTCCCAACGAGAACAGCATGCTCGTGGCCGAGATTGTCCTGCCTGAAGGTCCTGCGGATGGAAAGATACAAGAAGGGGACGTTCTCATCAAGGTGAACGGAGAACTCTTGACGTCCTTTGTCAAGCTCGATGCCATCCTGGATTCGAGCGTAGGGGGAAAGGTGGATCTTTTGTTCCAGCGTGGAGGAGAGGATATGGAGGTCACACTGGACGTGCATGATTTGCATGCAATAACCCCTGATCGATTTGTCACAGTGGCTGGCGGTAGCTTTCACAATTTGTCTTATCAACAAGCGCGATTATATGCTATTGCTTGTAAAGGCTTGTATGTGTGCGAAGCCGCAGGCTCGTTCAAGCTGGAGAGTGCCCTGTCGGGATGGATCATTGATACGGTTGACCAGAAACCCACCCCGGATCTGGATACATTTATCGAAGTCATGAAAACAATTCCTGACCGCGCGCGAGTTGTCATTTCCTACCGGCACATTCGAGATCTCCATACCCGAGCCACGAGCATTGTCCACATTGACCGTCACTGGCACCCGAAGATGAGGTTGGCCATCAGGAACGACCAGACTGGACTTTGGGATTTTGAAGACCTGGGCAAACCTCTCCCGGCCGTGCCCCCCGAGCCCAAGTCGGCAGATTTTATCCAGCTCGACGGAGTTAATCTACCCGCAGCTGGCGAAATTGTTCGGTCATTTGTCAAGATATCATGCTACATGCCGGTCAAGATCGACGGCTATCCCCAGGCCCGGCGGACAGGGTTCGGGCTGGTGTTTGACGCGGAGAAAGGGTTGGTGGTGGTCTCCCGAGCAATCGTGCCGTACGACCTCTGCGACATCACGGTGACTGTGGCAGAGTCGGTTCAGATCGAGGGCAAAGTGGTCTTCCTTCATCCGCTGACCAACTATACCGTGATTCAGTATGACCCGAAGTTGGTGGATGCACCTGTGCAGTCGGCCAAGCTGTCGACGGACATGGTCAAGCAAGGTGCCGATACGATCTTTGTTGGGTTCAATCAGAATCACCGGATAGTCGTGGCCAAGAGCACCGTGACCGACATCACCTCTGTGGGAATACCGGCTAACGCGGCTGCTCCTCGATATCGCGCCGTTAACCTTGATGCCATTACAGTCGACACCGGCCTGTCGGGCCAGTGCGCGTCCGGTGTGCTCATGGGTGCGGACGGCGTTGTACAAGCTTTGTGGCTTACATACATGGGCGAGCGGAGCCAAGGGAGCCACCGGGACACTGAGTATCATCTTGGGTTGGCCAGCAGCATGATCACCCCTGTGCTGGACCAGATCAAGAGTGGCGTTATCCCAAAGCTGCGAATCCTCAACATGGAGACGTATGTGGTGCAGATGGCACAATGTCGGATCATGGGAGTGTCAGAAGAATGGATCAAGAAGGTGGCCAAAGCCAACCCGTCTCGGCATCAGCTGTTCATTGTTAGGAAAGTGGACTGCGGACCAGCCAACGGGCCCCATGATGGGCAACTGTTGCAGGAAGGGGACATCATCCTCACCCTTAACGGTCAACTCATCACACGTGTCTCCGACTTCGACATCATGTACGATAAAGAATGGCTGGACGCGCTGGTCGTGCGGAAAGGACAGGAGGTTCTCTTACGGGTGCCGACTGTACCAACACAGGATCTGGAGACATCTCGGGCTGTCATCTTTTGCGGAGCCGTTCTTCAAAAGCCTCACCACGCGGTGCGGCAACAAATCAGCAAGCTGCACTCGGAGATATATGTCAGCGCTCGAAGTCGAGGATCGCCAGCGTACCAATATGGCCTGGCGCCAACCAACTTTATCACCCACGTCAACGGGGTCAAGACGCCAGACCTCGATACCTTTGTCAAGGAAGTCAGCAAGATTGAAGATAACACCTATTTCCGACTGAGGGCCATGACCTTCGACAACGTGCCGTGGGTGGTGACGATGAAGAAGAACGAGCACTATGTAAGTACAGTGTCGGCGTCAAAGAATTTGATGGAAGGCTAACCCTGTTATCAGTTCCCCATGTCCGAGTATGTCAAAGATGACAGCAAGCCTACAGGATGGCGAGTGATCTCCTACAGCGGCAAGGGCAAGCAAGCTGGCGGCAAACATGATGGAGCGCCCATCACAGCCGAGGGCATGGATGAAGAGGCGGGCGCAAGTGAGGGTGACGGGGACGAGGCACCAGATGCACGAGCACAGCCAATAGGTCTTCAACACTGGGAGGTTGAGCCTTAGAACGGGATGTCCTCCCACCGATGATGTTGCAAGAACTGCAAGGCTGCAAGATGCACCTTTGCACAGTGGGGAGTATGGGACACTGGGGGGCTTGAAGGCAGCCTTGTTTCGGCAGCAGTCAACCCAGTGGTATACTGCCGAGTCCCAACTATACGGCAATGCAGCCCACACGAACCAAGCTCATAAAAACATACCTACCTTAGGTAGTGGTACGCTGGGCTGTTCGCAGCCCAGTGGTGATGGCATCGAGGTGGATGAAAGGGCCATGGCACTACAACTACCTAGGTGCTGTGTACTGTGTACAGTGTACAGATGTTGGTACCTAGTATCTGCTGGCAGTATGGCCCAGATTGGCACATGTCAAAATTGAACAGCTAAGGGCCGTGCAGTGAGTGCAGTGGGCGATAGCAGCCGACAGCGCCGGCAGTTTCTGGCACGGCAGAGACTCGGACTGCCACTGCAGTGAGACAGGCTGCACAATAACAAGATACCGCTTAAGGTGCATAACTATACTAATATGGGTCTAGTTTCCTCTGCGATTCTATTCTTAACCTTTTCTGTCCAGTGACGTATCTTCTATTTTTTCTGCACAGGTATCATTTTACCTGGTGCCAGATTGCAGTGCTGCAAGCTTCAGTCCAACATAGAAACACAAGTATGGTATCTCATTGCTGTTTAATAGTGTACGGGTAAGAGATCATCAGAAACAAAGATATGCAAAAGTTGAATGATAGTAGCTGTGAGGGGCCGGAAAAGCCACATTGTCCTGAAAGGATGATGTCGTGCGAAAATGAGGTGCGCGCATGTGTGAATGATGTAGTCCAGTGGAGTGATTGGCGGTTGCTGTGGGCGCACGCGATCAAGTTCTCAGTCTGAACAGCCGCGCACTGCAGCTTCGACTTTCCTTCAAACTCGAATAGAGGACCAGGCAACCTTTTCCTGCTGCTACGTAACACAGACAGCTTGCTAGTGTTCCTTGCTGAGGTTGAAAATGTGGTGTGGCGCTGGGGACCCCCGATGGAAGGTTCAGGATCCAAAACAGTATTCGAGTTCCGCACAACAGCCACTCTTGCGTCAGAGAGGCGTGTTCGGTGGGCATTTCCTGGAACCCGACTAGAACCATGGAAAAGGCGGAGACACATGCGAACAGACATACAGACACACAATACACTGGCAGAAGCAGGAATCACGCACGTCACAACAGTTGAATAATGCAGGAGAATAGTTCTGGTGCTACAGTTGTCCAGGGTGTGCCGATAAAATACAGCTTGAAGCCATGGTCGACACGCTGCCAGCCTGAGGGGGTTTTAGAATTCATTCAGTGCTGGCAAAGGAGGAGAGGGAGCTACAGTTTAGGCGTAGCCACGCGGCCTAACTCGAGGCTGTTAAGTCCTCTTTATCATGGGAGTAGACGCCTACAGTGCATCTGGCATAGAAATTCACGGCGTAAGACTGCCTGGACAGATAGTAACTGTACTGTGGTGGTTAGCGGTAGCAAAAATAATGTTGTGCAGTGTTGCTACGTTAGAGCCTGTTGCACCGGCGCATTCACTGCCAGTAGTACTAGAGAGGTGTTAACAAACCAATGGCCGCTGACTGGAGCTTGATCTCGTCACTGCAGCGCAGCCAGACAACTTGAAGGACAGCACTGGCAACGCAACCAAGTTTCCCTGACCTACCTCACTAACTGCGGTGCCGTTTACCTCACTACCTCATCCGTCCTCGCCCTCCCTCACACCTGCAACCACACAAAACCAGATCTCTGCTCTGGATTCGTGCCTGCACAACTTCCTCTCTTCCACAATCAAACAAACTCTCATCCATCAACTCATCGCTACTGTTTTCATCTTCCTTCTCCTTCATCCCATCTCAACTGCTTTCAAGCACTTGTTGCGTATCCCGCGATATCCCATCACTACTATTGACGCTCTGACATAGCTCCCTATTGTCTCGCGTGCCAGTTTGCTCTCACACAGAGAGCTGTCATCAACCATGTCTTTTGACAACTACAAGACGTCGTCGGAGCTTCCGACTCACACCGACCAGTTTAGCACTGAGCCCAACGCTCAAGCTCCCAAGCTGAATGGTACAAACGTCAGAGATACTCTGGTCGACAGTAAGGTAAGCGAACTGAACATGGGTCCCCTTGGAAAATTGATCGTGATTGATGCTAACGACGTGGAATAGGTTCCCAGCTTCGTTTCCTCGCTTTTCCCACTGACATCTCTCCAGACGCAGCTGCGGCCGTGAACACCGTGCAAAACCACCCCATCACTCAGAATGTTGTCAATGGTATGATGTCCGACACCAAAACGAAACACGCATGTTGACAAACATACATCAGGTCCTGTTGCAACATCCATCAAGAACGAGGCTGGTGCCACTGCTTCCGAGTTCAGCGAGCTAGCCAACTCTCGTCAACCCCCGTCCTACACTGCCGCAAATGACACACCTCTGACTCGTATGGACCTGGATGGCCTGATTTTCTGGAATGTGATTGACTGACCAATATTTAGACTACCATTCGTTCTTCTACACCTTGTTGAGCGTGAGTGTTAACAGTCCTGACAAGCAGTTGCAGTTGCTGACAGCGTTTTAGTGGAAGAACAAGAGAGCCACTGGAATCACCTACCTCGGCCTGGTTGCCTTCATCTTCGCCTGCCGCTACCTACCGATCCTGCGATACTTCCTGAAGATTACATGGATGACCCTTGGCGGTATGTCTTGATGCCTGAAAACACTACCATGAATAGCAACTAACGTATCGCATAGTCGTCACCTTGGCCGAGGCCTCGAGCAAACTGGTCATGGGCTCCAGTGTTGCAGGTGCTGTCCGTCCCCGACGCTACTACAAGATTCCAAAGGAGACCCTCGAAGCCTCTTTGGACGACCTTGAGAACCTCATCAACTTCTTCGTCATTGAGGGTCAGCGCATTGTGTTCGCCGAGAACGTTCCCGTAACCGCAGCTGTACGTCCCCCTCTACTCTAAAACGACTGGCAAATGATGCTGACAATTGATAAGGCTTTCCTCTCTGCGTTCGTTACCTACTACCTCATTAAGCTCCTCCCATTCTGGGGCGTCGCCTTGGTTGCGGCCAATGTCGCATTCCTTGGTCCTCTGATTTACCTTGAAAACCGCGAATTGATTGACGCCCAATTGGAGCATGCGGGACACATTATCAACCAACAGACCCATCAAATCAAGGACTTGACTGCGCAACACACCAGCAAGGGATTGGAATCTGTCAAGCAATACACTGGCACAGCTGCCGCCAAGGCTCAAGAGGTCGTTGGAAGTGCTAGACAGAAGATTCCCGCTCCAAGCACCGTCACTGGAAGCACCAATTCTGCCAACACCAACAAGCCGGTGAAGGAGGCCGACTTCCCGTCTGCACCTCGCTCTGACCTTCCTGCACAATCCGCCGCCGACCAGAAGGCCGACCTCTACTCGTCTTCTGTTGAAGAACCGAAGCAGACGATCTATGCCTCTGACATTGGTAACCCAAATGCTGATACCTATGCCTCTTCCGCTGGAGAGCCAAAGTCTGAGACTGAACGCCTGCTCGCATAAAGTGCAGGTTTGATGTGGTGGCGGCATGACAACCTGAAAGCGTGCACTTTCCCAAAAGGGGCACGTAGAATCCGGCCGACCATATTTCCGAGAGATGACAAGAGACAACAAAAGTGACGAGACAGGAATGCCGTCTTTTCCAGTTGACGATTTTGTACCTTTACCCGAGAAGGGTGATGCAGCGGAGCGTCTGAATACCACCGAACTTTTCTGCCAGGAAAGCTAATGGGGAGAGCGATAGGCTCTTCTAAGTCTCACAGTGGGGGACTGGAAACAAAAGCGACGTTTGACAGTGAGGCTCAAACCTGCGTGTTGTATGATAGACAGCGAGTATGATTTGGCAGTCTAGGAATAGCATGCCTATTGTTTTGCAAATTGTGTTTTGTCTCCTCGCTGCTTTTTTCTTTACACCGAATCACCAATAGAGTAGACAGCCATTAATCAAACCCCTTTTTCTTCGATTCTCTGTCTTGTACTTCGCTACCCGTTTCTATTTCAAGAACCGACAACGTCCAGCCTATTTAGTAGGCCACTACCAGGAGGATGGCATGATCTAGGTTGGGTTTCATTTCTTAATCTTTGTTGTTTAAATTGATTTGATCATCTACCAGTTATAAAATGGCCCTTGAGAAGAGTCGGCATGGGTATTGGCAGATAATACTCGTATGGCAGAAGATTGACGGGGTTGCACAGTTGCACATCTACAAGCGAGCGCGCTCCCTCTCGTCTCTGACCACGACGCCCTTCCTGCCCTGCTTGGACATGTCTCTGAGGACACGGCGGAGGATCTTGCCACTGGGGGACTTTGGAATCTCGTCGACGACCTCGATCTCGGTGATCCACTTGTGGCGGACCTTTTTCTCCTGGACGTATTGGATGAGCTTCTTGGCGACTTGTTCCGGGTTAGAACGCTTGGAGGGGATGAGAACAACATAGGCCTTTGGTCTTTCGCCCGCATACTCGTCGGAGATGCCGAGGACAGCAACATCCTCGACGTCCGGGTGTCCCAACAGCAAATCCTCGAGTTCGGCGGGTGCGACGCCAATACCTTTGACCTTGATCATCTCCTTGAGCCGGTCGGTGATTGTGATCAGCCCTTCTTCGTCGATGGAGCCGATATCGCCCGTATGCAGGAAACCGTCCTGATCAAAGGTCTCGGCCGTGGCGCGCGGGTTGTTCAAGTATCCCATGACGATCTGGGGTCCACGGGCCCAGATCTCCCCTGGTTCATTAAGGCCACATTCCTTGCCTGTGGCAGGATCGACGATCTTGACTTCTGTAGATGCCACAATAGTGCCCACGCGGAAGGCATATTTGTAGTCGTACTTCTCGGGCGGGTGGGCAGTAATACACGAACAGGACTCGGTCATCCCATAGCCTTGCTTGAATCCCGTTCCTGGGAATTTCTTTTGCAGCAGGTTCAAAATCTCGGCACTGAGAGGCGCGGCGCCCGAGGAGAAGCGTTTCAGAGAGGATAAGTCGTATTTAGCCAAAGTCTTTTCATCGCGAACCATGCGGATCAAGATCGGAGGGACCAGCAGCATTTCTTCCAATTTGTATTCTTGCACCGTGGCCAGCATCGAGTCCATGCTGAAGCTGGGCAACATGTAGACATTTGCATTGAGAATGACGGGTAAATGAAGCTGGTGCACCAGGCCAGTGATGTGGAATAGAGGCAAAACGGCCAGAATGCGTTTCAGCGTCGCTGGTGTGATCTGCTTGATTTGCAGACATTGCGCGATCACGTTCGAGTGGGCGATCATGACGGCCTTGGGGAGACCCGTTGTGCCGGAACTGAATGACAGGAACCCGCATATGTCTTTGTTCTTCTTGCCCGCAGGGATCTTGAATGGTTCGATTTGACCTTGGTCGGAATAGGAGCGACCGATGGCTAATAGTTCAGCCATGGTCGTGAATCCTTCCAGCTCGCCCTCGAGAAGAAATACATGGTCGCGTGGGATGCCTGCGTTCTCGGCTGCTGCTGCTGCTACTGCCATGCTTCCTGGAACGGTGAATAGAAATTTGGCTTCGGCGGTTTTCAGTGCGTAGCTCATTTCTTCAACGTTGTAGGCTGGTGATGCGCCGGATACGACACCGCCGGCCCGGAGTGTGCCGAACATTGCGCATGGGTACCATACTGTGTTGGGGGAGAATAGGGCTACTGTTTGCCCCTGTTGGAGCCCGTATTTCTTCACGAGGGCTGTTGAGAGGTGTGTCGTGTGGGTTTTGAGGTCGGCGTAGCTGAGATGCTGTATGTCATGAAAATAAGATGGGCGTGACGTTAGCCTGTGTACAATATATCTCGCCGAAGGATCATATTTTGTTTTTCCGCCATGGCTCAAAAGACATATTTCGACATCTCGAACATTGGCAGATTGAAGATAGATGTATAAGCAGGAGAGTGCAACTCAATTTCGCGAAGCTATTCTGCATTCCTGAAATAACCATAGAAACATTGAAATTAAAGGAAGGGACATGGCGTGTAGTGTGTATGGTGGTTCTTCAACCCAGCAAGGCAATCAAATATCACATAAAAGCAAGCGCAGAAACCAGGACCAGAACCAGCAGAAACCAGAAACCAGGCTCTGCTCAAAAGGGGTACTCTCACTCACCTCCTTCGTCACCGCATTGGTGTATCCCTGCATCTCTTCCGGCTTGTAGTTCCTCAGCGGACTATATTCGGAGTCGAACAGCCACGTCCATACGGGCAAATGCCATGGCACTGTAAGAACATGCCCACTTAGCATGAGTATATATGGTGTCCCTCAAAAGAAATATCCAGTATACAAAACAAGTAGACCACTCCACAAGATACACACGGGGGACGGTAAGACAAGGTATTGTTGGGTACGTACCGTTGATGGGCGGTTGTTGAGACTTGAAGATGGGCATCTTTTCCTCTTTTCTTCACTTCACTTCTTGTTCGTCTTTTGGGTTTCTCTGGTCTAGATACTGGTCGTTGTCGTGGGGGGCTGTTTCTGTCTGAAGGTTCTGGGTTTCAATATCTTGGAACACAAGCCCGCGCTGTTGAAGACGGTCCTGAGAAACCAGGGCGATGAACAGCTAGACGGATGAGAGGAACCAGAAACCAAGGGAGTCAAAGTACTCTCCAGTCTTACAAAGATCAGAAAGCACGAAACCTGAGACGAAGGAATAGATCTCCAGAACGGCCCTTTTCCTCGACCCTACAGTAAAGTATATAGATCAATCAAATAAGGTCCCGGAATCTTTGAAGAAGACGGCCATGCAGAAGGCAGTAATATTAGCATCCGAGTCGTGGACTCGATTCTCCATTCCGGCGGAAGAAGCGTTAAGCGTCACATCGAATCCGTACATCCTCGGATCTCTCGTCCTCGGCACAGAAAAATGCGGAGAGAGATATGTGGGTCTCGAACTCGATGATGAGAACTGTCACCTACTGTGAGATAAGGGGAAGCTTACATAATGCTGTACTAGACCAATTTTGGGGAGACAGCACGTGTGCAGCTTTGTGCTGTATTAGTCAGCCACAGGCTTGTGCCTCAACGTGGTGGCACTGGCAGCTAGCCCCTTCGTCTGTAGACGCGGCTCTGCCCCTAATAAGTGCACAACAGGTACAACTGAATCGCTATCCGGGTAGCTACGGTGGTGGGTTAGCAGATGGCCAGGAAAGCGCCAGTACCGCCGTCAAGGCCATTTCAATCAGAAGTTTCATGTTGCGAACAGTTTTGTCATGTCTGATTTGATTCCAGCCCCAGGCGGACAAAGAGCAAAGTTCTGCTGCTCTAGCCAATTCTCCGTTTGGCTCCAGTTCGTCCCATAACGCCTAAACAAAAGCAACTCCATTGACCTCTTCCAGTATCGGTATCCATGGCTTACCAGGGCCCATATCACCAGTCGTGCGCCGTCCAGCTATCCTAGCTCCAATCCATCACAGCCCAACAGTTCTTCTATGGTGTTTCTCATGACAAAGCTTTTCCTAGTCGAACGAGTGAAGAAATAAACGAATGAATGGTTGCATGCCTTGTTTGCATGCTTGTCGCTTTGATGCTCGCCCGCCCATCTCCCCTGACTCGCCAGCAAAAACACTCATCTACTTGATCATCTCAACCCATGAATCGGAAATTCTCGACGCCCATGGTCGGCGTCTCCACCAAGGAGTCTCGTGGCACGCCATCCTGCTTGCGTCGGCTATAGAAGCTCCGGCAATCATGTACCACATGGGCCCATTCGGCGAGTGCTCGTCCAGAGTAACGAGCCGTGTTCAGTTCATGATCCCGCGGTTTGAGTGGTTTCACTTCTGGTTTTCTTGTCTCCATTTTCGACTCACTGCCGGCAGTTTCGCCACTGTTTTTGACGTTACAGTTCTGTCGTGAGCGTAGGATCGTTTCCGCGTTGTGTGGGAGTTGTGGAATTGTCAACAGTCGGTTCTGGCTTCGGCGCTCCAAGCTATTACCCATACCAAGCCACTCGAGCGAGAACTTGAAGGAAAACGCTTGATGCGGAGGGGTGTCAGGTCGATATGGTCGATTCGCGGTAATGGCACTATTGGGGCCCGGCGTATTGTCGCCGCCTGGAGTCGAGCCGTTTTCGTCAGGACTGCCCGGTGGCGTCACTTCTCCAGGTCGGCTATTTCCCGAGCTCGCTCCGAAGGCAGTCAGTCCACGGAAGAGACTCCATCGCTTCTTGTTTCCCTGACGTGGTTCGTCGGCGGAGGGGATTGTGCTCAGGGCCGAAGAATGATTTTGGTAAGGAGAAGCCTGGGTGACCACCGCAGGAGGCAGGCGACTCTCAAAATCCATCTTCGAGGCTGACAAGATCGGCTGGCTGTCCGTGCGAAGGATCACAAGCATTCGGCTAGGCGCAGGAGTACAAGGAGCTGAGGATGGCGGAAGGAGGCCTCGCATTTCAGCTTCGGCAACGAGGTATTGATAATGTGCCCAGCACTTCTTCAGGCGCAGTGAAAGCGTTTCCAAAATTTCCCTACCACAATCGTTAGCACAAGAACGTCTCCGTTTGCCAATGGTTTCAGACTTACAAGTCCAGCTCCGATACCTCCTCATCATACCGGGCCACCCTCCAACACAAGAGTCGGTAGAAGTAGTGGCGGACCATTGGGGACCAATGACAAAAGTTCCTCTCGAAATTCGCCTCATCCAAGAGCCAGTCGAGGACGAGCTCGCGTTTTCTGTCTTCATTAAGAATTAAAATGGACCATGTAGTGTACAGGAATGCGATCAACCGGATCTGGGTGAGGCTGGTTTCGCTCTGCATCATTTGCTTCCAGACCTGCATCCAGAACGGCCAATCAAGAACTGGAGTGTCGTTGTAGGTCTGATGGTAGCGTAGCATGATGGGGAGCACTTCCTCCATGAAATCGCAAATAACAAAACAAGCTTCATTGTTGTACAGGGAGATGTTGCGCGTGGCGCATTTGGTGATGATGTCAAAGGTCCCAAGAAACAAATTTCGGAAGGGTGCATGGTCAGGTTGAGGGTCGCTGAGTACATATCTCAGAAGGATGATGAGCCGGTTTTCCGCAATCGATCGGGTAGCGTTTGCCATGGTCATGGGCAGCGGGGCCCTCGCATCTGCTTGGTCCATGGGATAACCTGCGCCCGAAGAATAATTGTCGACGACAGGTTGTCCAGCCTGTCGATAGATGGTGTTCTCAAGGACGACCAACATCTGTGCACATACCGGAACGAACCCAGGAATTCCAGCACGGTCTTTTGTCGATATCTCTTCTGGGAGGAAGTCCGACACCAACAGGTGGTACTGATTGACAAACGCAAAGAACAAGTCACTGTCTCGTCCGGACCATCGTGCGACCCAGTTAAGGCCCCATTCGGTTCCGTTCCAGCCAGGAGGCATCTGACCGCGCTGTTGCAAATGGCGCATAAGAGCTGCCTGCGATGAAACGGACAGACTGCGTACCGCAGTTGGGAAGTGTCCGGCCAGAGCGGTCGAGACCAAGTCCAGTTTGTAGCCACGAGTAATTCCCAGCTCGTTGAAAGTCCGTTTCACGACGGCAGAAGGCAGGCGCCACGACCTGACCAGCAAGTCCGCCATGCCTGGGCAAAAGAAGAAGGCATATGCACATGTTTTCCCTGCGAAGGTGACCAGGCTCGCTGGTGCAGTTTTGATAGAAACCTTTTCCACCACAAATGCCATTTGTGAGAGCAAGTTCTGGACAAACACGTTCCGCACGTTCCGATGAATGGTGTCAGTGAGGAAATCCGCCTCGTCCGATTCTAGAGAATTGCTGGACTTTGACTTCGATATCGAACAGGGTACAGTAGACTCGCCGATGGGAGACATGTGCACCGGCACTCTCCATTCGGGGCGTAACATGATCATAGTGGCTGTTTCCAAGAATGCCGGTCGATCAGTTCCCGCAATTGCCTGATTGCTCGTTCCATGAAGCAGCTCAAGGAGACCAGTCCACCATTTATTCAGGATAACCACCCGGCGATCTAAGTCCTCGGCGCGAAGGTCATGGTTGGAAGGATGGTTGGCGTATTTCTTCAGAAACGGCTGCAAAGTGCCTCGGAGTATCCTGGCTTTCTGAAGACTTGCCCTGCTGTGAAAATTCGTGTACTCACCGTCGATCGTCCGAAAAGCCGACCATAGCGGGTCCTTCTTCTTGCCAGCCTCAAAACCAAGCGTCGCCAGTCGTTCGGAGGAGTGTGGGCTCGGTAAAGGTGGTAATCTAACCAGAGAAATTCTAGACTGCGATTTTTCTGTCGAACCTTGGCTCTTTAGTGACTGCGATGAAGCATTTCTCGATAGACGTTTTGGACTGCTGCCCTTTTTCTTCTTGGACTGAGAAGGGTCAGGTTGATTGCCCCGAGCCCTAGTCTGGTTTTGCGACTCAGCAGATGACGTGGCCGAAACAGATGGCACGGTGGAGAGATCAGAGACGGTTGAAACTTCCTGCTCTTCATCGGCCTTGACCTTGCTCGGCGACAAACTCCTAGTTCTTCCCACCAGTTCGCCCTCTTTGCGCGCAGGGGATGCAGGCCGCGACGAAGAGCCAACCCAGGATTTGCGAGCCAACGTGCGGATGGTGCCTGTAACCGATCCTCTCAGACTCTTCGCAGGTTCCTCCTTTTCAGAAGACGACTTCCTGCTTGTTCGTGTTTGGGCATCTTCCTCGTCTGGGGGCAGCGAGAAAATAGCGGTCGACATCCTCTTTTTGGCCTTTTTAGATGCTCTGCGGAAGAGAACCATGTTCGCAGAACTGAGTAGGTCGTTCAACTTGGCTGAAGGGTCAGGCGGCAGCGAGAGGACATTCTCTGAGAAGGTTCGCTTGATGGCAGGGGGACGGATCTCTCTTCCTGTTTGCAACTCTGAGATGTAGGTGTAGCTTGCAGAGCGAGTTAGATCCGCCGAAGGACGTTCAGAAGCCTTTTCAGAGTCAGGACGAGGAGTGACTGAGTGAACGGGGCTGAGGACGTGAGCAGGCAGCGCCGGCATGACCTGCCCCTCGACATGTGCAGCCATTGCAGTGTTGGCCGCGGGTTCAATAGATTAGACCCGCGTGGAATCTGTCTGTATCTCTTCTCTTCTAGATCCCGCCATTAGACAGGACTGGCAGCAGGCATCACAGGAAGACCGAAGACAAGGCCACGCGGTGCTCAGGGAACGAACGGCCGGGAGGATCGGATACTATAGTAGTGGACTGATAAGAACAGAAAGAATAAGGTCGGTCTAGGAACGACAGACGGGGGACGCGGGTTCACAAATACTCGAAGATACACATTGAAGAAGAATAAGAAGTAGAATCGACACGCGGGAGAAGCAGAGTGCAGAGATGAACGACAGTAAGAAGTGGTGGATGGAGATCTCGAAAGCAGAGTCCAGCTGCGGTCGGTCGGTCTCGTGTGGAAATGAACCTTGATTGAATCCGGGTGGATGTTGCAAGCACAGCGACCGGGGGCTGCGAAGGCGCTGAATGGGCGCAGCCTCCTAGGGCCCTCATCGGCGTCATCAACCGCCGGCGCCTGCGCACATCTTGACTCAAGACAACCTTGAGCCTTGAAACATCAGGGATCTCTCACTAGTACGTTGTATTGTATACTGATCCCCGGTGTGTAGATTGCCCTCCGAGTTCTCGCGTGCCGGACTACTGCTAGATGCTCCTCTCCGGCGACTCTTTATACTCGAGTCCCGCGCTCCATCGTCCTACCGTGATAAGGCGCCGCCTTTCCTGTAACTTCCAATACGGCAGCGAGCCGTGCGCATACCCGTCCCTCCGTCCCTCGGCCGAGCAGGTGGCCCCTGGTGTTACTATCTTTGTGCGACGGTCCGCCCTGTCACTTCGCTAGGCAAAAACGCCAATCACTCGATCACGACCACGCCTTGTTTCTCTCTACACGGGTCGCGTCACGCAATATAGGTACGGCTACGGCAACGGCAGCATAACCTCGCCAAGGTCGAAAAGATCAGAGTGTGTTAGTTGCGGACATGGCTCGACAGGGGAACAGAGTTCTGACTGCGGGTGCTCCGGCCGTTCTCCACGGCGCTGCGGACGTTGGCATGCATGGGTGCAACGCCTATCAACGCATGGCCTCCGCAGCCCTGGCAAAAGATCCATCTCCGGTGGTGTCCAAGGGCCAGTACAAGATGAAGCTGCTGCCAATGCCGGTGCTTGCCAGAACTTGTTGGAGCCCTTAGAGATGCAAAATACGTAGGACATACCCCATTGTCGTTGTGCCTGTAGACAGTATATGTAAATCAGAAATACGGGCTCCAACCTGGTACACGACAACCTTGAGGACCTAGATCTAGAGGGCTTCGCGGCCATTACGGTCTTTTGGAATCGACCCGCAAAACGATCTTGAGGCTGCAAACTGGAGTGTATGGTTGTCGAGGAACTTGTAGCATTTTCAGAGGCCTTCCTCCAGGATCGCAGAGACCACCCGTCTAAAAAAGTGATGAAGAGACCTTCTGATCATCCTCAACGCTCGAAGCACCGTTCCTGTACATCGCTCGAAAATCCGTCCGTGGCCAATTAATGGTGGGCAGGTTCATCATCGTCCTCCTCAATATCCTCAAAGAAGTCTTCCTCCGCCTGTGTCTCGCCAGCCGCGCTCTGGCCTTCGACTTCCACCACCTGTTCTTCATATTCTTTCATTTCACTAGCGAGATTGGTTTCTTCCGGAGACTTTGGTGGGGGAGGGGGTGTAAATTTTTGGACGTGGCCTTCAGCGTCGGATGCCTTTTGCGGTGCTGGCTTATATGCTCGGAGCTCTTTCAAGTACAAGTCCTGAATCAGGTCGGCTGCAGACGTTAGTAGTTTTCCTGGGCGTGGCGTGTAGGGTTTGCGTACGCATCTTCGAGACTGACGAAACTGCAAAGCTCCGACGAGGAGCCTGCATGGTTCGGAAGCTCATGCGAGCTAGGACTCGAGTCTATCACCCGCGTCAGTCTTGTCAAACGGTTCATGCACACAGAGACCAAACTCACGCTGGCTCTCAGTGACTGCGCCATTGTTTGCTGATATTTGAAGGGTGCAATGGGTGCTCAATCCGATCTGAATGAAGCTCGATTGATTCCTTGAAGCTCGCTTTGGCGCTAGAACCATTTTAGGAACAGCGCGTCCACGTGACCTTCCAGCCTCTGACAAACTCTCAACCTTGATATTTCAAAGCGCGCCTCGCTCCTCCTTTCCATCACCTTCTCTTCTTCATCCCACCGCCACCTTTCCATCGCAGAAACCGTCATATATCATCTCTGTCGACTCGTCTGATTTTATCAGAGAAGATTACACTGACGAAGTGCGCATTCTCGAACGACGGGCCGACGAGCGACTTTCGTGCTCCGAGATACTTTCAACGTCTTTGACTCACGAGACCTTCACTGGTTTGAGGTCTAAGTCAGGTCCTTGCTCAGTCTTGCGCCGGTTTCAAGCGACTGCGATTCAGCATCACACGAAATCTTCTTACTCCTTCAGAAAGGTACTTTAGATAGTTGACATGAACCAGCCGCTCACTCCTCGTTTGGGTTACTTTTAGCCTGTTGAGGACCTGACTGACATGTGGTTCCTGCAGTGTATGACGATCCGCGACTGCAAGTCGACGTCTGCACTGCGACCTCGTTGCTCAAATCAGAGAGAAGAAGAAAAGAAATCATACAATCCCGTCCAGTTCCGCTAAATTTCAGTTCCATTCTGCCCGCTGCTCGAAGTGACAAACAAGTAACATCCGCCAGCCGGGTGAGGCTCACAGTTTCTGTCTGGACAGGACTTGGCCACGCCGGCCTTTGCGCTCACGACCGCCAAACTGTATTCTCCGTTGTTCGTCAAAACCTTCGCAAACAATCATAACCTCAGGACTTCCTACCATAAGATTAAGAAGCGCCAGAATCAGCGCATCCAGGGGAAGCTGAGCGGACATATTACCAAGAGTACCAAGAAGATCCCTGCAGGCAAAATGTCGGCCGCCGCCGCAGCTACTGCGGGCCTTGAGAACCAACCGCCAGATGCTCCCGCATGGCGAGAAAACTTGAACACACATCTCATCTGCCCAGATTGCAAACAGGTACCCCCTGATCTTATCGAAGAGAATGCTGACACTATCTGCGCCAACTGTGGGATGGTTTTGGCTGAGCGACTGATCAGTTACGAGTCTGAATGGCGAACCTTCAACTCGGATGAGGGCAAAGGCGAGGACCCAAACCGTGTGGGTGAAGCTGACAACGAACTTCTCCTCACCAACAATGCGGGAACGATGATCGGAGGGGGTGGCCCAAATGTTTCCCGGGAAACACGCAAGCTCAAGAAAGCGCAGGCTATGCAGCTCGAAAACAAGGCAGACAAGGCTTTGCAGGCTGCCTACGCACAGGTCGAGGCTTGGGGAGAGAAGGCCAAGCTCACTGCGCCAGTTAAGATGGCAGCGAAGATGTATTTCAAGCGGGTCTACGAAGCGAATGCTCTCCGAGGCAAACAGACCGATGTCATTCTCGCCGGATGCCTCTTCATTGCCTGTCGTCAGCTAAAGACTCCCCGGTCTTTCACCGAAATCTTCGGACTGACCTCGGTCCCTAAGAAGGAAATTGGCCGCGCCTACAAGAACTTGGAGAAGTTCTTGACCAAGGCTGCCCACGACAACATCCAGGCCGTCGAAGGCAGCGGAGGGATTGCGAACCGAGACGTGCTTGAGTACCGCGGCACGCAGTCGACCAAACCAGAAGATCTGTGTGGCAGATACTGCAATATGGTCGGTCTGAACTTTCGAGTTGAATCCATTGCCAAAGCCCTTGCCAAGAAGATTCCTACCATCGAAGGCCTGGCTGGGCGCAGTCCCCTCTCCAACGCTGCCGCTTGTACTTTCTTTGCAAGCTGGTTGATTGGCTTCGGCAAGCCCAGCAAACAAATTAGCGAGGTTGCTGGTGTGAGTGACGCAACCATCAAACACGCCTACCGTTACCTTCTCCAGGAGAAGGAACGGCTAGTCGAGGACAGCTGGCTCGGTGAACAACCCCCGCCTCATGGTGGGTTTGGCGACTTGAAGAACCTGCCTGGTGCATAACTTTTAATGTCGGGGCGACGGTCACGACTAGACATGCACCTCCAGACGAACCGGTGTCATGCCGGGACGAACGACTTTCTTTGCGGGGTTGAGTTGACCTTTAGCCGAAAACCCAAACCAAAGCGGATCTTCGGTCCACCTGCAGTTGTACCACTGTATTTCAAAGCATTACCCGTGGCGGATCATTGGTGGGAGGCCTCATGCGCGTACTGCTTTGATTTTGATTTTGCCTGCCCCGAACGTCTCGTATACTAGTAGGGGCACCTTGATGCATAGCGTGGCGTTGGAAGTTAAGCTGGTCTCGAAGATGGGAAGGGTCGAGCTCCGAGAGATTGACACAAAAAGATACAAGCTCGAACTTATTCGGTTCATTTGAGGCTTAATAAAACATTGCCCGGGTATCCTGTTGAATTGTGCTCCGGTTGAAAAGTTTGCTTCCAGCTGCCGTGCTGTTCATGGCTTCAAGTTGCGGTTTGAAAGTGGAGTAGCTTGCCAATTGACCCACGTGATCGCACGAACGCCGGTCAGGCCTTCCGATTGGTCAGCCTCGTGCATGGGGCCCCCGACCGTCCTCGCTTTTGGACGATCAACTCGAAGGCCCATCAATCAATTGTGGAACAGATTCATGACGTCGCCCTGGACCTTGCACTGACTCCTGAGCTCTTCCTTGTCCAACGTGAACAGCTTCTGGCCATTCCTGTAGAACCCATGTCATTATTGCTTCGACTCCGCCTGTTCCGTTTGCTCTAATGAGGATGAACACTCCAATGCCGCTCGCACACTGAGGGCCCATGTGCGGCGCGATCGATGTACCCTCGTGCCGTCTTCCGTGCGCAAACTTTCTAGAATGGCAGAGCAACTAGATATACTGGCTACAGCCAGAGTGCGAGCTTTTGAAATGTTCACCCCTCGTCAAATCCTCTGCTGAGTGCTAACGAGCGCCGTTGATCATGTTGTCTATATTTATTTCCTGCATCCTTTTTCTGGCTGGCTGCACGGCGCGTCCCAGCTTTGAGTACAAGGCAAACCCTTTTGCGACGGCGCTTCAAGCTCGACAATACAGTGGAAACTCTTCGTCATCCTCTTCTTTGCAAGTGGATTTGGGCTATGAGGTCTATCAAGGAACATCAAATAGTACCTCTGGTCTGAACATTTGGCGAGGGTAGGCATTCCACGAGTGGCGGTCTACACGGCTTACACAACACAGCATACGCTTTGCGGCACCACCGACTGGCTCGAATCGATGGCAGGCACCAACAGCACCACAGCAGAACCGGTCTTCGGTTATTAGTGCGACCTCGTTCGCACCGATCTGTCCCCAGGGACCGGACGCCAGCACATCAATCAATGCAGTGAACCAGACCGGTGCGAGCGAAGACTGCCTCTTCTTGAACGTCTACTCTCCAAGCAACGCTACCGGACCCCTTCCGGTTCTCGTCTGGATCCACGGTGGCGGATACGGAGCCGGTAATGGCAGACAGGATCTCTCCACGATCATCAATGCCAACAACAACAGCTTCGTTGGTGTGGCCATTCAGTATCGGGTTCGCTGCCTGACGCCTTCTGGCATTGTATCTGGCTGATAGGGGAGCAGCTTGCAGCGTTTGGGTTCCTTTCTTCCGACGAAGTATTCCGCAACGGCGTCGTCAATGCAGGGCTTCTTGACCAGGTGGGTACTTCTATCGGCAGCTGATCTGCTTGACCACTGACAGCATGCGAAGCACTTCGCCCTACAATGGGTGCAATCCTACATCGGGCTTTTCGGCGGAAATGCTTCGCAGGTGACGATTTCCGGGGAAAGCGCTGGTATGTTGCTAATATATCATGCCCTGAGACTGACAGCAACACTGTGCTGAAACTCATTAGGTGGCGGATCCGTGATGCTTCAAGACATGGCCTTTGGCGGAAGTCTAGGTCAATCACTCTTCGTCAATGTAAGGGACTAGATTGCATTACCCTGTTGCCCATTTTTTGGGAAGCTGAACTGCATCGCAGACAATCGCCGCATCCCCTTACTTGCCTATGCAATATGGCTATAAGGACTGGGTCCCTTCTCAAGCCTACTATGCGTTCGCAACACAAGCAGGTTGTGCACCGAATCTACCTTATGGAAGAAATCCGCAAACCATTTTTCAATGTTTGGTCTCAAAAGACACGAGTACTTTGATCAATGCCAGTGCCACGATATCCCAGTCAGGAAACTTTGGAACGTGGGCTTTTCTACCAGTGTAACTATTGCCCCAACTCAACCTGGTTTGCTCTACACGTAACTTGAACTTTTGCTAACGAATGGGTTTTCCAAAGCACGGACGGCGTTTTCATCCAAGACCTCCCAAGTCAGCAACTCCTAAGAAGACGGGTGAATGGGAAGAATGCATTGATCGGAAACAATGCCAACGAAGGGCCATCTTTCACTCCGCAAAACATCACTACCGAACAGGATCTCGTTTCGTGGCTACAGTTGACGTTCCCACTCTTCACAAACGATGATATCGCAAAGGTTCTTCTCTACTATCCCAGTTCTAATGGTTCTGCAAACGCCGATGCACCCTTGTATGCCACATCGGGCGAGTCTGGGGCTAGCGCGCTCAACGAAAGCTCTGTTGGAGCAGGACAGCAGCAGAGAGCAGATGTAAGAGAAAGAAGTCCAAAACATGTCAAGAACTTTGTTGTTTGCTAACAAGGAAAACTAGAACATCTATGCGGAAACAACCTTTGTGTGCCCTTCCTATTGGATGGCCATTGCATACAACGATCAAGGAAGAACTTCGTACAAGTACCAGTTCTCGGTGGAGCCGGCATTACACGGGGCCGATGTCAGTGCATGTATGTGAATTGGAATCGGAATCCCAATCCTGCCAGTGCCCAGAGATAGGGTAGCCATATCATACTGACTCTTTTTGTAAACAGATTTTGGCCCAGCCCCGTCCAATGTCGGCCCTGATCTGGCGCTGGCATTCAGGCAAATCTGGGGCAACTTTATCACCACCAACAACCCCAGCATCCCGTCCAACATTGCAATTGGCGCATCGGCATCCTCGAATTCGTCCTCGAATTCAACGTCGTCGTCGTCGTCATCTTCGTACTCCAATGATGCGAGTAATTGGCCCCCGTTTTCCATGTACGCGCCATATCAGATCAATTTGAACCAGGTAAGTTAGGTCTCCCATCCCCTGGCTCCGACCCGACGTTGGTCAAGGCAACGTTGAATCCTCGTGAACCGTCAAGTTTGATTTGATGGCCGTGGTGATTACCTTAAACTTGGCTGACCGTTCGACTTTCTTCTTCTCGCAGACCGGAGGAACGTCTTTCTCCATGGACATCACGCAGATTGGACGTAACATCACCGAGTATGGCAATCCAGGGCTGCAGAACAACATTACCTTGGTCAATGCGTGGACCTGGGAGGCCGGACGAGGGTATCGGTGTGAGTTTTGGCGTAGCATGGGCGCCATCGTGCCCGAATAATGGTAGGCGTGCCAGTGGTGGGATGGGATGCATGGCATGGCCGTTTTTTCTCAGGGTGGACGTGGGATGCGATGTGACGTCTCTTATGAGGCTGTCTACCAGGTATGGCTTGGAGGGCCCGCCTAGTGTCGCTAGGATGCGTGTGTATATATTTCTATAATGCTGGGCCACCGTTGGATGATACACATCCGTAATGGGCCGGTGAGCCACCTGATAGCGAGGTGGTACAAGCAACCTCATGTTTCGATGTTGCAATAAGTGCCAGAGGGCGTGTGCAATACGACTCCAGCAGTCAAGTTTACCTATTATGCGAATACGAAGGAGGATGTGATGTAAACATATACTCGGTCTACCCCATTTATGCCATGTCACAGCCCCACGGGGAACTTGATACAAACCCACAAATGGTACACCCAGTCCCGAGAAAACTTGGTCCCACTATCTAATTCAGGCTGTAGCAGGATCACAAGAGACCTGGCCGGAAGCCGAAACCAGCAGACTTCTTCGATTGTGCAATCCTCGTCGACAGCCTTAAGAGCCGAGGCATATACTGGAAACATGGCGGCGCCGCAGCACTTGACCTGTCTCTGTGGACTCGTAAAAGAGCCCGCGTCTCTGCTTGCATCCTCAGAAGGTCCATTCGAGGGTAGCATCTGTCACTGCGATACATGCCGGCATACAACGGGAGCGTTAGGGACCTGGTATGCCACACTCAAACGCAGCCCGAGCGAGGAGAGCCTAAGCCATACAACTGCCTACAAAACTTCAAGCAAATATACGCGGTTCTTCTGTAAGCAATGTGGGTGCCATGTCTTTGTACGGTCTGAGCGTGACGGGAGATGGCTGGCCTGCGCAGGCATCGTCGAGACTGATATTAGGCGGGTTGAGGGCGAAACCAAAGAGGGAAGGCTTGACAACGTCGCAAGAGTGACATTTCACGAATATGTCGGCGATGCACACGACGGCGGGATCGCACCGTACATGACTCGCCTGGGCGGGAGAACTGTCCCTTGCTTCCTCACAGAACCAGATGACGGCGCTGAGCCTATGCCCGAGAACGAACTCCAGAGATTGCGAACCAAAGGACTCAACGAAGCGTCCCAGGGAAGAAGCGAATACTTGCCAGTGGCATGTCACTGCGGCGGTGTCCAGTTGCACATAGTACCGCCTGCCTACGACCAAGGACAAAAAGACTGGTACGTACCTTCAGACCGGAGCAAGTACTATGCACGATTCTGCTGCTGCAGATCATGCCGTCTCACCCTGGGATTCTCGATGCAGCCATGGACGTATATCCCGCCCGGACAGATCTTGACAGCACAGGAAGAGCCAGTCATCTTCGGGCCAAAGGCCAAGGACGCGGTCCAAATCGCAGGACTCAAGCATTATCAGAGTTCAGAGTTTGTGTTGCGCAGCTTTTGCACGACTTGCGGCGCAACAATTTTTTACCAGAGCTTCGAGCGGCCATACATCATCGATGTCAGCGTCGGAGTGGTCAGATCTGCAATTGGCAATGCGCTGGCTGGAGAATGGCTGCAGTGGGATAGGAGCATGGTGAGCAAGAGAAATGAGGCCGTGGACAATGAGTTGGTGGACGCGTGGTTGAAGGCTTGAAAGGCTCAATTTGGTACACACGTAGCATAAATGACTGAGACGAGCACCAACAAAGGGAATGAAGCAGTGGTACGGATCAAGCAATCCATTACCTACCCAGGTACAATAGGTAGTCGAGTAGCAAAGGAGAACACAAGAGTCAGAGAACAATGTGGTCGTGCAGTGGGCAGTGCGTGTTGAAGGCAGCGAAGACTGTCAGGCAAGTGCGTCGAATATATTGTATTGTCTTTGAGGGGCACTTTGAACAAGTTCACTTCAACTTCATCCTACTCTGAGATACACTTTTCTTACCCTCTAACCAGCCACTGTCTCGATCACCTCCATTTGCGCATTCGCGTACCCTAACGGCCTCTACTTCGCACGTCTCACCACGCTCGGCCTGCCGTTTGTCCCGACTTTACTGGCCATTCTAGCCATGAATCTTCCTCAACACTGAATCCACGCCCAGTGTTGATCTCACCCATTTGTTCATTCTCCTGATCCATACTTGTTCGACCATTAGTGTCTGGGGGTCCACCAGAAATATCTGCGGTGTTATACTGAAAACTACAGAACTTGACGGTGTTATCACTCTACCGGCCATGGAAGGCAACGCGCAACAAGCCCGGCCACCCCAGCCTGCGCCGCAACAACAAGCCTCCCTTATCCGACCCGAACAAGTTCAACGATTACCGCAGTTGAATCCCGCGCAGAAACAGCAGTATGAGCAGGGAGTCAAGAGATTCTGGGAGGTCCTGAATACTACGCCGCAAGGCGATCCCAAGTACAACGAAGCCTACCAAGGCCTGGTGCGGACGTCAAGCCAGTTAATGGCTGGCATGAAACAGTGGCAGCAGAACGCAAAACAGCGGATGGCGGCTCAGGCGCAGCAACAGGCAGCACAGCAGGCTCAACAACAGGCCCAGCAGCAAGCCCAGCAACAAGCGCAACAGCAGGCGACCCAGCAGCAAGGCCAGGCGCAACCACAAGCCCAGAAGGCTGCCCCAGGCATCACAGGTGGCCAAGCGCAGGCTACAGCGGGCCAAAATGGAAGCAGTAGCGTGCAGTTCAACCAGCTGTTACCCGAGATTCAGCGCAAAGTGAATGAACAACATTTCTACTATCCTCCAGCCATGACCAAAGGTACGGAAGCCGCCGAAGTCTGGCTGCGCGAGGCAAAGGCAAGATTAGGACAAGCTCTCCAGAGACTCCAGGTGGCGAAGCAGAAGAGGACCGAGTTTCAGAGACAAGCCCAACAGCGACAGCAGGCCGGCAATCCTTTGACGCCGCAAGAAACCGAGGTGTTCAACAATAAAATCGCACAGTGTGATCGAGCTGTAAATGAGAGCACTCAGTTCATGAAGAAGTTTAACGAGCAGCAAGAGCAATTTCGCGCCGCCCAGCCTCAGAATCAATACACCAAGCAAGCAGCGCCGAGTGGTGCAATTGGTGACAGCGCACTCGCAGAAGCTTCATCTGTCCCTCACTTGCAATCTGGAGTTCAAGGCCCGACAGCTCACTCGATCAGTAGTGCTGTGTCTGCTGCCCGAAACCAAGCAAGCGCAGCCCAAGCTGGCAGTGTTCCAGGTGCGACGCCTCAGCCCGGACAAAGCGCAATAGCAACCAGTCAACAGACGCCAGTGAGCGCAACCCAGGCACAGTTTCCAACGGTTCCAGCAGACGCAACGGCAGCGGCAGCGGCAGCGCCTCGTCCAGTCTCACATCAAGGTCAGGCTATGCCTCCTCAAGCCACACCACATAGTGCTCAACCGGGCGGCCATCCGCATCCTCTTAACACGAGTATTAATGGCGCAAAAACCGCCACTCCAGTCATTACGAAGAACCTACAAGTCGCTGAGCCCAAACCCGTTGCAATGCCACCATCCAGACCAACCTTGACCGGCGGCGCAGGCGTGGGACTGCCCGGCCAGCTGGCGCAACCGGCCATTACCGCGCTTCCCGGCTACGTTTTGGAATCGAGCGAGGATGGCCGTGTGTTGTCCAAGAAGAAATTGAACGAGCTTGTTCGCGAGGTCTGCGGTCCCGGACCAGAGGAGCAACTGGAGCCTGAAGCTGAAGAGGAAAGTTCTCACCCACATTCGTACGCTGGTCATGCCGACTAACATCTTCTCCAGATATTCCTCGCCATTGCCGACGACTTTGTCGATGAACTAGTCTCGTCCGCGTGTAAGCTGGCCAAGCTTCGTGGCTCATCCAGCCTTGAACTACGCGACCTTCAAATCATCCTCGAACGACAATACAATATCCGGGTCCCCGGCATATCCACGGACGAGATTCGAACTGTGCGCCGACCGCAGCCTGCGCCAGGTTGGGCTCACAAGATGAGTGCGGTCCAAGCTGCTAAGCTGACGGGCGGTGGTAGTGCAGCGGGCACAGCTAACGCTGCGGGCAAGGACGCCTAGAGTCGTTTCTCTTTGCATCAAATCATGAAGCATCAGTGCAATAGGCGTTGGGAAAGGGACCAGGGCGCCTGCTACGGGCCACAGGCATAGCTATGGAGTTGCGACGCAGGGCGTTGTATTATCACAACTGGGGTCTTGTCACAGGCGTTGTTACTGCGCCTTCGGAAAGCAGTGAGGTTTAGCAGGCTACGGGATCGATGGATGGCTGAATCTTGCATCTGCAACAGCCTCGGAGGCTGAGGTTAGCATTAGGTAGACTTTGGCAGAAATGGTCTCCAGGCGAACCGGACGTCTGCAATTCCACGCAGCATTCAATATTCAATTTTCCTTAGCCCTTCATTCCCCTGCCCTGCCACGTTGCTGAGCCAGTGCCATGGTGCATGGTTCGTTATCGAATGGTATACTATTAAGAGCCCAACTGCGCCGAAATAATGGAGACTCGAACAGTGTCCCGACGGGCACTGGTGTTTATCGGCGGGCGTAGAGCAGAAGTCAGACACGAATTTGACAAACACGAAATACAGAAGTCGATTGGTTCTGCTGCTGCCCAATCGCCAGAATCGAAAGAAAGAACAGAGGTTTGACGCCGGCAGAAGAACCGAACTAAGTGTGGCCTGGACGTGGATGAAGAGATGGCGGCGGCAGCAGCAACGTCATCAGGGCATCAGCGGGCATCACTGGCAGCAGGGAAGCAGGGGAGCAGGAGAGCCCAACTCGTGTTGCGCAGGCGTCTGTAGCAGGTTGTCTTCCCCAGTAGCAGCACCCAGCACTTTATTAGTTCAGGTATGATTGAGTGGGACAGTGATAGTTACTGTAAAGGCAAGATCATGACCTCCTCCAGTTACTACTGTACTAGTAGCACCACCATTCAAGTGACCTCCCAGCCTTCCCGTTCTATCCTCCTCAGAATTGCGCCCGCTACAGAGTGACTCAGGTCTCACAGCCTCTTTGTCCACCGTCACATCCAGTAACACTACCAGGTATCACCTGTACATACCCCAGCGCTCAACCAAACCGCAGGCACGCGAGGGTTGGACTGTTCTGAGTCTGACTGCGCCAGCCTTGTCTTTCCCCTCCACAGAAACGCACACCTACATTTTGATCTCTGCCACTGGCAGTGACCATCTGTGGGCTTCCGCAATCTCAACATACTAGTATCGATACCCTCCAGCCATGTCTCGCTATCGGCCTGATCCTCGTTATTCCGAGGGCAACCTGCCCTACCGTGAACCGCCTGCCCAACGCTGGGACACCGATCGTTTCGCACGAGAACGAGAGATTCGAGCACCGCCTGTCATTGACCAACGTCCGCCTTATGCCGACTTCCCCCCTCGGCGGGCGCCGGTCTACGAAGACCAGCGATATTATGAAGAAGATAGATATGGACCGCGTGGAACGACGCAGCGCAAGTACTTTGAGGAGACCGACTACTATGATCCAAGGGGTCAACGAGGCCAAATGGTCCCATATGCGCCCGAGCGTCCAGCCAGGCCCGAACCACCGCCACGGCCCGGCCTACTTCGCCGCCAGTCGAGCTTGGACACTTTCGATCGCCAACCCGCCCGACGCTACCGCGATTACGATGATGACTATGTTCCCCAAAGAGCCCCTCCTCCGAGAGAACTGATTCCTGTGCCAGTGCCATCGCCCAGGCGACAGCCCCGGTACGACGACCGATACTATGATGATGTCCGCGTGCAAGATCCCGACCTTTACGGTGATGATGGCTTCAGAGAATATCGTGAGCGGGAGTGGGTCTCGCGTCGGAGACGGAATAGCAGCCCATCACCTGATCGGCGAACGATGAGAGAGGAATTCTTCGAAGAGGTCAAGGAGGAGAAGGAAGTCAAGCAGTACCCTCGCCGTGGCAAGACGCGCATGCCAAAGAGACTCGTTCACACCAAGGTCTTGTATGACTTGGGATATCCGTACTACGAGGAGGTAGAAAGCACCATTCCCCTGTTAACCCCGACGATGTCGTTACTAAAATGCTATAGGATGAGCGTACTATCATCATTGAGAAGGCTCTTGGCCCGGAAAACATCGATGAAATTTTCGCCAAAAGTAAAGAATATCGTGAACGTGAAGGTAAGCATGATTCAGCCTTCTCCAGATCGTCTTCTGATTGATTTCAGTCTCCACTACCCGGCTCATTGAGGCTCCTCCAAGATCCTCCCGCCATGGAGATTTTGTCATTGAAAAGTCGGAAAAAGTCGAGGAAATTAAGACTGTACCGTTGACACAGGCTCCACGCTCGGTTCGTGAGTGGGATGCGCTTTCAGTTCGTTCGCCTTCGCCTAAATCCCATCGGTCACGCTCCCGACGCCGGCGATCTTCGCCTGGCCTTGTCAAGGAGACAGTGGTTGAGAAGAAGGAAGTGGTCAAGGAGGTTTCACCCGCACGCACGCACCGCTCAAGCACCACCCGGCGGAGAGGCTCCTCTGTCAGCGATGAAACTATCATTGAACGCAAGATTGTACGGGAAGATGAGTTCGAGGACTCCAACTCCGTTCACGTTGGCCCACTAGCACTTGTTGTTGATCGAAAGCCACAACGCAGCGAGCGTGACATCAAGGAAGAAATCCGCAGCCTCGAGGCAGAACGAAAAGCCCTGCGTCGCGAGAGGAGATACGAACGCGATCCCGGTACAGAAATTGTCAAGGTCGAGCGGGTTCGCGAACGATCACCATCGCCTCGTGGGGAAGTGATCATTGAACGCCGTGGTGATGAAATCTTGGAAGTCAAGAAAGACCGGCGAGGTAGGATGTCGTTAGTCGCTAAAGGAGGTTGATGATTTTCCTGACGGCGTGATAGGTCGTTCACGCTCTGTCGCTGCTCCCAGTCCGGCAATCATCAAAGCTATGATGGCGACATTGACCTAATGGTCTCATTTCCGCAATTATCTCGGCAGCTTGCGAGGAAAATACCGGATTTGCGCGCATACAAGGTCAGCTGTCATTGAATCAATGCTCAACTCAATGGGGTCGGGGATAACAGCAAACATTTGGTATGGCGCTGAAGACGAGGCGACAGATGAAAACAGATGAATGGACTATCTATGATCTTTAGTCTTGATTGCACAGTGACGAATTTCTTTGGGTTTTCATGATTTCGGCAGGAGGTTTTATGAAGATGTCTTGTTTCTGGATGATAGACACGGCCGCAAAGATTCATGATAGGTTTCACTCACAAGAAGATCAAGCGATATACTGTAGTAAGCTTGGGCTGTAAACTGGGTGCGACTGTACCCTCACTAGTGAAGGACAGATACTACTACCAGGTAGGTACCTAGTAAACCGCTTGTGAGATGGGCAGCGCGCGAGGCACATGTTTCGTTGCTGACACTAACGACGTAAGCCTGCCGCTATTTCCAAAACACTGCACAACCAACAACTGCGGATCCTCCTGTTCAAGTTCAGCTTCATATTCTGTCCATCCTCCTGCACCTGATACAATTCCTCTCTCGGCTGTGTATCTATTGAAACACGCCCTCGCAATTCACAATCATGGATAAGTTTTCAGCCTTCGGAAAGAACATCAGGTAAGTTCGCGTCGAGTCAAGGTGTTGTTGCCTATCTCAATCCACCCGTCGCCTGCGGAGCGCGTCGCTGCCCCTTGATGAGATGTACGTTTACTAACCAGCTGAATCGCGACAGTTCTGCCTTCAACTCGACTGTTTCGCCCTTTGCGCAACGCAGTCAGCAATATCTCAAGGAACAATTCGGTGGAGCGGAAGAAAAGGTGGGTGGTGCCAACTACACTTGGGTGACCTCAATACGCTGATCCGACTACCAGACCCAACTTCCTGCGGACTATGTCGAACTTGAGAAGAGAGTCGATGCTTTGAAACAAGTCCATCAAAAGCTCCTCGCTGTTACGTGCGTGATGCCCCAGCCCGGCCAGGCTACGGCACCCCTACTGACTGCTTTGCAGTAACCAGTACCAAAATGAGGCTTACGATTACCCCCCAAACATCCGTGAATCCTTTACCGATCTGGGACGCAGCATTTCCGAGAAAGTGACTCTCCTCTCTCATGCTTCCAGTCCCGCTGAAGCCCAAGCGGCCCTCACTGCCCCTCCCTCCGCCAAACCTCAACCCAAGACTTTCAACCACGCGATCGCCCGGGCTGCGCTGGCGAGTTCTCAGCTTCTTCAGCAGAGCAACCCTTCTGGTGATGATCCTCTAGCCTCTGCACTCGAGAAGTATGCCTTGGCCGAAGAGAAGGTTGGAGAGGCCCGACTCGCCCAGGACCATGCAATCCAGGCACGATTCCTCGCAGGGTGGAACACCACTTTGAACACCAACATCCAATTTGCCCAGAAGGCTCGCAAGGCGGTCGAAAACAGCCGCTTGCTGCTGGATAGTACCAAGGCTGCAAAGAAGAACCAGGTCCAGGCCCGAGGAATGAATCCAGACGATGAGACTGCACTCAGCGAGGAAGCGCGAGCGGAGATTGAGGCCAAGGAAGACGACTTTGTCTCGCAGGTTGAGGATGCCCAAGGGGTCATGAAAAATGTAAGCCATTGCATCGGCTCCGGCACTCTTTCGCACACTTGGATGCCATGACTAACAAATACCAGGTTCTTGACACGCCCGAACCACTTCGGAACCTTGCCGACTTGATCGCTGCCCAGCTCGAGTACCACAAGAGAGCCTACGAAATCCTCTCCGAGCTTGCCCCTGAAATCGATCAACTGCAGGTTGAGCAGGAGAGCAACTACCGCAAGAGCAGAGAAGGCGCGTGAGTGAGAGCATGACTGGGAGTTAGGACAGTCTGGAAGCATTGCACCAGGGCTTTTGGTTGGACCTGGTTTTGCGTCTTCCACTTTTCTCTGCTGGTGAACGGCAACAATGTCAGATTCATAGTCTACAGTAAGCCAATACCAATTTGGTCGAATTGCCATTATGTCAACCGGTTCATTGAGCGGTGTTGTCTGTTGTCGTAATGCGTCAATCGCTGTCGCCTGATAAGGATTGACGGGGGGCGGATTCTACAACTGGTAGTACTAGAGACCTACACCTGATATCTACAATACTAGTAGGTCCATACTATAGATACCAGGTAGGACTTATGAATTGGGACATGGATCATGGTGCTACTGGTACCTGACGTGCTCGAGCATTGCAGCACAGCCTGACGCGTAACAAGTTGTACAGCCTCGTGTCCTCACGTCGACCGGCATTTTAGGCAGGTTTGCCGACTCCGGCTCTCAGGCTCCGTCATTGAAGCTGTGTAGTAGTGAGCAGTGACTACCACACTGTTTGGACTGGTCCAAGCAACAACTCTCTCACAGTACTTTGGACGTGAAATCGACGGGTATCAACGATCCACCATCTTCGAGACAGACCTGTCCCGTCTATCTCCAGCACCGTGACGAGCACGCCGCTGCCTCTGTCTGGACCACGATCTGCAGTTCCCGTCTAAGATCGCCTCGCCCGCCGACGACACCAACCGGTTACAATACCTCTCGACTACACCTACGAAGAGCAGCGATAGAAAGAGACAGAATCGGGGTTTGAGATCCCGAAAGGAGGATTATATACAGCGAAGGAGGCTTGACCAAGGGTCACGAAGAAAAGAGAAGATGGCGAACGGGTATGTCTCTGGCGAAATCCAGATTCCGTCTGATGTCCCTCCCTCCTCCGATCCCGTTCCGTCTTGTCTGTCTGTCACGAGCAGTTCGTGTTGCGTGTTGCAAGTCCCGTTCTGCCGTGCCGCTTCTCGGCTTTCTTGAGGTTCCTTGTCAGAGTGGATGTATAATAAAACCATCGTCTTCCGACGACCAGGGGGATGCGCTGAGAAGGAAACCGTGAAAGAAGACTCTCGGATGTGGTGTTGGGAGCAGGTGATGTTAGACTCCTGATATATCAGACCAAAGGTGCCGGGGAGGGAACCATCTTTCCACCACTCCAGCGCGTTGTGGTATCTCGCTTGGGTGGTCTTTTATTCGGGAACACAAGAGTCTGCAGACGTGGAGATGACGACGGGAGGATGATATACGGGCTTCGAGACGAAGATGTCTTGTCTCGTCTCCTCTTCGGGAACATCCTTCCTGCAGTTGACCACCTGCGTTCGAGTTTGCGGAGTACTTGTGCCTATTTTCGCTGATTTGATTTGATGCGGCCGTGACCTGGACTTCTGAGAAACACTTATTGCTCTCTTCAAGATGATAGGAAAGACTAACTTGTATCATTTGTTCACTACTACAGGGCGTCCCTCATCGTCGGTCTTGTGGTCATTGTGGCCCTCAGCGTCGGAGCATGGTTTCTCAGTCCAAAGGGCGAGAATCAAACGTACGTGTTCGAAACTCACCACTCCCTGATGTCTCTCCATTTATGGCTCCATTGCCTGCCCGCCTGTCTTCTGTTCGCGTCCAGGCACGGAGTTCAAAACAGCGTCTCCTACAGGGCAGAGCAGGTGGGCAGAGCAGGCCAAGGCGCCCAGTTCAACGGATCGAATCGCTAGCACGATGAGCAAAGGACTGACATGCTAACTGGGTGATACATCTTCTAGGATATGGAGAAGCACTTTGATCCTAAGCTTTGCAAGCTGCTACATCATGTGGGGTATGTACCTGATCTACTGTCCCTGTCTTTTTCTTTTTCTGGTCGACATGTCGATTCCTTTCCTTCAGCCGCCAAACCGGAACAAACGCGAAAAGTGGAGGCAATGGAAATACTGATGCTGACTGCTGGTGGAATTATCTGCAGCAATCACTTTCCTCGCCCAATGGCACCCTTTGATCGAGCCGCGGATGGCTAAGCTACGCCCCGGCTATGCTGGTGGGAGTTGATGGGAGGAGGTCCATCACTGCAGCTAGAGATTGTTGTTTTGAATTTGTAAGGGCATGGCATGGAATACAGCATTGGCAGACGGGATTACTTTTTCCACCAGCCTGTTACAGTAGTTAACCTGTAGTATGGCGCAATGGGAGGCGTTTTTTGGTGGGAAGGGGAAGCACCACTACCTACTAGTCTGATGCAAACTCGTTGAAAGTTCCATTCATGACTATTTAAAAACAAGACGCTGTGTGTCTGGAACAATGGCTGAATACTAGTAGGCAATCTACTCGATAGCTTTTGTGTTGGCATGCCCTGCGCTTGAGAAGATCGTCGGCAAATAATCGATGTTGACCTTGTTCCTACAGTACTAGTAACACACTATGAATGTGGTTTGGTTACTCATCTGTCTTCGCCTCCACTGCCTCTTGTTCATCAGAAGGTCTGTCCCTGTCCTGAGCTTCTGACGGGTCATCATCATTCTTAGCCACATCTTCGTTTTTTGTGTCTTTTTGGCTTTCACTCTCCGAGTGTTGCGTCCCAAGTTCGGCATTATGGCCCTCGAGAGCCCCCGAACCCGATGAGCTCTCGCTCTTTGCAACCTGCTGTGTTGGGGGACTCGAACTCATCGATTTTTCAGCCTTTTGGATATCTTTCGCCTCTGGTTGTGATTGTGATCCTTCCTGCTTGCCATCGTCGCTGATGTGGCCAAGGATGGCTTTGAGAACATCAGGGCCCCCGGTACGGATACTTCCACCTGAGGGTGAAGTCACTTCTTCCTCCTGTTCTTTATCTTGTTCCTGTGCCTCTGCCTCTACCTCTGTCTGGCCGTGATCGTCTGCTTGCGCGTGGTCTTCCTCAGCCGCTGGTGCTGCATGCTCATGCCTGGCTGGCTCTTCTTCCGTCTCCTCAGAAGAAAGTGTAGGTGTGGGCTGCTGTGTGCTTGCGGAAAGGGGATCGATGTCCTCGGCTGTGCCTGTGGGAGTAGGGTCGGCAGGGGCACGTGGCTCATAGCGGGGAACTGTTGACGCAATATCTAGCTTTGGAAACTGCCCCTGTCCGGCATTATTATCGGCATGGAGATCTGGCTTCTGCTTTGGCGGTGACCTTGACTCAGACGACACTTCGTTGCGGCTGGTGCCGGAAGTCATGGTAAACGGATGAGAGCTAGCTTTCGGTACGACGATGGCGCTGGTCACTTCTTCTTCGTCCTCGTGTTGCTCGGTGATGGTGGCAACATGGCTGCCTGTGCTGGGAGTATGTCGGTGGCGGCGTGCCGTTGCCGCCGTGCTGACTGTTGTTGTCGTCCCTGCCGCTGCGTCCTCTGATGATGAAGGCAAAGTGGCGGGATCTTCTGACGGTGTCCCTGTCCCCGACAAGGGAGCGACATCCTTGCGCAGAATCTGTACCCGCGACCCGACAGCCGGGGCAGAAGCTCGCTCTACGTCTCTGTCTCTCTCGGCTTCGTCGATGGGTTCCCGGCCATCCTCTGCATCTGGGGGAATCGTATAGCTATCTTCTGGTATGAGGTGAAACTCGTCGCAAACAACCTTGAAAAGCATATACAGCCCGTACGTAGCCTCGATTGACCAGAACACGTCCCGATGCTGGAACCAGGCGTGAGCAAATATGCGGTATACTCGCCGGAAGATGTTTGTCAGTTGCCGCATGCTTTGAATCGCGCCTCCAGCTTCGCCACCCAGCGCCAGCCTCGACGGGAAATGCTTGGGACTTGTCAGCACATTGGCCGCCCAGTCGAGCGTGTGATTGCAGTAATCAATCGCGCAGCAGGATTTGGGGGGCTCATGCACAGCACAGAGATACTGCCACTCGCTCGCTCGCATTTCCTGGCATGTCAAGGCAGAGCAGGGTGGATTATCGTTCATCAGGAAGATGGAGACGATGTTGGCCTTCTGTGTCAAGAATCGGCAAAGTTCGTAGAGCCACAGATTTCTGTCCACGGTTTCGGTTTCGTTGATCTGAGGCGGAGTGGCCAGCGCGACAGCCGCCTCTCTCGATATCGGAATGGTGTGCGTCGATCCTGGATTATGTGTAAAGTGTGAATAGAGTGACTTGAGATGCTCCTGTAATTGGAACGGGGAATCCAACTGCAGTATGGTCAGTTATGCTGCATAGCCTCCTCAAGCGCAATCAAACAGTACATGCACTCACCTGGCTCAGCGGTACTAGAGGAGGTCCCATTGCCATTTCGGCAGCCTTCGTGCCTGGTCTTATCCGCCGCGCAGCTCCCTCATCTGGTTTCGAAGTAGCGTCGAGAGACAGTTCTTTCGATATGTCGCCCATGCCGGGGCTTTGCGGGCCAAACTGGACTTCGGGGATGGGCGGAGGTGAAGGAAGTCTTGGAGAGCTGGATGGCGACACGCCCGACCTGGCAGGGCTCACCGCAGCCATGATGTACTTGGGACAAGGTCCGTCTCGTCGGCGTGGGCGCTAAGCTTCTGAAATACCAACACCCGTTTGTGTTATGTTATCCGGCGGCGGCGAAGACCAAAGAGATGATTTGAGAGTCCAGCCTGTGTCCAGTGCCATCAAATACCCATCAGGACATCGATCGAGCGCAGGTCGTGGTCGTATTGAGTGGAAGAGCCGACAGGTGCAGGTGGAGGAGCGCTTGACAGACGCTGGTCCTATCGACACTGGTGTCTCGGGTGGAAGGAATAGCTGCGCTTCCTGACGATATCAAATGGGCAGTTTCATATGGTGCTGTACTCGGCCTCACAGAGACATGCTTGTAAGTGTTAATACTTCAGGCTCTTCGGCGGTGATAGGAGGCTTGCCAGGTTGAATGCCAATCAGTTGGTAGTAGCCGCCCGCGGGCAATAACTTGCAACTGAAGTACGCGCCTCGGGCCACTTGCCGTAGCAAAATAAGGTTGCGGGATCGACCATTAGCGTCACACTAAGACCGCGTGGGTAACGACATCAAGGGTCTCGCATGACGTTGAACCAGAATTTTGCAGCAAACCGACATCATCCAGAAACATTAAATCAGTGTACAGTACAAGCCAGTGGTAAGGTAGCGTCTAATGAACTGTGGATGTTCATAGCGGGCTATAGAATAAGCGATTCACGGCACTGGTTCATTGGCCCAGTCACCTATTTTTGGCATGGACGATGAGATACCGGATCTCGTGGACGTCAGTTCAACGGCCGCAGCCCCAGAGACTTCTCCAGATGGGTCGCCGTTGAGGAAAGTACCGATTACCATTGTCACAGGTAAAAGCCATCGAGGAATCCCGGATGAATGATTTGTCCGCATACTCACCTCTAGCCAGGATATCTCGGGGCGGGCAAGACGACTCTGCTCAACTATATTCTTACAGCGGAGCACGGCAAGAAGATCGCGGTCATCCTTAATGGCAAGTTAGGTCTCGGGCGTCCTCCCAACCAGTCCTTCACCCATTACACTCTGACGAATAATGGAGTTACTGTAGCTCTCTGAAACCACTTTTGCATCAACTCAGTCTGACATGTACTTACCCACAAGCAGAATTTGGCAACACGGCCGACATTGAAAAGTCCCTGACGGTCAATCAGAACAACCAAGCCACCACGGAATGGATCCCCCTGGCGAACGGCTGCATCTGCTGCAGCGTCAAGGACAGCGGTGTGGCGGCTTTGGAGTCCTTGGTCGAACGCCAGCGTGACTTTGACTATATCTTGCTGGAAACCACTGGGGTGGCAGATCCCGGAAACATTGCCCCGATGTTCTGGATGGATGAAGGCCTGGGTAGCAGTATCTACCTCGATGGCATTGTCACCGTGGTTGACGCAAAGAACATCCTAAAGAGTCTTGACGAGCCGGCTCCAGACGAACTACCGCAGTCTGACGAGGTGGAGGTGGACGACATGGCCGATGAACGCAAAATTGGTGATCACCATAGCACACCACTCCTGACCACCGCGCATCTTCAAATCTCCCACGCCGACGTTATAATACTGAACAAGACCGATTTAGTCTCGGACACACAGCTCGCGACCATTCGACAACGCGTGTCTTCCATCAACGGCCTTGCCCGCCTAGTATGTACAGACCATTCACGCGTCGACACGCTCAGCGGGACAGTACTTGATCTGAACGCCTATTCCACCTTTCCTACCTCCACCACTGGTAGCACCACCACCACATCCGGTCCGGCTCCGGATTTCTCTTCCAAAGGTCATTCTCACCTCGACCCGACCATTTCAACCCTGACCTTCCCCTTGCGACCTGTCGACCCTGGTGAGGTGTCAATACTGCAAGACTGGTTGGAGACGGTGCTTTGGGAGGCCGAAGATCGCCAGGAAGGACAGACCCGCAAATACGAGATTCACAGAACAAAGGGACTCATTCCAATCACCGATGGCACCGTCAGAATCGTGCAAGGTGTCCGGGAAATCTTTGAGATAATTGAGCCTCCACCGGCACCAGCCAGCGACGATACTAACAACTCGGAGAACGACGACAACATGACCCAGCAGCAACAACAAGGCAAAATTGTCTTCATTGGCCGGAACCTGGACCTGGTTTCCACTGTTGGCCCTGTTCCTTTCAGCAACTTGAATTGAACTGAGCTGTTTACCTTACTGGTACCCGGCTGTCTTGCACGCTAGGCCACGCCAAAACTCGAAAGTTATGCGACTTGGACCTGCTATCTACAAACCGGATACACAAAAGCAGCAGCTTATGGTGCGCACTGTCGATTAACACCTAGTAGGGATGCATACTTGATCGAGAATACTCATCTTGAACAGGAGTCGCCCGGTCAGAAGCATTAGGAGGACCAAGGACCGAGCAAATTAACACCAACTGGCCATCATAAGGGCCTGCTCATGAAGTTGAACGACTGGACCGCATCAAAGCTCCTCCAGCAGCGCATCCGTTAGCTTGCGACCAATATCAGTGTTTTATTGTCCCAGATCCGAATACCTACAATATACCGCAGCGCCAATTATATTACTAGATAAACCAAACACAAGACTAAACACAGATTCCGCTTTGATCCTCCCGAAACAAAAATCGCTAACGCTTCCAGCATCGTTGGTATCATAAAACTTGACTGCGTAGTACAAGTGAGTTCGCTTTCAACCCACACGCGAATGCAGATATGTGACTGGGTCGTAATTTCTGGTCATTTTACCGTGTTCATATTCGTGGTCATCGTGTCATGTCGTTTCACTAGCATCATTTATCCCGTATCCGGAAACAAGACAGTCCCGGCACGCTTTTGGTGGTACATCGATTGGATTTGAGCCTAGCGGCACCTGCGCTGAACTTATCACCGACTCATGGTGCAATCGAGCTTGGGCGGCTTCAGTTGTAGATGGATCAGAGTTGCAGTTATCAGTCCTGCCGGTGTGTTCCTACGTGAGGTTCACGCAATTGTCAACGACAGGTTTCTGCTCCTGGTCTTGACGCCGTGCTAAACAGGCGCTCTCCGTGCTGACTGGAAACTGCTCTGGCGGACACAGGTCGGCAAGAGCTCCGGTATCGCTGTGCTCGTTCTCGACTAGGCCAAGTGGTTCATCATAGCCGCTGTCCGCGTAACAGAGCTGTGGGGGAGGGTTTGTTGACTCTAGCTGAGATGGACTGGAGTTTCTTCCGCTATGGCGAACTTCAACACCCCCTTCGACTGTGTGACTCCTCAGACTTTCCATTGAGGAAGCCGGACTGACTGCGTGAGGGGCTTCTTGATGCCCATCCAAGTCGTCATTGAGAGGCGCTCGCTCGGACTCATCAGGCGTTGCTGCCATATGTTTTGCCGTATCAAGCTGAGGCTGGTCTAGTGTTGGTAACGCGGCATGACTGTTGCGGGGCGTGCTGTCGGCCGTCGGAGAGCCCATCGCAGGAAAGGCTGCTCTGCATGGAGGCAATTCTCCGTGCACAGGTGAAGCATCCTCCGAGTTTGTAATATTGTCCACAACCGAGCCTTTGTTTTCTAGATCATGCCTTGAGTCTTCCCCGCGCTCCAGGATCTCCATTTCGTCGTCGCTGAAAGTCCCCCGGGAGATGAGATATTGGTGACCATCGAGTTCAACTTCGTTGAACTCTCGTTCGTGGCCAGGAGAAACAACAACGATGTTGGGCTCTGGGACATCTGTCGAGCCGGGCAAGCCCTCCTCCGACAACCAGTGGCGCCTTTCCGCTCGGCCTAGGTGGCCGAAATTTGCAGGTGGCGCTCTACCCCTAGGGCCATCGTAGGTTGAAACCTCACTGCCAAGTTCGTAGATCGACGACTTAGGCCATGTGAAAGTGTAATCATCCCGTGAACTTTCCGGTGAATAAGGAAGGTCCTGGAGACCAGGTTGGCATAACCTCAATCGCTCAATATCATCGCGCCCAACGGCATCGGCAGGGTTGATATACTCCTTCTCTGTCCGAGGCTTCAGAGCCGGCCGCTTATGTCCTTGTGAAGCGCCCATCGACGTCGATGGAAAGAACTCAATCAGCTCCTTCGCGGACAATCGATCCTTTGGTCGAGGGGCCAGGCAAGTCCTCACCACGTCCTGGTACCAATCTGGCACGTCCGAAGGAAATTCTTCCACACTCAGAGGCGGAACATGTCGCTCTGGCTCGTCATCATCCATGGCCAGTGCCCACAATGTCATACCGAGTTGATACAAATCCGACTTTTCACCGATGTACATTGAAATCCTTTGCTGACTCGCGATTTTGGTGGCAATTTCAGGAGGCTCCCACCCAACGGGGCATCCTCGTCGATTAATGTCAATGATCTTCGCATTACCGTCGGCATCGACCACGATATTCGAAAGGGTGAAGTCCCCTTGTACATAACCTTCCTCGTGAATATCGCTGAGACCACGAACTGCGTGCTCGGCCCATCTGCAACGGTCTTCCCAGGGAATGGATCCCCGATGATCGTAGAGCAAATCGACTACCGCGCCTTTCTCGGCAAAACTGATGAGCAACCCCTTAACGACCTGTCTCGCATCGTCAAGCACAATTGCTTCCAGCTGGATCACATGCGCAGAGTCATGCAAAGCATGCAACGCATTGATCTCATACAGGAACTCATCCACCGTATCCGGCCCAGGAATCTCTTTCTTGATATAAACTCTGCCCATGTGTCGGACTTTGTAAACGAAGCCGGAGAGATGAGAATCGAACTCCAACTCGCTTTCTCGAACCTCGAACGGATGGAACTCTTCATCTTCCAAGATATGGGCCACGGTATGGCGTGGAGGATAAGGAATGATCTCGTTCACATCTTCGGTCACATGGACATGAAGCCTGCCATCCGTGGTCTCCAATTTGAGGTTTGTGACGGATTCATAAAACTGTATGTCGGGCAGAGAGTCGCGTATAGATTCGTATATTTGCAGATTCTTGTCTCTCTGGAACTGGAGTTCTTTCAGATCCATCTCTAAGGAGCCCGGTTCAGCATTGCGATAATCGCAAGAGATGGTGACACGGCGCCAGTGGCTGGGGGTCTCGGCATAAGTAACAAAGAACTTTTCACGATCGGACTTATCACGGAAATGCATGCTCAGATTGAGGATCCATCGACGATCAAGCTCCTCGTTCAGATTAATCTGGTCATCAACCGCATTCAGGTGAGGGAAGTGTGAGTGATCGGACGACGTCACTGAAAGCGGTCGGGGAGGACGATACTGATCTTGTGGCCACATGTCTTCCATCGTATCTTCCGGCCTATTGCCGAAACCAGGAAAGTCGTCCACACGAGGGCCGGCGGTGGTAGACTGTGCCTTGCCCGAGATGGCCATATCAGATTCGGAAACACGAGCCGATTGCCAAAATGGTGGTGCCGATTGTGCTCGTGGTCGCGAGCGGCTGGGTGGGACACGCCTCGTTGTGGACAAGGCTCTCTTTTCGGCATGACAAGGCTGAACGGGAACGAGACGATCTCGTTTCTCAGAGTTCTGACGCCGGAACGTCGCTTGGCGAGGAAGTCCAACCGCCAGAGGCCTCGAGGAGGCTTGGTGTTTGTTGTGGTCATCGTGGTCAGGCCATGGCCGAGGCCACTCCTCGTCTTCTGGGCACTCAATCGGACTCCGGGTGGGGCCATCTTTGGCAAACAGGCTATGTAGTTTCTGCCACATGCCGGAGCCGACGAACAAGGACTTGGAGTGATGCGGCTCGTCATCCAGCGGTCTCAAAGGCGTCCGTTCAGCTTGGTGAGGAGTTATGCCCATGTTGCGAGGCTTGCTCCAGTCTCTGCTCCTGCAAATGAGGGGCAAGCCTCAACCGCCGCTGAGCTCACAAACACAAGAGCCACAGATATTGAGTGACCACTTGTCGGACATCGAAGGTCTGATGGTGGTACAAGGACGAGATGGAAGGGCTTTTGGTGGGAGTCGGCTGGGAACGGAGAGATCTTACTGGTGCAGAAGCATTCCACGAAGTCTAAGAGGCGAAGAGGACTCGGTAGGCGGTGAGACGCTGCAAGCCACACAGTGGTCGGTAAGATATTGCACCCGAAAGCTGCACCACGCTGGGGAATACAGGACGTCTTGCGGGCGGATGCGCAGCCCAGCGGAAGCACTGTGCAGAGAACAGTCTTGCTTGATGGCAAATATGGTCGTTGAAGGAGAGCAGCAGGGGAGGACGATGGGCGTGCTTTTGAGGCGGATCAAGACGGATTTGTCTGTTTGTCTGGAGCTCTCTTGGTTTGCTAAGCGCTGCTCTGGTATGGACTGGATTCCAATTCAATTGCAATGCGTGGCGCTCGGCCTTGACGACAAAGGAAAGTGGCTGGCAAGGTGATGTGATTGATGCGGGTTGAGGTGATGGTGTAGGTTCATCGAGCTGCACGGACAAGGTTGTGGTTGTAGCCTGCGTGCAGACTGGAGTGGTCGAGCATACAACTACCTGGTCGACAACGTGAAAGTGAACGAAATAAGCATATAGACACAGCTGAAGTGAGAAGAAGAAGCAACACAACGCTCAATGGCACACGCTGTCGACCTTGTGAGGTAAGAAAGAGCTGGATATCGAATCTGGTGCAGCAGTGGTTGTAGTAGTATTGTATGTGGCCGACATGTCAGATTCGCTCCTTAGGCTGGTCTTCGTTTACCGTCGCGGAAGCCCGTGAGAGCCCGAGGCGCCCCCTGCAGCCAACAGACTTAGGGAGGTGGCTGGCTGCCTGGGATTGGGGTTCGGCCAGCCTAAGGTACGTGAGGCAGGTAGCTTCTCACCGCGAGAGGACGTCTTAACATGTTAGGTATCCTTCTCCCGCGCTTCCAAGAGCAGTGCAACCAATTACTGGTGCTTAGATGCACGACCACTGCACTCATCAGTAGCTATTTAGGTACCTAAAAGAGGTAGCAAGCAGCCTAAAGAGCCTTGGAAGCCCCAATCGGCCCCTGAAGCCTTAGGTGCCCTCTGTACTGACGCCGCCTAGGATGCTCCATGCTGCAAGTTCAGCTCTCCGCCCGGCCCTGATGCACATTGCCTGCAGGGCTATTCAAACAACAAGCTCTGATTCCTCCTTGGGTAGCCCTGGACATCTCCTAACCAGTCACATCAAAAGCTACGGGTCTGTTGGGATGCTTCCAGAGCACTTCCTCACTGCAGTGCCTTAGGCGAGATGAGGTGCAGTCCCGCCAGCACCCAAGGCAGACGCATTTCTTAGGCATCAAGATGTCCACCTGTGACGACAACGAAGGCGGACTAAGGCCGTGATAATGCAGCCATGTACCAAGTACCTCGCCTAAGATGCCTAACAGAAGGGGAGCATGAACAGCCTACTTAGAGGTACCGGTAAGAACCTGCACAGGTACCTTTTATTATTGCTAGTACTGCTACAAGTACTTCTGCCTGTTGGCAAACTCAACTGTGCTTCTCACATCAATCACCTACGATCCTCATCCTTTGTCTCAGAGTTCTTTTTGCTCTCGTCAACATGTTCTGGATTCGGCAAAAGATGTCTGAGAGCGACAACAGGGAAAGGCAGTGAGCTATTCCTACGATGCCTCGAGTCGCCTGTTGTTGTCGTCCTCCACTGTTGAAGTCCCACCTCCTCTCCACTACTGCATCTCTGCAGATGCGTTCTTCCAAGCAGACGGTCGCGGCCACTCAGCTCGAACCGCCCGTCTTCTATATATCCTATTTGTCGCTTCACCGTTGGGCTCCAAAATCCTTGATTTCTTCAAGCTCAATTGGCACTTCTCGTCACCCGATCCTTCTTCCATCCTCCCGGGCTCATCGTGCTTCAAGTCCACAGCCGCTAGCCTTCAGGTTGGAATTGATGCCCAAACCAAGATCTAATGACGAGCTGCAACTTAATGCTTGGATGCAGCACCGCCCGATGGTGTGACGTGGTCGGAGATTTCAGAAGTGACGGGCGCTATGCAGTCGTCCAAAGTCACCTGTGACATATTATCGTCTCAGGTTGCGCAATGAAAGACTTCAGATCTTGCTGGATGAAGTCACCAGACTGGAGGAAATCCTGCTCAGGTCCGCTTTTGTCGTGCTTGGAGCCTCGTTGTCGCACACCGCCAATCCTTTCTACCCCCTTTCCCCTAGCATTTGCGGTGAAGCCAAACTATCCCTCCCGATCCTCGGAGGGATCCGTGGCGTTGGCACCATGCTGCCTCATGGCTATGGCTTGTTTAGCGAATGCTTCGGATCACAACCGTATCCCAGCCGGCTTCGGAACTCGTGCTACAGCGCACGAGTTCGGGAAACAACGGGAAGTCGTGGACATGGCTGAATACGGCTACCAGGTTCTTACCCTGCTCTAAACTGGGTATTCGTGTCACCGCCCAGCGAACTTCGAACGTACGACATCCTCGGTGAGCCGGGAAATATCACCCTATTGTTCATTGCTTTGGCCTACTACTACAGAATACCGATTTGATTCCGTCTGCCATTGCCTACCGAAGGTAAACGCTGCCATTGTCTGGCCGCCTCTGTCGCATTGTCTCGTTGCCTGTCTATGACTTCAAGAGGTAGGGACTCGGCTCCCTGGAAGAATGAGTGGTTGATTGTCAAGCTACATTGCTGCGTTCTATATCTTCGTGCCAGGCTTCTCCGCGGATTTTCTGTCGTGGCAGCCGCACTAATCTCTATCTTGCCCCTTTCACCACACCGCCTTTTTTTCATCGCTCGGAAAGGCGGCCATGGATCTTGAGAAGAAAGCGCGTTTATCCGCTTCGGAGCGTCGAACAGTCAACATGCACACGCGCCGGTTGCAGCGGCAACGGAACCAGCTCACCTGCGGATTCTCAACAAGCAGACAGTTATATCAAGAGGGTTTAACAGAGCTAAGGACACAATGAGTGGTAAGTGGTTTGTGGCTCCGGGCGATTTGATCACTCTCGCCCTGCATCAACAACAGCTGGAACTCGGATGGTGAATGCAATCGATTACCACCCGTATCACTCTCGTACCTATTGAGACGGGTGTTTTCTCCGACTTGAAGGTCTTGATTGCGTGCGCCTGAGCAAGGCTGCCATGCGAGCCTTCGATGGATGTGGGCCCCCGACAGGCAGGTAGCCCGGTATCCATGGCTGAGCTTGTGTTGTGGCGCGTTTCTCATTGCTCAAAAGGACATGCCAAGCTCTGATCGGATTGTCTACCTGGGTAAGCAGTGAGTGAAACACAACAGATCATAATCTTGCTGGTCGCAAGATGTTCACGGGTCCCTGAGCCCCCTGGCGTCCATGCTGTTTCTGCCTGCCGGTTACGAAGCGGCCGAAGGCACAAAACGTGATCTCCAGGTGACTTTTTAAATACTAGTCCTACCATAAATTGGGTTTGGACGGTAAGATGAGTATCAATTTGTCATTCAAGTTGTGCTTTCTGGACCCCTGCATCGCCTACTATTGTTCCCTGGGTATAAAGCTGGAAAAAACGAGGAATCTGCAACTTCTTAGTCTTGGATTGTCTTTATCAACCACTGCATGACAAGCCACATAACAGTCGTGACCATGTAAAAGGAACCTCAAGGTCGTTACGGTGGTAGGAAATGTTGTGAAGATCAGAATGAGATATCAGGAATTTATTCATTGTCGATTTTAGTCTTTGATAACTCCCTATCTGCCCCTAATATGCCAAACGCCAATGTGAAACGCCTGTCCCCATTAGACAATAAATGACAAGCGATCTCAAGCCGCGTTGTCGAATGTAAGAATACAGCTTGTGAATGTAGGCCTCGTTGCTCTTTGGTAGAACGAACCGTGGGCCCCGAGGATCAAGGGCGAAACCTCAGTCTGAACCCAACTTCACCGCCAGGGCCGTCCAGTTTCCGCACTTCGCGACCATGGCTCCCGATAAAATAACCGGTCCCGTCACCACCGGATCCTTCAGTGCGAACTCCTCGGGGATTCTGCTGGACGACGTAGATGAACCTGGCGATCGTGTCGGCCTCGCTCAGTTGCTGCGCATTGAAGTGCTTGCGGACGGCATTTGCAAGGTGGCCTGGTGGTTCACGGGGCCCAATATGAGTCGTTGAGGGGAAGGAGGATGAATCTGCTTGGTCAGGTCCATGATCAGGGGGTTCGATGGACTTGGCTATCGACTGGTTCGGTTCCGCTTGCGCATTTTGAGCATCCAACTTCCGCTTATCCTTTGACGTCTTAGTGTTCTTTTCATTTCCATTCCTCTGTGCTTGCTGCAGTTTCCGTTGTTGGTGTCGTTGCTCGCGCAATTTGCGTCGAGACTGGACGGCGGACGGCGCTCGCAGGGCAATGTCCGAGGATGTGTAGATCAAATCCGCATGGGGATGATTATATGTCGAGGGGACAGAGAGACGGTGGGCGATCCTGTAGGTGCGGAGGACGGACGTGGACATGGTATCCCATCCCGTCTGTGAAGGGTAATTATGATGGCGGTCAGCAATTTTTCATTCTCATTGACGACAGAGGCACATTCGTCTGGTAGCATATCAACATACCCGTGGGAGACTGGGGTCTTTCTTTTCGCCTGGACCTTCTTCGCCGGCAGCCGTACTGGTAGCCGCGGCTTTGTTCGCACTCGTCGACGCATGCAGATTCGACGCCAGGCGTTTCCCCTTGCCCACACCTGATCCGCTGGTCGGTCCTAGGACAGACTTGTCTTTCTGGTTGGTCACCGTACTAGAGGTCTCGGATCGGGAGTCGTCGACGTTTCGTGGCCGAGCCGGCGGCATGGCGATGGACTGTAGGATTGCTGTTCTTCGACCGTAAGTTTCTGCAATTGGCAGAGCAGGAAGTGCGAGAAGTGGCCAGATCAAATCATTGAGCGGTATCACTGAGACTGCTGTTGCAACACGAGCCCTTTGCAGGCAAAACTGAAGACATGTACGGGCATGGAATCATGGGATTGAAGCATGTTGGTTGAATGCAAGGCTCAGTAGTAACTACGAGTCAGTGAACACGCGCAATCAAGCGCAGGCCAGAACTTCTGCCGAACCGAGAATGATATCATAACCGTCCTAGTAAAAAGGGCAGGCAGGCTGTTGCCCCTATTGGCTGTTGAAGCTGCGGCGTCTTACCTTTTGTGGTTAGTATAACGATTAAGCTGCGAGCGGCAGTGCTTGATGCGCTCTCTGACTGGCGGGGAGCACGGCTGCAACCGAACGGGGCGCGCAGGAACACGCTGCCATGCTGCAGGCAGTACATGTACTAGTACTACTAAGTAACGCTGCTGAGACCAGACAAGCAAACAAGCAAAAAACACCAGATTATACCTGTCTTATCAACATAGGTACCTACATGTCCTGGGCGTGGAGATAGGGGCATCTTCTGCACAGCTGGTGGTAGCAGAGAACAACTGGACTATGATTTGGTTGGATTTAAGAGTCCTCCTATTTGAGTTCTCTCCGAGGGTAATGCCAGGGCAAAGAAACTTCAGCCTTATATCATACGCTATTATGACCATAGAATAGCCGCCCTATACACTGTTTTCCCAGCCATCTAAATGAGATTACAAGTGAACAAACATAGTTAAGGCAACCCAGGCGGCCAAGACAGTGTCAACAGCACAAAGCCCAAATTGGGCTACCTGTGTTGTAATGTTGTCGCAGCACTATCTAGTGGCCTCGAATACCTGCGCACTCCGGACGGCATCAGCAGCTCGAACACCCCGTGGGAGGGTGATGGAGGGCTGGTTTGGCTTGCTGGTCAGTCAATCCCTTCCGCGCCACTCCCGGACTGTGTTGCCATCACCCGAGTGAATCAAGTGGTTAGTAGAGGCCAGACGGTATGACCCAATTTGCAGAACAAGCCGCATAATCTTTGCTTTTGACGAACTCGCCGCCTCAGGACCAAATCCGGGGATTGCAAGCTGTACACAGAAATCTGGTTTGGTCATTTTGGGGAACGGTGAGCGTAGAGGGGCGGAAACGAGGAAAAAAGATCATATGCACTTTGGATTGAAAATCCAAGAATCCACCTACGCTCATGGCCCTACGCTCATGGACGCCCAACAAAGAAGAAATTTTTGACTGAAGATTGTTGGTTTGTTCAGCGTGTTGCATTGCAACGGATGACATCTCCCTGTCGACCTGGATCTTCGCCAGTCTTTTGTAAAGTTGCAAAAGTTGACTCCATGGTGTCAAACTTTGCTTTGCGCATAAGGCTGGATCAATCCGATACATGGCCCTTCGAGAAGGCAGTCTAACGGTTTGAGCCCCGGCCGTGGACACCTGGACGTCAGAGCGTTTCATCGACTCGTCACCGAGGGGGCGGCGTGGATGATGTATGATTTTTTCGCAGGCGTTGAGATTACAATGTAAAAGTTCCATCAGCCGAGGATTTGCCGTCCAACGGGTTGGGATATCCAGCTCAGCTTTCCAGCCACACATGTCTTCGGTCTGAGAAACCCGGGGCGCCGCTGTGGGTTATGATGGGTTTGATTGCCATAAACTTACCTGGCCAGTGGCAGTGTGCTTTGTGTGGGCGTGCAGCATTGGGACTGACATGTGAAGAATATATGGAGCCCGCAAGGCCCAGTCCTCACTGTGACGGTGGTGGTGGTGGTGGTGGTGGTGGTGGTGGCTATCGGAATAGCCGCATTGGGTAACCCCGCGGTATTTTCTTTGATAGTACCACCCAGCAAAATTTTACTTTGACGTGTTTTCCACTTCATAACTGAATCGTAATAGGACTCCATTTAATACCACAGCCATGACAAAATTGCATTCTTGCGCCGAACATTCACCATGCGAGTACGCTGTTCACTGCGGATGAAAAATTTAGATATGTACAACGTTGTACAGGCCAAACAGAAAACCACATGTGAGGCTGGAAAGCTCCTCAGAGCGGAGCACGGAGTGGACAGGAGCCATTATTATTGTTGCCACGTGGTCCGGCTCCGGGTGGCTTGATCTGCTAGTCCGTCGGTAGATGGAGAGATTGTGGTATACAGCAGTAGCACAATTGTAAAAGTGTGACCATGCGTTTCCTTCCATGGTAGAGAGGGCTTTTTTAGCCACCGTTGGGAGAATTGGCGCGTGTGGATCTTGCCCCGGCAAAACTGAATATGAAGCATGAAGGAGAACTCAGCAGCAAAGACGCTGAGTCACGTGAAGGAAGAGCCCATAATTAGCTAAGCCAAGGCTGAATTTCGAGCCTGCAGTGTGCTGCACACGTCTTATATGGCTCACCAGCCGAGTGAGCTGTACAGCTGTATCCCTTCGGCCCTCGCTCGACGGATATGCGGCTATGGCGCGAGGAATTCGAAGAATTGCACCTGTTGTCGGACCACCTTTGTAGGTCGGGGAAAATCCCCGGGGTGAGTGAAACTGAGCAGTACCAGGTAGGGTTTCTGCCGGTCGGACTTCAGCCGACGACAGGCTCCGCCTGGACGACTGACCTACAGTAGCTAGCAGGTCGATGGCGGAAACGCTTACCTCCTGACGCGCAAGAGGTTCTTCTTCTGACATCGATCGAACACCTGGGCGGCCTGCGAGGGCTCGCCCAGTCTTGGTCCGCTCTTGGACAATGTTGGCAAACCTCGTGACCCCAGAATGAATGTCTGGGCGATAATGTTTGCCACGGCGTTTGCTGGCGGGAAGTTGGTGTCGGTAGAGCCACGGACATGGTCCGCTAACCTCGGAGCGAAGACATGACAACTCCGTTGAGTGCGGAAATGTATGAACGGACACCCGGTGGTTCAGTCTGCCCAACGCGGATAATCACCTACCTTATCTGTCCTCAATCTTACAACGTTGTACAATTGTACACCCGCTCCCCTCAAGGCTCCCCCACAAGTGGACTCTGGGGAGGGAGTTAGTACCTAAGGCATCATTCCACACTGACAGTGCGCAAGATAAGGGGGAAAATCAGCCGTGGGGTTTCAATCAGTGCAGTTAGTCAGACCACATACTCTGCTAATCAGCTACATAAGCCATAAGCCGCCCTGAGCAAATAATTACCGTGGAACTCGAGCGGTGTTCATCGTGGTATTTTTTCGCCGATATCGCCTCGGTTTATTATTAGTTGCAGTCATCTCGATCTGAAGGTGCAGAGGCTTATTGGTACAGTAGCAGGCGGAGGACTCGGATGTCAACTCTCGCTGTACGCATTTCCTGGACAGGCACTTGTTGAGCCGCGGCAAGCAAATGTCACGGCTCATTATCAGTTCGAAATCGTCGTGATAAGCTCGGATTATGGTGTCAGCATTCCGATTACTGAGTAAGCGGCGATCTCAACGATAACGGAGTTTGCGGGGTTCATTTCGAGGCTTGAAACAAGCGAGTCAGGCTTTCAATCCACGATACAATCGCGAAACAATGCCTTTTCCTTACCTGCCAACGACGAACTGGCCCGTGACCGAGAGAAGTCCTGCGATAAAGTGCCTTCTCCCGCAGTGCCGGCTATTCAGACATCGCAAGGTCTAGACCCCATAGAGATAGAGGGATCCGTTCGAAAACCACAGGAGGTAATTTCCGCATCTTCTAGAACATGTGCATTGCTTTCTATAGCCATAAAGTGGATAGAGAGGAAACAACGGTACGGGTGAGTGGGCCGGTAGTACATACCAGGTACTAGTACCTACCGTTGTAGAAGGTAGTGCTCAATCAATTTTGAAATGGTACCATCGGCCTGTCGACGGCTGGTACTGTAGGTATGTACATAGGCATTATTGGCCGTGGTGCACGGAGGATACCACATCGTGCGGACATTGAGCTGGTTTTAGATTGCTAGTACCGCTGTATAGCCTAATTCTGGCATGATTATTTTGACTCATCCTCAGCGAATTGCACATGCACGGGCTGGCCTTCACCCAAGCAGTGAATTGAGTGTTCGGTAGGTACCTAGCTTCCCCACACGTGCCCGGAATTCGAGCGGTCCAAAAATCCGAGCAAATCATTGTTGACTGGCTTCATCGTTAATATCATTGTGGCTGTCCAGCTTCCAGTCCCTTTGCCTTCAGTGCTAATAACAATCTTGACTGTGCTTTACGTCAGTAAGGTGACCTAGGTATTCTTCACATGCCAGTGTGAAGCGTACACTGTACATCGTTGAGCCTGTGAAAGAAAAGTTGGGTATCCGATCCGCCGGAGGAGCCGCCGGTTCAGGTACTAGTAACACTAGTGAAACCTTCGGGCCTGGAGTCTGGGGTGAGGATCTCTCTTCCGCAGAAGCACCGGCGGCCCATTGTGATCGAGATACTGGTAGTAAGACCACAAAGATTGTGGGGAAGTGGTTGTCCACCGTGGCATTCGTTGTACTTGTACTACAAGGTAGTATTGCTACTGTGCAGCTACTATCTAGTACTCCGCCATACCAAGAAGGTATCCTCCCGTCCAGGTGAAGGTACTTGCGAATCGCGATCTCCGGACCAGTCCAGTCCATTTCAATTGCGCTCTCGGCCGTCTTCTCCTGATACCGGGCGAAGTGCCCTGATCTTGGAAGGGGCAACACCGTACTAGGTTAGGTACTGTTCTCATGAATCTTACATCTGTAGCAGGTAATGATCGGGGACGTAACACGACATTATCCGCATCCGCTGCATCTCCAGAGATAGCTATTCTCGCCTTCAAGTTTCGTTTGAAGAGCCAGCAAGTGCTGACTAACATCATACGCTAGGCGGCACTCAGGTATGAAAATGAGGGATATACTACATTCCCGAACACCTGCCTGCTGCTCCGCTACAACTTTGAAGTGAATAAATCTCATTTTAATAATGGCATCGGTGGGAGGTACCTACTATATGCAGAATTGTAGCACCTCCGCTTGTTGGGTGGTGGCCAGCGGCTCGGGGGTAGAAGTCCGAGTTCCTTCAGCCACTTTGACCAGGTTCGCCTTCTCCCCACTCACGGTGAAGCCGCCCCTGCAGCAGTGGAGACCTGATTAACCGCCTGTCCGCACTGGCAATCTGCAACAATAATAGGTAAGGTACACAGGTATGGAGCAATGGGCTGAAAGTTCGGGGCTGTGACAGCCTAGCTCTCCTGTCCTTATAGGCATCGAGCCTGCTCTCAGTCGACCATAAACTCAGAATCCGATGCCTACAAAGTGCCCGAAGCTGAACCTTCCAGGCGTAAGTGCCCTGCCAACAAGGGCCGGATAGGCGCCAGCAAATTACCTGATGATCAACCTTCGTGCAGACCTGGCGCTGCTGCTCCCGCCATCTGGAACGGTTGTCATTATTTCCTTGACAATGATGCCGTCCACTGCATGGATCAGGTAGACTCGCGACCGTCAAGGCTGAAGCTCGACTAGTAGAGTGTATACCTCCGTTTGGGCTCCTGCAGGAACATTCCAATGACTGCACTCGTTGTAAACATCCACGTCAAATTATTTTATTTCTTGACTATCACGATCGACGATGTGTACCTGTACTAGTAAGTAAGCATGCCCGGAAGATGCACCGGGTTGCCTCATGGTGAGGCAGCATCACGGTTTCAGTCCCATCCAGAGACATCCCGACTCTTTTTCGTGGGTGGGATCGGTTGAGAAATTCAGGCGCCAGACAGAGACAGCCAGGGCCGAGGAAAGTCACTCTATGCCGACAGGTGTGCCGAGCGGTACGTCTCGGCCTTCCCCATCTTTTGCCGTGACTGCCAGTGTGACGCGCCTTTCCCCCATGATTGCCAAATACTGTCCTTGACGTTCACGCGGAATGCCTCCAGAAGAGATGCAATACCTGGGTACCGTAACTGCTACAGTCGAACTGAAGCACCGGCAACATTGCGGTCTAGGTAGAGCGGTATAGGTCTTTGCGCTTTAGGGTTCGTCTACGCACGGGGCATGAGCAGCATCATTTCATAGACCGATCGTCTTTCAATTATTGAATCTCCCTCATACAAACTTTTGATGCGGATAGAGCGGTTCCAATTTATTTGCCAGACCGATCAATTATACCTTGGCCCTGGACCTCGTAGCCCCAGTCACCGTAACGGCGCCCATCCTCTGTCATCATCCCGAGAAAATTTCACTCCAGGCCACATTATTGACCACAGCTCGTAACTCTTTCGGCCTGGCTTGCCACCCTGGCCTTCCCCGGATCATCCTTCTACCTGGTACCAAGTCCACCTTCGCCTTGTGAGGTGCTTGTTTTTCGGTGGCATCCTCAGGGATGTAGAGGTCATGTAGAACAGATACGAGGGCGAAAACAATGCCAGTACGCCCACTAGAGGCTCCGATCGGCCAGAATTGAAGGCTGTGCGTTGAGATTTCGAGAAAAAAAAATACGGCCGAGGAAGGGGAAGTGTGGGACAGTAAACTGAAAGTGGGCGGCCGCCTGAGCCTGTCGGCCTTCTTTCTCCTGGCACCCGCAGCCGCAACTGCGCCGGCACTGGCTCTCTGGCATTTTCATGTGGTGCCAGGGCCAGTGGGAGGGGAGAGAGGCCGAGCTGCGATCCTTGACACATCCTGGGCAGCCATCGCTCTGCCCGCGGGTCCTGGCGCCCTCCCCCGGAGCGTCCTCTACAACTACTAGGTAGACTCATCACGGACGGACGAGGCAGCGACACTCTCAGGCCCCTTCAGCTCGTCATCTTCCCTTTCCAGCTGTGGTCCGATAAGGATCATGCTAGCACGTTCTCAGTGGGGATAAGCACCACTGGATACTTAGGGACATCTCGCCGCCCGCCGCAGTTCGGTGGCTCCCACTTTTTTGTTACGACAGCGTCGGACGCACACACCGCACACAGAGACCACCAGAGACCGTGGGCACTGCTACTGCTACTCTCCCTCTCTGACACACGCAACCTGACACAACCCACATTCCCAAACCCAACCCAGGCACCCAGGGCAGGAAATAATTTCGACGCCTTTCGGCCCTCGCTTCCTCTTCCGCACGGCATCACTCAGGCTCGGCCAGCGAAGGAAAAAAACCCAAACACCGCACAGAACTTAACCACAATCATCCCGACCCCTGCCTCCCCCGGTCTCCAGTTTCCAGTCCGCATTCCCGGATAGCCTCCTACACACCCAACTGGTCAAATTACCTTCCTCCCTTCTCCAACATCGGCTCAATTCTCTTACATTTGTTTCTTTTCTTCCTTCCCCCAGTCGGTCACCACCACACCATACATCACCTCGAATCAACACACTACACACAAGCATTCGCTGCACAGCGCCCTGCCTGCGACACCACCCACGCTACTGTATCGCAGTTCACTGCAAGTTCACCTGCACTTCAGCCTGCGCCTGCGCCTCTCCCGAACCCGGGTCTGCCGCCTCGTCTTCTGTTACGCCGCCATAGCCTGGCCTACTTAGTGCCTGATTCACCCCACGATAAGCGATCATCTTGGGGAACGAAGTCGCTCCTTGCTCGAATGCAACGCTCTTCGTCTGCAGTAGACTTTACTGCGCTCCTTAATCCAACTCCTCCTTCTTCTGAACCTGCAACGCCTTCGCGGTCCTCACAAAGCACACCTGCTCCGACTCCCGCCTCATCAACGAGTGCTCCAACGACCACGCAAAGTGACAACATGGCCGCCGCTGTCAGCCTACTGCCCACTGCCGTGGCATCACAGAATACGCACACTGAGGAGAGACAGGATCTCCCTCGTCCCTACAAGTGCCCTCTCTGCGATCGAGCCTTCCACCGCTTGGAGCATCAAACTAGACATATTCGAACGCACACTGGAGAGAAGCCTCACGCTTGCCAGTTCCCCGGATGTAGCAAGCGCTTCAGCCGCTCTGACGAGTTGACCCGCCACTCGCGCATCCACAACAATCCCAACTCTCGTCGCAACCAGAAAACCCACCAAGTTGCCGCCGCCGCTGCCCTTGCCGGACTCCAAGATGGCTCGAACCAAGTTCTGGCGGCTCAGGCGCAGATGATGCCGCCTCCCAACAAGAACAGCCTGCCTAGGTCCGCACCTGTATCTGCCGCTGGCTCCCCCAATGTTTCGCCGCCTCATTCATTCGCTGTACATGCTACCCATAGTCCGCATGTCCCGACACACCTTGGGCCTTTTGGGCGCAGTGACGATCGGAACGCCATGGACATCAATCTCCTCGCTACAGCGGCCTCGCAGGTTGAGAGAGATGAGCATATCACCAGGGTACCGTATCAGCATCAGCACCACCTGTTCAGCCATCGCACGCATCACAGTAACGGACGGCTTCCATCGTTGTCCGCTTACGCCATCTCGCACTCTATGTCCAGATCTCACTCGCAGGAGACCCACGATGACGACCATCGTGTGAAGAAATCCAGGCCGAATTCGCCCCATTCGACTGCTCCTTCTTCGCCCACCTTTTCTCACGCATCGATATCGCCAACTCCGGATCACACTCCTCTTGCCACGCCAGGCCATTCTCCTCGTCTGCGACCGCTTGGCAGCGATCTTCAACTGCCAGGCCTACGGCATTTGTCTTTGGGACACGCGCCCCTCCTCGCACCCATGGAACCCCAGGCTGACGGCTCGTACTCGCACATTCCGCCACCACAGCATTCTGGCCCGTCCATCGCCGACATTGTCACCGGCACTCAGCGTAAACTGCCTGTGCCTCAACTTCCAAAGATCGGCGTGTCTGAGATGCTGAGTGTACCGCCCGGAATCAGCTCCGGTGATTCCAGTGCAGCTGCGTCAGTCAATGGGGATTTTTCCCGGTAGCCTTAGGGTTTCAGTGGAGATTTCCAGCACCGTCTACGACTTTCAACGTTTAGCCGTGGCATGAGGCTAGAGTTACTGTTTACAGTAACCTTGCTTTACATATCCACTTTCGATGTTTACTGGAGTTTGGAAGGGGCTTCTTTTCTATGATTCTCAGCGGGGAAGCGCTAAGAATTGGCTTGAACGGGATCAATTGGAGAACAACAGCGAGGAGCAAGGTATAGACAGGAAACGGAACCGAAACTGATCGCGCAGTACGACTGCCTCTGATAGAACGGCGTTTGGGTCATGTATCTGGGACAAGACGAGGATATCAAGGTTAGGCAAAGAATCGCCCGGTAGCGATTGACGGCCAGCTTATGGTTTTACATGTGTAACTTCAGATAATCCAATCAGTCTGTTTACAGAGTTTGTTGTACTGGAGGCATTTTTTTTTCATGACTTAACTTCGTACCTTCCTCATCAAGTAGCTGCCAGGACATGAACAGTCGAGATGCGCAGCAAGAGAGGCTGCAAACCTTGGGACCTTCTACCTGGCGTGGGTGCTATGAGAAGTACACTACGGCCTCATCTCGGAGAGAAATCTTTGGCACAATACACAGTACGCTTTGCAAGCTCACGTGAGATTACGGATGAACTGACTCGGCAAGGGGGACCTTGAAGTCGAGGGACAGATACACTACGTTGTCGTCGCCTTGAACACTCCGTTTACACAGCTCTCAAAATCCACCAGCGCACCGAAATGCGCCCTTCCCCCACACTACGGTTCTGAGGGTGTCATATTGCACGGTCAGCATCTCCAGCGCAGTAATCACGCGAGAGGGTAGGTAAGCGTGCAAGGGGAAAGGATGAGTAATAAAATAGTGTAACAAATTGTAAGAAACACGGTTGCGAGGACAGAGGAGAGGCATTACTCATTGTTGACAGTGTGCTTCATGAATCTGCCTTCCCCGGATCTTTTGCGATGCTAGCAGCAGCTGATTCCGACCGCATTTGGTCAAAGAAGAGATAGGGAAAAAAGCACGGGGTCAATCGTGGAGTCCCCAGCTTTGCTCTCGGTTCTGTTCTGGGTGCCTCTGCAGGAGTCTACACACCGGCACCCGGAATGTTTCCCAGTTGAGCCCTGAGAGTGCCAGCCGAGATGAGCAGCAGCGACATCTCTGCAACGATCACGGCATTATTGGATCGGCTTTGGCATCGTTTATGGTGATGGTGCAAGATCAGCATCTTCGAACACCCGCTGATCGCCACAGACCAACAAGGCCCCTGTCGGCTTATCGAAGCATGGGTTCTACGCTGTACAATTGTACATGCAGTAGTGGCAAGAGAACCCGACTATTGCTCCCGGCCGTGCTCAATGCAGGCAATGGACTATTGGCCGAGGGTATGTAAGTCTGTAAGCGTCGAACCAGGTTCAGTACTACGGTGGCAGTCAGTGCTCTTCTATCGATGTGCGGTCGAATACTACAATGGTACAATACTATCGACTGGGGTGGAGCCCGGTGAAGCGAGGATCTCCTTCTGTTGCTGGTTGCCGTAAGCAATCCCTCGTGTCCGCCCCCCAAAACCACAGACAGACAGAAAGACAGATAGCGATGAGTGAGTGGGCCGAGAGAGGCCAGGCCAGGCCTGAGTGTTTTCGTGCCCGATCCTATCGCTGCCCCATATTCATGATGCCAGAAGACTGTCTGAAAGCGCCAAAAATTACGTCTTTTCGGCGGCCGATGGCTAAATTCAGTCAGTCGGAGCCGTAGCTCGAGCTCGAGCTCACGTTCACGCACAAGCTCTGGGCCAGACGAAGCCCCAGTCTGGGTGACGACACCGCGATCGAGAGATAAGGTGCCCAATATCTCTGACATATTGTCTCAGCGCAATCTCCTTTCGTGCGTGAGGGTTGCCGATGAAACTGCAACCCAGCAAAAGGCCTATCGCCAACGTAAACATATTTGGCACCGACACGATAAGCAGCGGGTTACGGGGGATCGAAGGGATAGCAGGCCTGGCCCGAGTCTTTCGCTCAACAGCATCACACCATCGAGACACGAAATTCATCCCTCGGGTTCTCGCATCTCCCACCCCTTTTCCCCAATAGCACGAGCCGGCACAAGTCAAAAGATCGCCAAATAGGCCAACTTCCCCGTATTCATGCCGCTCCGAGCAGCCCCCACCGGAACTAGTGGGCACTGGAGAGATAGATCCGGGGCGGATAAATAAAACGTCAAGGATCGGGGTTTCAGCAGCTTCACCGAGCCTGTTTCCCGCGGGGAACCGTGGAAGTCGAGTCACCGACCGGGATCACATGCCGCTACCTGGACAAGGACAAATTGCTATATGATTGATTGTTGAGGGACAGGTTATCAGGAAGGACTTGATAACCGGTGGTTCAGTTTCCATCTCGTCTCCAGCTGCTCAACTTGACAGAGCACATGCTCTCGGCTTCGGCAACCTTCCTCCCACGACTTGATATCAAGGACCTCGTGCCGTGCGCCGCTGAAGTGTGTGACGGACAGGGATCAGCTCTACTATCACAGGGAGAGCTTGCTACATTCCTCTCATTCGAGGGCGCCAGCATCGCCTAACACTATCGACACGTCACTGTTTGGGCATTCTTCGGAGCAATCCCTGAACCTCCCACGGGGCGCGGAAGGATATCCAGACGACCAGCCAGCACCCAGCACTGCCTTGTGCCACGGCATCCCGTGGTTTGTTGATTCTCCCCTGGTCTCTCACCATTTTTCTCCCTTCGTGTTGTTACTGCTACCTGCTTATCCGGCTCAGCCCCAACCACGGTTAGATTGCGGGGCCGAAGGGGCCACGTTCCGCAGACACCAAAGGCGGGATGTGAGAGGTCGCAATCCGCTAACGAGTCAAACGACGACAAGGACCTCCGTGGTGGCATTGTGTGTCACATAGGTAGGTTTCTACATCCTGATTTCCAGTGACACCATATATGGGCTGCCAGTGGCGTTGTTCGCTTCTGTGTGCTGTATAGTGGTTGGACAGGGGTCTTCTACACACTCGAAAAGGTCGGATGTGTTTCTCGCTAACCGAACAGCCTCACTCACTACTGACAAGGGCATTCGCGGTGGCTTTGGGTCATGATTCAAACCGGCTAAGGCTTAGCTGGAGTCGGCCCTCCCCCTTTGCCGCTGTCTATACTGGGAGGACAGTTCAACGCTGACGGCGAGGCCTTCCTTTGGGCCAGACCGCCCTTTGGCAGTCTCTCATGAGATTCAGTCGCCCCCCGTTTTGTTATGACTCCCAAAGCCACTCGGGGGCGTTGGCTTCCTTGATACAAGCAGACGGACCAGGCTCCATCTCCTTCCATTCGACGTCTCCTTGCCTCCTGCATGTCGGTCGGAAAGAGATCAAAGATTTCACAATTTGTTCGCCTAGGGTGAAAACTTTGCTGTCTGTTTATATGTTATCAGAAGAGCGTGCATGACGATGAACGTCAAAAAAGCGACGCTCAGGGCGAAAACTGCCTAGGATTGGGTGCCTGAGCATCGCCGGCATGATCAACTCATCGGATACGCGAACTTCCCGATAACCCTGTCCGACCGATGCGCATTTGGTTCTGCCCGATGAAACTTGGAAGGGACCTGAAGCATTTCATGCCAATGCATGAAGGTGCCTTCGTGACCGGTTATGGGCACGACCGTGCTTCTTGATCCTTTGCCTCCAGTGCAATCAGCGGCTCAATCACGAACCTAGTCCATCAACCATTGAAGGGACGTCATGACATGGATCCTTGTCGCAGTATTATAAGGTTTGAGAAAGAGTCAATAGTCCACTGCATTGCAGCCTGAGGAGAAAAAGAGTTCAGGCACCCTCATCTCGAGACAAGAGACTTTCCCTTCACCCGGTGAGTATGGTTGACCTTGACGTTCTGAAACGTCCCCCAAACTCAGTTTGTCCGGCTGTACCTACCTGTAGGTAGCTTTATCTTTTTCTGCTTTCCCAATCCGGTCACATTGGAAGTCATCAGCGCGCCGAAATTTCTCCAGCGGAAAGTCTGAATCGTTTCCTCTGCATCTATCTTCCCCATCTATTACCCCACAGAAGTTGGGGGATCCTTCAAGCTTTGTGGAGGGAATGTGCTTGACCAATGTGCCCGTCTCGGTACTTCGTCGCACCAGGAAGAGAATCGGCGTAGCCATTACAGTTCAGGATCTGAACTCACTGATTCATGCCATGGGACCGCCATATACTTTGGATGGCTTCAAGTTTGGGAGCTCGACCCGGCTGCCCTATCAAATCTACCCAAGCCACGACAGCCGGAAGTGTTCTGTCCTGGCTTGCAGTGCAGTGGTTAGTCTTCTACAGGCACAGGCACCTTTCGCGGAACCCGAAAACGAGACCCTGACCCGGGATGTGTAAGAAAACCGTGGCTGCTCGTCCATCTTCCTCCTCTTCTCAGACTACCGGTAGGTTGGTGGTCACCTTGCTACAGTACGTGACACACTCATATTGTACTGCAAGCATCCATGGCCTCTATTTTTGCATTGTAGCCCACATGTGATGGAGACTTCGTTGGCCATTGGGAAAGGGGAGGGGAGTATATAGATTGGAGAATATTAGTATCATGAGTTACCATACATTAACATCGGTATATATAATGAGGTATATTTCCAAGTTATATATCATCTCCTGCTCAGCGGCCTGGATGGTCAGAATTCCTTTGACACGGCTGCCACCTGATGGTTTATACTAGTGATATTACTGCCCTGGAGTCATCTTTTCAACTTGACGCATCTAATAATAACTTCCTTCGGCTCACTCAGTCTCTAATCCTGGGCCATTTTATTAACGTTACGTTTTGACCGAGATACCCATGTACTTTAAACACCATTACTGATACTTGATGAGCATCTTCCTTACGCCACGCTCTCGCTCGGTACAACTGGAATAAGACTACCATTTGGCTGATACTGTCGCCTCGAAGGTGTCTTAAATCAGCGCGGATGCCTCCTGCGGCAGTAGGTGAGCTACAACGAGACATGCCATTCCACTTCTAGCGCAATAGAAGAGCAAATTCTGGACATGGAAATCCCGTCCACAACACCCATTAGACCCATTGTGACGTGCCACCTACTGTAACAAAATAGCACATGTGGTGCCCATACAAAGTCATGGTCTCATGGCTTCGATTTGCCTATATCAATTGCGTCATGTCACCTGCCCCTTTCCATACCATAATCACTTCCAAGCACTTAGTCCTGCCCAAGGATCTTGCTCCTGCTGCCCTTGCACCTGTCCCTGCCCTTGCGGCTGCTGCGGTGCCGGCTGATTCTGTGGTTGATGGGCCTGCCGGCTGGGTTGGGTATAACTTGCATACCCTCCTGGACCGCTGGGCCAGACTCCTGATGGATTGGGGGGATATTGTGTCGTAGAACCCCCACCAGGCGGGCCGGGAGGCGGTGGAGGAGGAATGTAGTTCTGTGGCATGTTGTAGGGCGATGGTTGATAACCTGGGTAAACAGGTTGTGACTGAGGGAGTTGTGGATGTGGTGAAGGTGCAGGGTAGGCCGACGAACCCCCTGGCTGTGGGAACCCGTACTGAGGTTGGGTGTATTGGGTTGGCGAGGAAAAATTCATCGGCTGCACTGGGGTCTGCGACTGGGCTGGAGCTTGTTGCTGGAAGTATGCATTCATCATCCCAGGCGGAGATGTCACAGGCGAAAAGGGGTAGTGCTGCTGGCCGCCAGCTTGCATAGGAGATGCTGTAGACCTCTCTGGGTAAAGCATGGGATTGTAGCCTGTGGATATGGGGGCGGCTGCCCCCTGGGCGAACGCATGCTGAGGTTCTACCGGGGAAGGATTTGCGGGTTGTTGTGAAGGTGGCTTGAGCTGGTTTGAGTACCCATTAGGTATAACCGGCGCCGGTGAGTGACGGGGTGGAATGGTGAACCGTGGATCAGGGTTCGCGGTAGGATATGATGGAGACGGAGGTACGGGAGACCTGCCCGCGTTGATAGATGGTGGATGGGGCGGAAGGCTGGGACCTTCGGTCTGTGAGGGAGACGCCGACTTTGGCTCCATTGATAACCTGTTCATTAACTCCTGCATCCGTTTCTGCTCCGCAGCAGCCTGGCCATCGGCAGAGCTATTCTTAGTCTGCTCAATCTGATGGAGGAGCTGTGCACCTTCAGCTCTGCGGTTGCTCACAAACGAATCCACGTTCTTCTCGAGACTGTCGACGCTTTCCCGCATCTCATTGTAGAAGGCCTGGGCTCGCATGAGGCCTTGTATCAAATCTTCGTGAGCATTGAAAATCCGCCGATATTTGCTTAGAACACTGTTTTTGCTCCGCTGCAAGGCATCATATTTTTGCTGGTCTGCACGGACTCGTTTGTCCTGCAGGAGATCGCCGTAAGTCTTTGTTAATTCCTTCAGTAAAGAAGACTGTTTGTGGACCGTCGAGATGAGGCGATTCTGGTGCGAACGGAACTTCTCCAATTCTGCTTGGAACAATTGGGTTTCTTGGTTGGCGATCGCCTTCTTGTTCAGGATGAGAACATTCGATATGTCGTCTGTGTGGACTTTCTCTTTGAGATCCTTCAAGACTTGCATACGCTCACGTTTGACAAGGTTTAGTTTCCGTAGTAGATCCTCAACCTTTGCAATCTGGTCCGCAACCGACAGTCCACCTTCACCATAGTCCTCGTCCAGGAGTGAGCCTTCTTCGGCACTTTTTGTTGATTTGGAGCCCGAGCGAGCATTTATCATGGCTCGCTGCCACAAAACATCAGTCTCGCCTTGTTCGGCAGCTTTCCTCATCTCTTCGAAATCGGCTTCGTATTGCCGTGCCGTGGCGAGCAGTTGTGAATCACTCGTGGCTGCTTCGTCCACAGTATCGCGGTAGCTTTTGATGTCGGCTCTTAACGTTGACGTTAAGCGGGAACTTGGTTGCTGGGTCCAATCCGCGCCGTACTTGGACCTCATCTTTTCGCAGACACTTTCTTCCATGTCGAGTTGTTTTGTGCTTTTGGCCAGACTGTCCAAAACAGCCTGCTTGTCCTTTTGAAGCTGCTCGAAAGCAGAGTTGAATGGTTGGTGGTTTGCGATCTCCTGACACCACCGCATGAAGTCTTGGTCCACACCTGCTTCTTGATCCAGCCCGCCTTTCAACACGTTAAGACTGTGGGGGAGTTTCAAATAGTCCAGACTGGCTGCCATTTCACCATTGGCCTGTTCCACCTTTTCAGCTTCTGATCGGATCAGTTTAGCCTTTTCCTCGTCGTACATGCTTGCCGACTCGGTCACTGATATTGGTACAATTTTCTGGAAGATGTCGGGTCCAATAATCCTCTGAATGTCTTGCCCTTGATAGAGATCGGAAAGAGGGATGGGTTTAGCAGCGGGCAGCTTCGTGACAGGAGGTAATGAAGACTCTGCTGGGATGGTTTGGTGGTAGATGAAGTCGTTGTCTTTGACTAACGTGCTCAGCTTCTCCTGCACAGTCTCCATTTGCCTTCGTGTAATGGCTTGCAAGCTTGAAGCAGTATCCGAACCCAATCGCGACTCCGGCGAGGGATAGGAGGGGAAGGACTTTGCATAAGAGTACGCCTGCTTGCTGGACTTTTCTGCCGACTGCAAGCGAGCAATGGCAGAGCCCTGAAGATTGGTCTCGTCCTCGGTCAAAGCTTGATAATATTCTGCAAGAGAAGCCATGTGAAATGTCTTGATTTGAATCAGTTTTAACCACGAAGATTCAAACACACCACGGGCATGGTCGGACTCGAGCCCCTCTCTGGCCTGGCTGAATAGAAATTGTGCCTGGGCGGCGAGTTTCGCCAACAGTGCCGGCTTTTTGCCATCGCGGATCTGTTTCTCGAGAAATACTTCCTGCGCCTGGCCCAGCATGATGTTGATCAGGGCTTTGACGGTATCACGGCTCAAGTCGATGGACGGGGCGTGAAGGAAGTTCTCATTGATGTACGTGAACATTCCGGCGGATGCTTGGAAGGAGTGGTAGGCGGTCTTGAGGTCTTTGTCCTCGGCACGGTTTTGCGCAGCTGCATGGCAAGAGAGCACGGCGGATATGTTGAAGATGACGGACGCTTTCTCGAATGCTAGAGAGTGCTGGGAGGTCGGTGTGCCTCTAAAGGCATCATACCTGAATCAAGTCAGCTGTGAGCCCGAAGTGTCGGAACATTGCCTTACCAAGTAAAACTGATCTTGATATGCTGCTCATCGACCGGAAACCTCAGATCCAACAGCTCGAGCTGCCCATAATATCTGTACAACAGGTCCCGTCCGGAAGCAGAATCGCTGCTGGCACCTCGCATGTCCTGTCTAAGACGTTGCAACGTTTGGGTCTCTTCCGAGTACTTCTCCGGATCATCACCATAATTGTTTGCGATGTAGTTCTTCAACGGTGTAACCCAGTCGATCTCGTTGGTCTGCTTAAGCGGGCAGGACAGCATCGGCGCTTGAACCATCCTGACGACAATGAAGGCCGCCGGACGCCCAAACCGGTCAATATGGAAGAGAGGAGGACAAGGAAGGCGAAATCGCTAACAACAAAAGGTGCACATAGGGGAAGACCGGCACAGCGCAAAATGGTCGTCAATACATAGCCGCCTGGAGTTCAGTTGTGTAGCGCAGTCAAGGCCGCGGGTTTGTGATGGTCACGGATTTGGGGAAGCGAAGCGATGATGCCAGTGACACAGACAGAGACACCGTGACCCCCCATCCTCCGTATCACGTGGGGCATCAGGCTGAACTCATAGGGAGACTTTTCTCTACCATCTACTACACTGGCAGGATACTGTAGGTACTACTGAACATGGCTTCTTTTCCAGGAAGCCTTTCTGCTGGAACAATGCTCATCTGTTCTACATTGAGTTGATGGGTATCTTTCCTTCATCATGCACTCCAAATATGAACCTGTACTAATACACCTTTTTGACCCCAACCCATGCTAATGCAAGTGACAACATATATGCCACGGAGAATAATCTTTTTTCATATCAAGACATGCGCTTAGCAACCAGAGGCTGCCAAAGCGGTAGAAAACCCAAGATAAATGGCGTGTTGAACAGCGGCATTTGTGAACATGACCACGTTATCCAGATCCGGAAGCCTTTTTAGGCTCGTCATCTTCCTTGTCCTGGGATTTCCCATCCTTTTCAGGCTCCAAGTTGTCATGTTGATGTGTGAGCTTGTGCCACGCTGATTTGAAGAATCCTTCGTTTTTGTGGTCTGCTGCTTTATTCGATGGCTTCGACGTCGTGTTGTCCCTGTATGGCATAAGCAATTTGGCGCTCAACCAGAGCTGCTGACTTACTGTTTGAACTGATTCAGGTTCATGATCCTCTTCGCCGTCTTGTCCCCCATCTCATCAGCCAGCATCTCCAAGAGCGTTCTCTGGTTAGTGCTCAGTGACCTGGGCATGGATACTTTGAACTCCACGCGCAAGTCGCCTGAAGAAGCGCCGCGTCCAGTGAGCCTCTTCATACCCATTCCCCCTAGCGTGATCCGGTCGCCGGTCGACGTGCCCGGCGGCACCTTGACCTTCACCTCTCCATCAAGTGTGGGAACGGTGACCTCTCCTCCTAATATCGCAGTGGTGACCGGAACCGAAGCCGTATAAAGGATATCGGCCCCATTGCGAGTGAACCGAGCATCCGGCGCCACCCGAATGTAAACATATAAGTCGCCGGGTTGAGATCTGATCTTCGGGTTTGATGTCGCTCCCGTCGGAGGGTAGTCGGCAGCACCGGGAACCCGCAACTTCATCCCGTCCTCAACACCAGGAGGAATATCCACGGAAATTGTCTTCCGCTGTCGAACAACCCCAGAGCCTGAACAGGTGTTGCATTCAGAGCCTCTGGGAATCGCCACGCCGGTACCACCACAAGTAGTGCAGGTGGAAGCGACCTGAAAACCAGCTTGCATGACATGAACCCTTGTGCCAGTACCGTTACACGATTTGCAAGTTTGTCGTTGAGCGCCCGGTTTCAAACCGTCACCGTGGCATGTACCGCATTTGACCATCGGAGTGATAGTGATGTTCTTAGTCACACCCTTCGCCGCCTCCATGAAAGAGATGTTCGTTTGGACTTCAATGTTATCACCCACGAGAATCTCCTCCTGGAACGGAGAGGGGCCTCTTCGTCCGCGACGGCCCCCGGTGAATGCGCCAAACAGATCTTCGAAATTAAATTCTGCTCCAAACCCGCCGCCAAACCCTGCGAATGGATTTCCACCGCCAGCGGATCCAAAGGGATGTCCGCCACCGCTTGCTGCGCCCGGGTCAAACCCAGCACCCTGGTCGAATGCAGCGGCACCAAATTGATCGTACGCAGCTTTCTTTTGCGGATCGTTCAACAGCTCATACGCTGCTTGAGCGTCGGTGAACTTCTCTTTGGCGCCCGGGTCTTTATTCGTGTCCGGATGGTATTTCTTCGCCAGGGCGTAGTAGGCCTTCTTGATCTCGGATGCGGAGGCATCACGCCCGACACCGAGCGTCTGGTAGGGATCCTTGGTCGCATGGAAAATGGGTGTGGAGGAGAACGAACGGATGTGTTCGCAAGGAGAAGGGCGCCTGGACGACGGTCTTCGAGGTGCTATCGGAATGGATAAGTGTCGCGTCTGAGCTTTGCGAGTAAAGTTACTGCAGTGTCGAGGGCATTGTATCGAACTTCTGATTATTCGGGGAGCCGCACCGGCCCACGTTACCCCTGCAACACTCATCGAGGTGGTATTAAACAGAGTCGTATGTACATTAAGACAGAGTATGAACTTGTGCAAAGCAGAAGGTCATGAACATTGAATAGCTGGTTAGGTTAGGTATGGATGCAGAGCGTCCGCATGGAGCCGTTCGCGAGTCAGAAAGTTCCAGGCTTTTCGCTCTTTGGGCAAAATTTAACTCCGCTCGCCGCAGTTGCCTCTTTGGGCGCGATGAGTTCAGCACCCGAACCTTAGTAAGGTACACTCTGAGATAGACCTCTGGGATGGCGAGTGTCGGTGCAGCCTGCTGGTGCACAACTTGAAGACGGGCACTTTGTATCTTACCGTGCCAGTCACTTCTCATCTATCCTCATCCTCCTCCCCTCCTCACTCTATCCCTCTCCGGAATCCTACTATCCGGAACCTCCTTTCCTCGAAGTTGAGCCCAGCCCATCCGGGTTGCTTCCCATCGCCCGCCACCACCCGAAACGCGGTTCCTGCCAGAGCATGCTCCGTGGTCAAAGTCTACCATGGAGGCTTGCGCTCCGAAGCAGTCAGCGAAACCTATGCAGTGACTGTCGACGGCATCTTTTCCAAAGGCATGCTTTCTCCTCCGCGACCGCTAGGCAGCCTGCTTCCGCCTGTGCCATCACTGCCCGACATGGCTTACAAATACGCCAATTTTCTTCTCACCCAGTGCGGCGGAAAGACAAACCGCCCGAGGATGATCCGGTGACTTCGACCGAGGAAGCTGAAGAGAAGTTAAAAAAGACAAGAGACGAGAAGGATGAAGCAAGCCGGTCTGAGGATGCCGTCGAGTCGAAGAAGCCCCAGTCCGAACCTCAACCTATACCTCAATCTCCTAGCCAGGCAAAGCCTACAGCGGCAGGAGGAAATGGTGGCGAATCATCACCGGCGTCTGGACAGCCATCGAGTGGAGGAGACGGTACCCGACGAGGACGACGGAGCACCCAAATATCAAAGCCAACTGTACCGGAGACCTACCCTCAAGTCATGGCCATTCCAATTGCGAAACGTCCCCTGTTCCCAGGCTTCTACAAGGCCATCACGATCAGAGATCCTAATGTGGTGGCCGCCATTACGGAGATGATGAAGAGAGGACAGCCATACGTGGGCGCATTCCTGTTCAAGGACGAGAGTGCTGATAAGGATATCATCGAGAAACCGGACGATGTCCACGAAGTCGGTGTTTTTGCCCAGATCACTAGCGCATTCCCCGTGCATGGTGACGAGCATAGCTTGACCGCGGTGCTGTATCCTCATCGCCGGATAAAGATGACGGCTTTGATTCCTCCCTCCACCGGCTCTGAGAAAGGCGCATCCGTCGTCGAAGTGCAGCCTGTAAAAGAGAGCAAGTCGTTTGCTGAACCTGCTGCTGAGAATAAGGGGGACGTTGTTGCCAGTTTTGAAGAACCAGCCAAGGAGCAACCCTCTCAATTGAGCGTGTACGAACCTACAGCCTTCCTTCGAAAGTATCCTGTTTCGCTTGTCAATGTGGAGAACTTGACAGAAGTTCCTTATGATAAAAAGAGCGATGTTATCAGAGCTCTCACCTCAGAGATAGTCAACGTCTTCAAAGAGGTGGCGAGCCTTAACCAACTTTTCCGGGACCAGATCTCCGATTTCAGTGTTTCGCAGTCCGCAGGCAATGTCATTGAAGAGCCTGCCAAACTCGCGGATTTTGCTGCGGCAGTCTCTGCTGGTGAGGTGGATGAGCTCCAAGACGTACTTCAGACTATGAATGTGGAGGAACGATTGCACAAGGCTTTGGTCGTCCTCAAGAAGGAATTAATGAACGCGAAACTGCAATCCAAGATCTCAAAGGATGTTGAAAGCAAGATCCAAAAACGGCAACGTGAGTACTGGCTCATGGAGCAAATGAAGGGTATTCGACGAGAATTGGGCATTGAATCTGACGGCAAAGACAAACTGGTGGAAAAGTTCAAAGAGAAGGCTCAAAAACTGGCCATGCCGGAGGCTGTCAAGAAAGTTTTCGAAGAAGAATTGAATAAACTGGCCCATCTTGAACCTGCCGCATCAGAGTTCAATGTGACAAGGAACTACCTGGACTGGCTGACACAGGTACCTTGGGGCCAGAGAAGCGCCGAGAACTTTGGCATTAAGAATGCCATGAAGGTGCTCGACGAGGATCACTATGGTTTGAAAGATGTCAAAGACCGAATACTGGAATTCATTGCTGTTGGCAAGCTGCGTGGGACTGTTGAAGGCAAGATCCTGTGCTTTGTTGGCCCACCTGGTGTGGGAAAGACATCTATCGGCAAGTCGATTGCACGCGCTTTGAACCGACAGTATTACCGTTTCAGTGTCGGAGGCTTGACGGATGTTGCCGAGATCAAGGGCCATCGTCGGACCTACGTTGGTGCCTTGCCAGGTAGAATCATCCAAGCGTTGAAGAAGTGCCAAACTGAGAATCCTCTCATTCTTATCGACGAAGTGGACAAGATTGGCCGTGGCCACCAAGGAGATCCCGCGTCCGCTCTGCTCGAGTTACTCGACCCCGAGCAGAACTCCAGCTTCCTGGACCACTACATGGATGTCCCCGTCGATTTGTCCAAAGTGCTCTTCGTCTGCACGGCGAACATGACTGATACTATCCCCCGACCCTTGCTTGATCGCATGGAAATGATTGAACTGAGTGGTTATGTTGCGGACGAGAAGAAGGCCATTGCAGATCGATACCTCGCCCCACAGGCAAAGGAGCTTTCCGGTCTGAAAGACGCCGACGTCAACTTGGATGAATCAGCCATCGAAGAACTTATCAACAAATACTGCCGCGAATCTGGTGTGCGAAACCTCAAAAAACAGATTGAAAAAGTGTTCCGCAAGTCCGCTCTAAAGATTATCCAGGATCTGGGTGAGGAAGCCCTACCCGAGTCAGAGGCCCTGACCGATGAAGGAAAAGCGGCGTTGGAAGAGAGCAAAAAGGATGAGTCCGATGTCAAGGATACCCCAGAGAACATCGACAAAGAGACCACAGAAAAGCCTCGAGTCGCACTGAAACTGCCAGATTCCGTGCATGTCACCATCACGAAGGATAACCTCAAAGACTATGTCGGCCCTCCTGTCTTCACATCTGACCGTCTCTATGAGACCACGCCGCCCGGTGTCGCCATGGGGCTTGCCTGGACGAGCATGGGAGGGGCAGCTCTTTATGTCGAGTCCATCCTGGAGTCTGCACTGTCACGCTCCAGCAGACCGGGCTTTGAGCGGACGGGCAATCTGAAAGCCGTTATGAAGGAGTCAACGTCAATTGCGTATTCATTTGCCAAGCACGTCATGGCTACTCGCTTCCCCGAGAACCGCTTCTTTGACCATGCGAAAATCCACCTGCATTGTCCCGAAGGTGCTGTTCAGAAGGACGGGCCATCGGCCGGTATCACTATGGCAACATCCCTGCTGAGTTTAGCCATGAATAAGCAGGTTAATCCTTCGCTGGCTATGACTGGCGAACTGACCGTGACGGGTAAAGTCCTCAGGATAGGCGGGTTGAGAGAGAAAACAGTTGCAGCTAGGAGAGCAGGGTGCTCGAAAATTCTCTTCCCTAAGGATAATTGGGGTGATTGGTGCGAGCTGCCCGATGTAAGTTTCCCCTATCGTTCCTCTCTGTATCATCCGGAAAATACTGACTATTTTGTAGAACATCAAAGAAGGCATCGAAGGCCATGCTGTCGACTGGTACGATGAAGTGTTTGACATTGTCTTCCCCAATGTTAACGCAGACGAAATCAACGGCTTATGGAAGGAGGCTTTGAAGAAGTCGAAAGAGGACAAGGACAAGGACCGGGATCACGACGACGACGATGACTGAAGACGGGGCCTTTGGTCAATTCATCTGCAACATTTTGTGAAAGTCCATGTCGACACATATTAGCCGCACCTGCTCTCCAACTCGCGATGCTCAACAGCAGGCATGGCAAGACCCGCAGCATGCGACAGAGGCTCGTCCGATGAGCGAGGACTCGGGTCATTTGTCGCCCATTTTGACGACGAAGAACCGCGAGCATCTATGGGTGGATTTTCGGCGCTGGTGCATCTATGGAGAGTGGTCGCGGATGACTGATATTGAATGGATTTGCCGGCAACGGACAGGGGAGTCCGTTGTGGCGCATAGAGCATAGATGTTGCGGAACCGAAAACGGCGAAAAGCCGAACACTGCAATCTCCGCTCTGGCTTTTTTGGTGTAGGATATATGAAAGAATAAAGAAATGGAACACGACAGGATTTGTTCAGGAAGCGCCCATTGCGCATGTTCGGTAATTGAAAAGGCATAATCCATCAGAGATTGGTCGTGTTACCTTGTATGTGCTCGTTCCGTCGTCAATCCCCATGTAATCAATATCGTTGAAGCCGCATCGAACTGTTCATGGCCGCTTCGGCGGTGTTCTCTTTACCCATCAGCCTCCCCATCTTGGATTTCAACATGAGACCCCTCTTCCTCCACTGACGAAGAGTACGGACCCAGGGCGTCCTCAGATCCCCTAATGCTGGCATATCTGTAACTCCTCAGGACAGAGAGTTCGTATGCGTCAAGGATCATCTCCTCTTGCTTTTGGACTGTGTTTCCTCCTCGAAGAACTATCCTTGGAAGCTCGGGTTCGCCCAGAGCTGAACTGTGTTCGTCGTCATCTTCTTCATCATCGGGCTCATCTTCACTGTCGGCAATCTCGATCGCTTTGCGCTTCCTCGCCCCAGATTGCTGGGATAACTCAACGGGAAGGAGAGGGAGATCGGTCTGCGGCAGTGGCCCTTCCAACACGTCGGGTACTGTAGAGTATTGTTGGACGCCGCTCGTCAATGGGCAGATTCCACGCCCCAAAACCAGAAAGGGGACGGGGCTTCTGTAGACATCCTTGCGTGCAATTCTCTGGATCTCAGCATAGCGCAAGCCTCGGGTTTCGAGGTCAGCCATCTCGTCCTCCTGTTCGTCGTCCGGAAAATCGCGGTACATCATGATCCGCGTATGGACTGCCGTATCCCATGCTTGACTGGACAAAGCGGGTCTCAAGGTGGCCTTATGCCCGACCTTGAAGCTCATCGTTGCATTCGTCAGCACCAGTACGGAGAGCCTCTTGAGGGCGGCAAGTTTGGACATTGCAGCAGCGAGACTCTCGATGACTCGGAACCGTCTCCCAGCAGCCCTCTTCTCCATCTTCTCCCTGACGGCAGCAGGGGCGGAAGATTTCAGTGTTTTCGGGTTTCTCGTAAACGAGCCCAACACCAAGTTGGACAAGTCATCCACGACTATTAAGCTGGTCTTTGGCGACGGGCAGGACCGCGTTGGATGCAAGAACAGCGTCAGAACTCTAGGTAGCGAGGAGGCCTCGAGATACATGAACTTGTCCTGGAGCAGTGATTTCGCATCACCAAGAACCGGGAGGGAAGAGTCGGGGGAGGCGTCATTGGTGGTGGTGTTGTTACCTCCTTCCAGGCTCGCCTGTAGCAACTCATGCATCCTTTCCTCTATTAGTGGCGATCCTGTATTCACCCAAAGCACATGGGAATCGTCTATGGGCGAGAGGAGGGTGTTAATGGCCACTTGGAGTGCGAAAGTCGTCTTCCCTACTCCGGGCGGCCCAAAAACCTCGGTCACATGCCCTCTTTGGATTCCTGGAGTCGCGATTGCGAGATCGCCTGGTGGAAGAAGCGAGTCTAAGGCGGGAAGTCCAGAAGGGATGCCTCGTGCCTTAGCCGACGCGCTCTGGAGGGCTTCGATGCCAGAGACGGTCGGCAGGCGATGCTGGGAGGGCGAATTGGAGAAGTTGTGGATGTCTGTATCGGCATCCCGGTCCTCCATGTCGATGCTGAGCCACGGCCCCTGTAGACATGTTGGCTCTAGATCTCGACGTAGTTCCTGTACCTTGTGCGTTCAAGTTTGGCTGAGGAAGGGTCGAGTTGAAGCAAGTACTAGCTGCGGCGGGAGGAGCAACAATTACTATTGCGCCGCCTCATAACAAGACAAAGTCCTTCGGAGCATCCAGGAAACTTAGTATGCTCTGGTCGATGGATGATTCTTGTTCGTCGTGCCTAGAGCGAGCGAGAAGGGGAAGATTGTTTGTTACATTGATCGGTGTGTGAGGTAGAAAGTCGCGTCGATTCAAATGACGCGAAGTTTCACCAACCGCGTATCCTTGACTGTTGGAGACCAATCGATGACGGTCATTCGAAAGCCGAGGCACCAACTTCAAGTTGAATATTAGCACATTACCAATCCATCGCCGGGTCGATATTGTCTCCAGTTCAGATCAGCTACAGATGAGTATACCTCCTCTGTAGGTAAGACACGCTGGTTGTTTTTTAGCTTACGGCTGAGCGGACAACCTTTATCAAACTGGAAGCCCAGCGAGCAACACTAATTGCTAATTGACTTCGTCCAAGAACAATCTTGGTCACCAACAGCATGTCGGCTATGGATCAATTCGCCATCCTCGCTCCTCCTGTGCTGCTAGCCATTACTCTGATATGCCTGCAGGAAGCATGGAGGTTGCGCAAAGTGCCCAAGGGCTACAGACGATTGGGCCTGCGTGGCGCATCGAATATGACGGACGAATACGACGACAAATACACCCAGCCACCCGGTACTCGAGGTGACACGGCATGGAAGGTTAAGGCTCTTTTCGTGCATCCCATCAAATCCTGTGCTCCTGTGGAACTGGACGTGGCCGACGTTGACAGGGCAGGCTTTCTGTGGGACAGAAAGTTCGCATTCGCCGAATTACTGAAGCCACAAACGCGACAGGACGCTCCTGAAGAGGAGAAGAAACCAAGATGGACGTTCAGGACACAGCGCCAGCCTGGCTACGAAAAACTCGTCCACGTCAAGCCAGAGATCTGGCTGCCAGACGCAGCCCATGCCAAGTCGTCTCCAGCGGACAAAGGATTCATGATAGTGAAATATCCCTACGTTCCGTCAGGACCTCTTTCTGACCTTGTGAGGCTTCTGATTTGGATAGGACTCATGGACCCGGAGAAATCTTTTCGGGTGCCCCTGATCCCTCCAGAGGATCACAACTATCCCATCGAGCAGGTCACCATCTGGCGGGATGCTCCCAGTTGGCTTAATCTTGGAGTTCATGTCCCCGATGACTTTCGCACCTATCTGGGTGTCACCAATCCCCTGACACTATTCAGAGTCGACCCCCAAAGCTATCGAGAAGTCTACCGGTGTGCTCCAAGGAAAGATGAGCTGGGCTATCAAGCGGTGGTAGGGTTTGCCGATGCCTATCCGGTACACCTCTTGAATATTGCCTCCGTTCGTGACGTCGCGGGCAGAGTCCAAAAGGACATTCCCCGTTTCTCGGCAAGGAGGTTTCGAGCCAACATTGTGGTTTCTGGGCCGAGTGCTTACGATGAAGATGACTGGAAGAAGATCAAGATAGGGCATCGTGTCTTTGTTTGCGCGTGTCACACTGTACGATGCCGACTTCCCAATGTCGATCCTGATACCGCGGAACGCCATCCAGCTGAACCAGACAAGACCCTGAAGTCCTTCCGGTGTATTGATGATGGCGACCCTCACAACGCCTGTTTAGGACTACAACTAGTACCCGCGCAATCTGACATTTTCCAAGTCCATACTGGGGATGAGATTCAAGTTCTTGAAAGGGGAGAACACCATTACATCAAACAATGAGACACGGTTATCACTCGCTTAATTGTTCGATCCGATCCATCTGCCGGGATGCAACATTAATTCTTCCACAAAAATGGAGCGCCCGACAAAACTACTACAACGATCGTTGGTTTTTGTTTTCTGCATGTGGACAACAAGCGTTCTTGATGCGATTGGTCCCAGATAGCGGCTTCCGGCTGAGGTTTTGACTAGGCGACCGCCGAAGTCAGATCTGAAAAGTTGATATGCTGTTTGTAACAGGGACGTCGATTAATGCGTCCATCCCGCATTAGCCCTTGAACATGCGGGGTGGGGGAGACATGGGATCCTTCATCTGTACCAATACCGATCTCGTTCCTTATCTTGCCAAATCAGAGGAGCACTTTTGTGATAACAACAGCTGACGATCCAATCATACCATTAACTAATTGTTGGTGAGGCTGGGCGATCTCGGTTCTTTGACTCTCATGGGCGCGAGAGCCGACCTCCGAGTCGTCGCTGTTCCATCAAGCCATTCGTGCGCACTCGGTTGTCATTCAAGGTGAAGAAAATGACGTTTTAGTGGCTACTCCTGGTTCCTCAGTCGGTTGGCTTATCGACTCAGAAGATGATAACAATGCCTAGGCCTTTGGTGAGTGGCAAAGGAAGGACAGGGTCGGTGCCAGTTATGCTTAGCGCACTGCCACCTTAGCGAAAGCCCTGCATATCGCCTGAAAGCTGGCCAGGTACATGAGGATGGCATATCTATATGTGGTCATCCTGCAGTTGAGCTGCGGTATTGCTTCAACCCAGTTGCAAATTGCTTCCTTTTCAAAATGCTGACATCCATTGCGGAGGGACGTTCATCTGATTCTTCCAGCAAAAGAGGTGCAATCTGACGTGGGTGCTGTATTCCTGTCGCTACCCTTCGACTATACACTGGCGAAGTACACAGAAAGGGAATCGCGCCTCATCCAGCTGGTTCAGGTTCAGTCTGATCGCCTTGACGGGCGGGCTTGTCGACTTTTGAGGACTTTACAGACACCATGGAGCACGATCGCATTGGTCCTGATACCACACCTAAGCGCCCTCTGAAGGCCAGGGTCGCCGATGTCCCTCGTCGCATCATCAACACTTTTACAACCAAAGAAGGGCTTATTGGAGACTATGACTATGGCTTCCTTTTCACTCCAAACCTGCCATTCGTGCGGAGGCGCCGCCAGGTTGCTCCTTTCTTTGGCCTCAACGACGAGATGCCGATCCTTCTAGCCTTGTTGCTTGGATTCCAGCATGCGCTGTCCATGTTGGCGGGCGTGATCACACCTCCGATCATTCTGTCTGGTTCTGGTGGTGCGAACCTGGACTCAGAAACCTCCCAGTATTTGGTCTCCACCTCGCTCATTGTCTGTGGCATCCTATCTGCGATTCAAATCACGCGTTTCCACATCCGCAAAACGCCCTATTATATCGGCACGGGGCTTATCTCTGTCGTGGGCACATCGTTTGCAACCATTCCAGTCGCCCAGGGTGGTTTATCCCAGATGTACAATGACGGTTTCTGTCCAACAGACGCCAGTGGCAATCGACTACCGTGCCCTCGAGGTTATGGCGCCATCCTCGGAACGGCGTGCATATGTTCGCTGCTGGAGATCTGCTTATCATTTACACCGCCCAAAATACTGCAGAGGATCTTCCCACCTCTGGTCACTGGCCCAACAGTGGTCCTGATTGGAGTGAACTTGATCAGCTCTGGATTTGAGAATTGGGCGGGTGGCTCTGGTTCTTGTAGGTCCCGTCCAGATTCGGGCATTTACCAGAACTGTCCCACCAATCTTGCACCTCATGCGCTGCCATGGGGTTCTGCCGAATTCATCGGACTAGGCTTTAGCGTGTTTGTCACCATTATCCTATGTGAAAGATTTGGCAGTCCTATTATGTAAGTCTGTGGTTTTCCTGGTAGCCTGGGCCTGCCTCAGCTCTCCAGAATTGTGTGACATGTGCTGATTGTGATGCCAGGAAATCATGCGCCGTTGTTATCGGTCTACTAGTAGGCTGTATTATCGCGGCAGCCACCAACTACTTTGACGACTCAGGGATCAAAAGCGCCAAGGCTGCATCGTTTATCTGGGTGGAAACGTTTCCTCTGTCAATATACGGGTAAGGATCACTTGTCCCTGGGTTAGAAAGGCCTGGTCGGCTAACATATTAGGCCGATGGTATTGCCGTTTTTGGCCGTCTTCCTGGTTCTCATGATGGAAGCCATAGGTGATATTACAGCCAGTTGCGACGTATCTCGCCTCGAAGTCGAAGGACCAATTTTTGAGTCTCGTATTCAAGGCGGCGTCCTGGCCGATGGCCTGAACGGCATGTTTGCGTGTCTTTGCACGATCACGCCCATGTCCACCTTTGCTCAGAACAACGGAGTCATCGCTCTAACCCGGTGTGCTAACCGCAAGGCTGGATACTGCTGCTGCTTCTTCCTCCTCATCATGGGCATCTTCTCCAAGTTTGCCGCCGCGCTCGTGGCGATTCCTTCTGCCGTACTTGGCGGGATGACTACCTTTTTGTTCTCGGCCGTCGCCATCTCTGGTATTCGAATCATCTCGACCGTGCGCTTTAACAGGCGGAGCCGATTCATCTTGACTGCAGCCATGTCGGTGGGATTCGGGGCTACACTGGTTCCAGACTGGTTCAGCTACGTCTTTACCTACCAAGGGAACAACTCTGCATTGAAAGGGTTCATGAATGCTATTGTGCTGGTTTGCGAAACCGGATTTGCCCTGACTGCGTTCTTGTCCTTACTCTTGAATTTGATCATCCCTGAAGAAGTGGAGGATGATGAGGCGGTTGACATTACTGCCAACACCGCGGATGATGCCGAAGACGAGAAGGAATGGGAGCGCATCCGACAGCCGGGTCAGGCACAGTCCATGCATAAGGGTCAGGATGGTACCATGTCGAGCGCTGATATTGATCTCGAGTCGAATGCGGGCGCTGGGGTACACAAAATGACCACCATCAAGGACGCATAGTCTAACAACACAAGGTATCGAGGAGGGAAGGGTTTCTCATCTGTCCATCAGGCTGTCTGCTAAGTAACAAGGCCGGACGAACAACATGCCTGGCTAGGCGGATCGTGAGGCCTGCAGTAAGGGGCAGCAGAAATCTTGTACAACTCAGTGCATTGTCGAATGCTGTCAAATGTAATGAGATTCATGAATATAGCTGATAAGGGTCTTGCCCTGAGCAACTAGCGACACCTGGAGAGATAAATTCAAAACCCATCCAAGAGCCTCGTGCTCGAGAGGATGTAAGGCTCTGGCGAACCGTCCGTAAACCACGATTGCCCTAGAGAGATACCTAGTAACGATATAGCAAACATCCAGCTGTCTTAATCCGTGCCCAGCGTGTCTCTCCGTAGGCTCGGACAACCGCTGTCGAAGTGGAGTTACTTTAATAACTGGAAAACTCGAAGCTTTTTGATCTGTAGGTCCAGACGGCCTGTGGTTCGCGCATCGTGTATATACTTTCTGAGGAGCCTCTGAACCAACTGCAGCGGTCAAATTCCGACGTGCAGCTTCACATGCTGGATTTGACCAACGGGAAAGATGAATGAATTGCAAGGAACCCAGCCCTTGCAGTGGTGGTCCAAGAGTCTTTTGCGGTCCGACACCTTGGCAGGCATAGAATCATCTGCCAGTGGGCGCCATCTTTTTATTCAATAATGCAGCCTCCGGGTCCTTGGAGACGGGAATCGGCGATGTCCCTTGGCCTCTTGACAACGCAAGCCGTAAGAGCCGCAACATCAGTTCGTGCGCAGTCTGTCGTATATTGTAGCGAATGGAATGCTCCTCGATGAGGGACAACCACAATGACCCTAATGTGCCATACAGTAGGTAGATATGTATCAATCGCAGCTGTTCGTTGATTCCCCGGAGGAGGCATCGGTTGGTGGGCCGTGGGCATCGGGCTGGATCCATCTCATCGGCCCCGGCATCTCTTCATCGCCCAAACCCAGCACTAAAATCTCCTTCTTGTAACCCTGAAGAACAACTAAATTCAATCGCCATATAGCCTATTCGGCTAGTAAGTAGTCGTGCCTACTACCCAGTAGCAACCTGAACAGCTGAACTGTTCTCTCCAGCTAATTGCACCGTAGCAATTGAGCTACCCTCCCCGGTGCTAGCCTGAGTGGCCTGCCTCGTCCTCCCTCCTCCTGCTGCTGCTGCTGCTCCTCCTCCATACACCCCGCCAAAACCTCACAGTCCATTGCTTCCTCCAGATGCCAGTACATACTGGACCGACATGAATAACGGCTCGAACTCGAATCCTGCGCTCTCTCGCTTTCGGGCCACTGGCTTTCCCTTTCTTTCTCCCGATCCTCGTCAGAGATCGGAGTCGTCACGATCATAGCGGTTCACTCTCGAAGTCCAGTCGAGTCCTGACAGTGGTATGGCCGGTCACCATCACGCCGCGTAACACTCAAGCCGAGACTTTTCGATGACACGGCCGTTGTCTCCCTCGTCGCTCTCGTCGTCTTTCGTTTGTTGACAGCACCGCCCTCTCCAGGGCCGGGAAGCGTTTCGCAGCCATGCCGTTTTGTTTTGGGGGTGACAAAGAACCGGAGGACGAATATGACCCTATTCCATTCGGGCTGCGATGGCGCATGAAGTTCGGCAAGAAAGAGGTCGACCCCAATACAGGCGAGAGCATTTTGCGCTTGAGCAACAGCAAGATCCTCAAGACCCAGTGCGCCAACACCGAATACCAAGCCCTGAAGCTGCTTGATCGACACACTTCGGTGCCCACGTATAAAGTCCTGGCCGTCTACAACCGACCTGACGGGAAATGGGTGGAATACGAGGCATATCCTGGGAAACCGCTGCAAGATCAATGGCCTGGCATGTCGGCACACCAGAAGAACAAGATCATTGGGGACCTGGGTCGGTTCGTCGAGCAATTGAGGAAGATGCAACCTCCCAAACTGTGCGTCGTGGGCGACGCCACGCTCGGAGCTGCCTTGGACCACCGGTTCGGGTCTGGTAGAGTCGGTCCGTTCTTCTCCATCGCAGCGTTCCATGAGTTTGAGAGACGAGGGCATCCGCCTCATGACTTCCCGGAGGTTGAAATCCAACAGGTTCACGACCCGAACCGAAAGTACGAGCTCAAATTCACCCATGCCAATCTCTGTCCCAAGAACATCCTCGTTGACGACGCCGGAAGAATAACTGCCTTGGTCGGCTGGGAGTCATCGGGCTGGTATCCCGAGTACTGGGAATACACTCAAATGTGTCACTTGACGCCCAAAACCATGGGAGATTGGCTGGAGGCCATGCGCAATGTCATCCCTCGATATGACCAGGAGTTGGCCTGCGAGGAGGCTTTGCGGTCCCATTACTGTGGCTCGATATACGATGCTCCCAGGAGTGTTCGCGCCCCGAGTCCCAGCCCGAGTCAGTTGGAGGCAGAGCGACAGGAGATCGATGACAAGAACACCGAGAGTACGAGTGGATGAACCAGATCGAATACCACGTTGTCGAAAGCAAAATTACTGCGGCCGAGATCAAGCGGCCAGTCGAGGCCGTCGACACGAAGAAGGTGAGAAGTCTGCAGAGATTTACTGGCAGTATATGTTATTGCTGTGTGCCACCCGCAGGCTTGAGGATCTCGGCAGTCTAAGAATTCATTAGAGTGCTCGGCGGGCAGCTACAGCAGTCCTCTGCGCGGCGACGGAAAACGTGCTATTGTTATGCGGCCTGATCATATATCAATTGCTGTGTGGAGGACAAGAGCGAGACCTATGCGGCTGAGCGTGAGGGCTGGGTATCAAGTGGACACAGCGCCTGTTGTTCAGACCTGTGACAACCACAGCGTGCCTTCTTGTGCGGCCAGCTCGAAAGTATGCTTTTTTGAAGCATCCGACATTGAAAGAAACAAGGGCTTTGCACAATGAACCGGCACCAGCGATGTCCAATCGTGGCACATATTCTTACAAGACGGGGTTATGGTGTGAAAACTATTGCAGATTGAAGACATGGGGATCAAAGAGCATCTGTGCGATAAGAACCCTCTTCACGTCCGCCTGCCCCGACGAATCTCGACACTACAGCAACACTGATTTGAAGGCGTTTTATAACGCTAGAGTCCTAAGCACAGAGACTCGAGAAAAATGTATGGCTTACACTTGAGATCTGCGAGGCGCCCCAAGGGGAAAAGGCGCAAAAAAGGGAATAAGAGGGTGCTGATTAGAATGGACAATGTCGGAGTCTAGAGCTTTAGATGCTGCTTGTTTCAGTTCTATGCTGTGAATTACACTGCCTTCAGCCTGCACAGCGAGATATCTGCTTTATGACTTCCAAGTTCCTGCTGAGGCGCAACGGTGTCAGATGGAACAAGTCGTCTTTGCCACCTGGGTCTGTGTAAATAATACAGCAATACAACAACCCAGCAGGCGGACACCATACCTAGATAATATCAAAAGAAATAAAAACAGAGCAAACAGCCGTATTCCTGCTAGGGCCATGGTATCATATTGTGCACTCAGCTTCATCTTATCCTGTCCCCAATAAGTTTGTATTTGTGATTGGGCAATGTTGCCGTCGATGGTAGATATTAGTATATTACTACAGTGCAATTCACCCGAAATATAGTTACATGCTTGGTTTTTCTCAGGGGACACAGCTGCCGACTATGGACATAACACCGTAACCCCATTGATCAGAGCAAGCAGTTTAGTACAGCAATTGCTTTTGATGTCCCTCATCACACATCAAAAGGAAAGCGATGCATCTCTCACTCCTTCTGGCTGGTCTGTAGGTACACATGGGCATTCCAATTTTGGTGATTTCCATTCTCCAACACAACCACAGCAAAAGATCCGATTCACAACAACTGAACCACTAACTTCCGTTGGCGGTCTTCCTCTTCTTGCTGGGCTGTTCCTGAGGAACGAGCTGCTCTTTGTGCTCCTTGAAGAACTCGACCGGTTCCGTTGGATGCTGACCGGTGATATCATGGAACGCGGTTGTCGAAATATAATTTGTCTTCCCTTGTCGGACAAGAGAGTAATACTCAAGCAGGTACTGGAGCTCCGAGGGGTCAAGGTCGGACTGGCTTTTCAGGAGATTCCTGGCTTCCCGTCTGGACAAAGGGCGAAAAAAGACCAGTCAGCATATAATCAAATACAAGCAGACACCGATATCTCATAAAAGACCGAAGGACACAAGACTTACTCGGACACGTCTTCGAACTTGAGCTCCATCTCCAAACTCTGCGACGCAGCCTCGGCGAGTTCATTGCCAGCACAAAGCATTGGCCCTGTGTCAACAGTCAGCTTGTTCGCCTCGGCCTCCAATTCCATGAAATCATCAATCCGTACCGGTGAGCACGATGAGTTGTCCACGGTGCTTGTCGCTGAACCCATGCTTTCCCTTGCCCGTCAGGACGTTTGCGGCTACCTGGGCAAGATCCTACTGCGAGGTCAGGGCATTTATTTCAAACAGGGCACCTGAGGTGTCACTCCCACAAACCTTCATGGCCATTGGGGCGAATTTGTGGTTGTTTCCCATCGGAATAGGGATGATTTGCTCCTCCTGCATCTGCGGCGTGTACAACAGCAGATTCTCGGCATAAAAGCCTGGCCGAATGACCACAGGGGAATGTCCAGTCGAGGTATCCGGGTCGCCCTTGGCTGCCATGACCAAGCTTTCGAGCTCGATGAACTCACGCAGCCTGGGCTGATGCTGCGCGTCCGCAAGATCGCATCCGGCCGAGCTGATGAAGCACACATTGGGGATGTTGGCCCGCTTGGTCGCGTCGATCAATTCCGTCGTGATGCCGACCTTGTCCTCGTGCGCCGGGGGGATGAGACACACGGTATCTGCGCCCGTAGACTCCAGTTGGCTCACCATGTCCTTGACACGCCCGGTCTTGTGCGGCACAATCTGAGCACCCAGCTTGGCCAGTTCTTTGGCCCGCGATGAATTCGGCTTCAGAGCAATGCCGGTCACTGTGCCGACCTTCTTCTTGAAGTTCTCATTCTTGAGAATATACTCGGCAATGGTGAAGCCCGTGTTGCCGTCCACGGCGGTGATGCAGATATTGCGTGTCATGTTGATTGAGAATTTCTGGAGAGTTGTTGTACCAAGGGTGTCGAATTTCAAGGAGATGCACACTCACCGTTGTTATTTGAAGGCTCAGGCTCAGGCACAGTCAATCATCACACTCGCACTTGTACTTGCGCAACCAGAGTCTCCTCAGCTTGTCATTGATGTCCACGCCGGGCGCGGTGAGAGGCATCAAGCGTCATAATGACGATTTGTTCGCCGTGCGACTTACTGGACAATATGCACACTGCCATGCCCGTTGGCAGGTTAATGGTTGGGCACACCACAGGCACAGAACTACCAGGTAAGGGTACCTTGTTTTGTGAGATCATGATGAAATGCAAAACTTGAACTCTGGCAATTCGATAGATTGACGGTCCGCCCGCATACTCATGCCGTAACCAGCCACTCCCGGTGCCCTATCCCGTCCTGTTATACCAGGCGATGTTCGGGTACCTGCGCGGCGCTTACACCAGATCCGGGGGGAGCCCAAGGACGTGCATTTGCGGGGAACCAAAGTATCCTTCCGGCGGTGCTGCCCCTGTAACCAGCCATCACTGACAAGGGGGCCGAGGGGGCTCGAATCGTCAGCACAGGTTACCGAATCGACGCCCACTCAGTAGTAGGGTATGTACAATACAATGGCTGTTAAGCTCGTTTTTATTACTGGTACACGCCTCTGGATGCAGATCGGCGAAAGCAACGCATCATCACGACTGATGTCTTAACTTCGAATGGAGAGATCTGGATGAAATCTGGATGAAATCTGGTACACAGCGGATCTGTCCTTCTGCCAGGCCAACAGTGGGCCTAGGCTTCCACCGCCCGGAATCTTGTGTGAGGAAATTGATGAGTGACACCCTGTCTGCCAAGTGAGCCTCGGGCTTCGAATCGGCTCCAAACAATGCAGAAATCGGTGAAATCTTGCTCTTTGCGAATTGGCGCTAACTCGCCGCAACATGTCTCAGTCGGCCAAAGTTTCTGCAATAACCTGTCCCAGGAGCAAAGTCTGTTATGTCCACCACGGGCATCCAAGAGTTGGACATGGGCGTCGCCTATGATTTTGATCCCGTTTCTCGGTCGTCAACCTCCGACGGACCAAGCTCGTCACGGTCTGGCGGCGATTCATCTTCCGGGATCTCCAATCTGATCATGGTGTTGAGGAATGAGGTTCCCCAGTTGACACTGCCAATGGTCAGTATATGCTTGTCCGGCGATTGAATTTTGGTCTGGCTCACCTGGTCCATCTGTTCACCACATTAAAGTTCTCCTCATGTCGTCGTGCTCGCTCCTCCGGTGGCATGTCCAACACCTCTCCGATGGTCTCGGCGAACCGTGGAATGTCCCAGGGGTTGATGACCACGCACGCAGGAAGCAGTTTGACAGCTCCAGCATAGTTGGACATCACCAAGACGCCCTTGCGTTGCGCCTGGCTTGCAACATACTCGTAACTCACCATGTTCAGGCCGTCTCGGAGTGATGAGATGATGCACACGTCGGACACAGCATACAATGCAGAAAGCGTTTCCGGCTTCAAGGATTTGTACAAGTAGTGGATCGGGGTGTGAGTGAAGGTGCCTGCAACTCAGTCAGTCACCGGTTGATCCGGACTTCGAGCTGGCCGTTGAAACTCGGCGGCCTGCACGTACCATGTTTGCCATTGACATGGCCGATCAGCCGCTCAACCTCCTCTCTCAACTTCTGGTAAGTAGGGACATCCGCTCGTGTCGGGATGGCTAATTGGATCATTGTGACCTTCCCCACCCATTCTGGGTGCTCGGTCAAGAACCGGTCAAAGGCCATTACCTTTTGAGGGATGCCTTTGATATAGTCCAATCGATCCACTCCGAGGAGGATTTTCTGGCCCCGGAATTCCTTTTGTAAGTTTGCGATCTCCTTCTGGACTTCCTCCGACTCGGCCTTCTGGGTGAACTCCTCGGGTTCAATGCCGATAGGGAATCCGTGAAGGATAACTCTCCTTCCTTCCCAATGCAGGTCTTGTGGAGATTTAGCAACGTCTCTGGGTCGTCCGTCAGGATTTTCCAAACCCTCAAAATAGAGCCGTACTTACTTGAGAACTGTCCGCGCACTGTTGAGAAAGTCCATCGCGTACTCGTTCGTGTGAAATCCAATCACGTCGCAGAGGAGCAGGCTGCGGCAGATCTCCTCTCGGAACGGCAGGATGGTGAAGTAATCTTCACTCGGGAAAGGCGTGTGCAAGAAGAAGCCGATGCGGAGGTCCTTTTTCTTGCTTAACCGCTCGCGCAGGATCCCGGGGAGAAGCATCAAGTGGTAATCGTGCACCCAGATGAGGTCGCCGTCTTCCACATATGGAACGATGTTGTCGGCGAAGATTTCATTGACTTCACGATATGCAGCTGCCCAGCTTCCTTCCGTCCCGACTTTCTCAGGCATGCGATGCAGTAGCGGCCAAAGCACAGAATCTGTCAAAAGGAAAAATCACTTAGTCTGGGGGATACATCAAGAAGAATACACAACCGACGTACTGGAAAACCCATTGTAGTGTTTCTGGGCGAGTTCCTCGGCCAGGAAGATCGGAACCGCGTTGAATTGGTCATGCAGTTGACTCCTGACCCGGTCTTTATCGTTGCGGTGGACGTCAAGTCCAGGCCACCCAAACCACTTGAAGTCGACCACTTTCGCCAGACTTCTCAATCCGGAGACCAGGCCCCCTGAAGACATGGTGTACTCAAAATTGCCCTCGGCATCAGGCTTGATGGTGATAGGTAGCCGGTTGGCGATAACCAGCACCCGGCCCTCAAAATTTGGGTCCATGGTGCCAGACAACCGCCAGGGGATGATGTTGTAAACACGCTTTTCGACAGAAAAATAAATGAATATTTCCACAAACTAACCCTGCTATGCAAGAGTGTGACGGACTATGTAGTCAAATCTGGGGCGAAGAAAGAAAGGACTTTTTGAAATATAACAGACCGATGTCACCTGCAGCAAGGACGACAAGGTATCAAACTTGGATGGTCAGCGAAGAGTCTCCGTGGGGATCTACGTCCATCTATAGCTAGAGATTAGTTTGTCGCGGAGGATCTCTCCGGTCTTTTGCAGCACTGCAGTGGCAGAGGCTGGTGGAAACAGCAAAATACGGTCTGCTCCCTTCAATTGGCCGAACCAGTTGGATTGGAAGAAGGTGAAGCCATCGACGATGGGCGGGACTGTCATCCGCCCGCCGCAAGGCTGTGATGCTCAGGAAACCTATCAAAATGTGATAATGCTCGGTAGGGGCCTACTTCCTCCGCGTCCGACGTAACTGTGGCACCAAGAACACACGAGTAATTATGGTGTTACGTCATAGGTTCAGTCCCACTGCATCAGAGAGACAATGTACATTGTACAGCTTGAATGTATCAAGGGCACAAGGCTGAACATTTGTGCTAGCCGTTTGTGTGACTTGAACTTTACCTACCGAGGTAGGTAAGTACTACGTAGAACCACGCCTGCAACATTTTATGGCAGACTTCAAGTTTCTAAAGGCTGCCCATCAGGAACATTGGTAGTCCTTCGTTTTGTATCTGAAAGTACTTGCGCCGGCTTGCGAACCCTAAGGTGTACCACTGTACAGTATCACGCGGTAGCTGGGGTCCAGTTGTCGAACAACGTGCGGATTTTACCGAAATAGCCTCAACCCGTATTTTTTATTCCGCCTTACCAGCTTGGCCAACTTTGGGGGTCGTCAGAATGTTCCAGTCAATCATGACGGCAACTTTGAACACGACGTTGCGTGTGTGGATAGATTTATCGACACCGCTATTCTACTAGTATCTGCAGTGCCTTGCTAGAGACGTCACATCTCCGAGCAGATGGACGTGCTCAAAGGCGGTTCGGTACAGGCCGTTTGGCTCGGTGCAGAGCAACGAGGGCATCGATGGTTACATTGTACAACAGAGCCTTGTCAGGCCTGACAACGAGACAAGCTCCTTTGGAACCACGCGTCTTCAGCTTTCGAGGTGATTTGTGAGACCCTCTCAAAGTCTCAAATCAGTCGGCTGCATATGTAGCTTGCCAAAAACAGACGGGCTTTTCTGTACCTTCTGCTATCGACTCATGAAGTCGAATTCGTCTCCGGCGCTCGTTCCGTGCTATGATGGTCCGGAACAAGTTCACCGATAACAGAATCGTCAAATAGTACTAGTAGTTGTTCTTGGGACCGAGGGAAACGGAGAAAAACCGTGGCGAGGACAGAATACCCTCTGTGATTGTATTTTTGAACCTTTCCCTGAGCCTATGTTCTATATCTCCTGTGCAACCCACAATCCACATCTACTCCACTGATTGCAGAGCCCAGGATATGTAAGACAGTCCTGTAGTCGAGTCAGCCGGGAATATCGTGGCCTACCAACAGCTACATCTCAGCAGCCATGGCTCCCAACAATTCATGCCAAATGTGGCCGTGATCAAGGAATCAAATTTCACGTCGCAGACGGAGAAGTTGCGGTAGCAAACCTGCCAAAAATAAGAGCTTTACCTGATCGGTTATCCTGGTCCTGCATGGATGCTTCTACTGCAAGCATCAGATGTGTTGTCCTCACGACAAGCTCTGCGAAGCATCAGCAGTGGTCGAGCTCGATGGTCAAAAAGCATCACCTTGGATCTCGATAGAGAAACTGATTGGCATATCATCCATCTCGCTCGAGTCTTTTCCATAACATCGTCCGTCCCGGTCTCTGACCGCTACGCGCAGACCGACGTTCTTTCGGTAATCTGTCCAGAGGATGCTTTTGTCTAGACCAATCGAAGGAGACTCCATCGGTGGTTTGTCAAGTTCGACAGCAGCGGCCTGTTCCTGCTGCCACAATTCACATGCGCGATCTTGCAGCCATTGTTTCCATACCCTCATGACTCCTTGACCCGACTGAACAAGGTGAGCATTGCTCAGGAACACACCCCTCCGGGGACCCAATCGGACGAGACTCGCATATGCGCAAAACTGGCCAAAGAGCTCGTCGGCATCCAGGTTCAGGTTGTGAAGAACCTTTGTGTTTCCGCCGTCCCCTTCCTCGGCATCCAGGTTCAGGTTGTGAAGAACCTTTGTGTTTCC